CTTGTCGATGCATCATCAAACCATGAAATACGCATGTAGATATAGTCGTTTCTTCTTTGCCTATATTCTTCTCCTCTTCTTCTTCTTCTTCTTCTTTTTTTACATCGTCTGAAGAGAGCAATGATAGTAAAATACAATAGATAAGCAGAAAAAAAATACGATAAGACGGAAAAGAACCAGCAGAAAAACTACTATTACCAATGATAATCATGTAAATAACTTTATGTTGTATGTATATACCATATATGGATGGTCTAATTTTTATCAGATTGATTTTGACATGCACATATTACCTTGTTACCCATCAAACAAATTAACCGATAAAAATCTAACATTTGAAGAAATCATGAAGACACAGAAAGCTATAGAGCGAGAGAGAGAGAGAGAGAGAGGAAGAGAAAGAGTGGACGAGCCAGAAAGAGAGAGAGAGATAACATAAGGTATTGTCATTAGTCATATAGATCAAAAAAAGAAAACAAGAGAAGATGTGTTCATAAACGTTTGAAGTTAGCTTAAATATCTTTTCAATACTCAGGCACGTGTCTTGTTAATATGCTAATATATTTAGCAAGGGATATGATGACTTTGTTATCTTTATATAGTATAAACCGTTATTTTATTGGATGAAAGGAAGCAGAAGAAAAAAAAAAGTTTAAAAAAAAACGAAGAATCAATTTTGTTTGCCCGTAAGCTATATGCTTCTTCTTGTGCTCATACTGCCGCCGTCGCTTCATTTACTTGAAGATTAGCACAGGATTAAAATCTCCTGACTTTCTTCAGAAAAATTGACTCTATCAATTACGCGTCGTCTTCTTTGTTTTTCCTCACACTATCTCAATGGAATTAGATACAGAGGGATTTATTAGCAAATTTTTATATTCTCCTTGTTCTTATTCTAGATGACGTTTACCGCATGTGCTGCTTGTCGTGAACCAATACAGGATCAATGGATCTATGAAGTATTAGATCGTCTTTGGCATGCAAATTGTATTCGTTGTGTTGATTGTGGTCAACCGTTGACTGAAAAATGTTATACACGTGATGGAAAACTTTATTGTAATCGCGATTTCTACAGGTATGATCATTACTGAAAACGAGGAAAGCATGGCAATTATAGAGTGGTTTACCTCCTCCTAAGGCTGTTTAATTCGATTGTCTAATTGTTTTCCTATATACTTATAACATAAAATTTGATTGATATTGTTATAAGATCTTATGACAGATGAGAACAAAAAAAGAAGAAGAAACAAACGAGAAGTAAATTGAAATTTATTTGTTTGTTTATTTAAGACGTTATTGGTGTCGACGTTGTTCAGGCTGTTTACAAGAAATTGGTCAAGGAGAATATTATTTACGTGCATGGGATCAATTATATCACTATGATTGTTATAAATGTTGTATTTGTTCACGTAAAATGAATACCGGTGAAGAAATACATTTAACACAAGATAATCGTTTTATGTGTAAAGAAGATTTTCTAGCCAATACAAAAAATTTATGTAAAACTCTTTCCGGTAAAAACTCAACAAAAACAAAAAAAAATTTAAAAGATAAAAAAAATATAAAATTTTGTTTGTTTTCTCTTACAGATGAATTTGATGATGATACTAGTAAATCCTCATCAATATTAAACGGTAAACTAACATCACCAAATCGTCATATAAGATCACAACCCCAAAATCGTTTGTCAACAACTAATATTGAAATAAAAAATGAAAGTGATGTATCATTAACAACAATAACACCAACACCAACAACAACAACAACAGCTAACACATCATCGTCAATACACGAGTTCGATAAAGAAAATTCTTTATTACAATCACATATTCCAATTCAACCATCGACATCAACATTACTAACAAGTACACCGGATTCAAATTTAAGCTCATCCGATTGTTTGAAAGAAGATGAAATGCTTATGAATGATGGTGACATACAAATGTCGGATTGTTCATTAGATTGTAAAGATGATGACCAAATATGTATGACGAATACAAATAATTCTTCGAGTGGTTGTTCATCGTCTCATAGTCATCACCAGAAAAAAAATTCATCCACAAATATTGATAATGCAGAAAATACAAATATGAGTGGAAATGGACCTAAAAAACGTGGACCTCGCACAACAATTAAAACAAAACAACTTGAACAATTAAAATCAGCATTTGCAACAACACCAAAACCAACACGACATACGAGAGAAGAATTAGCACGTGAAACGGGCTTAGCTATGCGTGTTATTCAAGTATGGTTTCAAAATCGTCGTTCTAAAGAACGTCGAATTAAACAATCGATTACATGTGGTGGACCCCGAAGACATTATTATCGACGTGTTGCATCTGGTAGACCTTTTGATGAAAATGAAATGATTCCGCATCCAGGTTTAAGTTATTTACCAGGTATGAAGAAAAAAAAACTTTCTCATAGCAATTCAACTTTTTCATTTATTTATTTATTTTTAGAAGCATTTCAAGGTGATTTTATGTATCAAGGACCCCCATCACAAACTTATAATGATTATCTCATGCAACAAGAATTACATCAAAGACTTAGTTATGGACCACCACCTCCACAAGGACCTCAATCAACACCTGGAGGTAAAGAATAATTTTGTTTGATTAAAAGAGTTCGAAATATATTAAATGTTGTTTTTACAAATAGATTTACCATTTGGTATGCATCATGATTTAACTAGTGGCCCAGGTGGCCCACCAGCTACAGTTCCAGAGTCCACAGGAGTCGATTCCGATGATCTACAACAACGTTTTCATAGTAGCGGAAGTACAACACCACCGCCGCCTTCACAAGTGGTTACTGGCGGTGGTCCATACAGCGATCATTCGTGGAACTGATATGTTTATATTGACATGCGCATCTTTTTTCTGTCACCTTTGTATAACAGTCAATGCTTCTCTCTCTCTCTCTGTCACTTGTATTCTATTGTTTTTTTCTCTATTGCGGTTTTTCTTTTCTCAGTCTAAATTCAGCCTTTTCTTTTTTTTCTGGTCTTTATCGTTGTTGTCATCATTGTCGTCTTCTTTTTTTTTGTTTTTTAAAAGAAAAAAACGATGATTTCTTGACATGATTTGACGATCTCATGCTGTGTAATAACGGAATTTCAGACAGCTGAACAAATGTACACGAGCGGAAATGTCAACTTGAATGTGCACGAGCGTGCGTTTCTTTGTTTCTCAATGTTTCCTGTCAGGAATGAGATTACTAGCACGGAATTGGTGGCAGTTCCCATTTTCCTATTAAATAAGAAGAACGCCAATCGACTATTTAGCTCTAAGAATATTTTCACTATCAATGATTGACAATAAAAAAAAAAAGAATAAGAAAAAGAAAACGAACTAATGTTTGCTCGACAGATTCATCAATATTGACTACAACTGTGCATGACGGCAATGACAAGAAATGAATTCGTACAACAAACTTGACGATGCCATGGAGAGCGGTGGGTAAGAATCGATGAAAATCTCAATTTGCTTGCACAAATAAACGCGTGTGCGCGAACGTGCGGCACTCTATGATTGAAAATGTGTTCAAAGGAAGCCTTGCCATTCTAAGCATACATTGATCCACATCGTTCAGTTTGCTTAAGAAACCACAAGTATACAACTTCTTGATGATGTTGAAGATGATGTGACTCAATCATCCAATCAAACAATACATGTATATATGTACATATATAAGAACACCGGCAGTGCAAATGAATGAATGGTCATTGCCATTGGAAAAGGTGTTGTTTAATTTTCTTTTTTTTTGAATAAGGTAGAGAAAAAGGCAAAAAAATGTCGTGCTGAGAACAGAGGATTACAGATTAGAGTATATACTTAGCATGTATATGATCAAGACGGCAAATGATGCTTGTTGTTGATCAAAAAAAGGTGTTACATGCACACGTGTATCTTCAAACGGGCTATTACGTGAGATTTGGTACCACCCAGATTCAATCAAACATATCGAAAATAAGGAAAAAAAGTGGCACGTACATTTTCTCATTAACATATAACATGGAAAAATAATATTGATTATCAAATTTTTTTTGTAAAACAAGAAAAAACGGACGGAAGCTTGTGTATATGATTCAATCCAAAAATATATTTTCTTAAGGTGCTAATGTCTGGATATGATCCGGTTATTTACTCGGCTAATCTTGAGATATGTTATATAGCTTGTAATTTATTATTTTTCGCAACTGATTGTCAATCAAAGATGTAAATAGAAAGGTGACGTTAAAACATTGTCAGCATTGTCACAGTTGATATAGATAGAATATATGAATTGTTGTGATAGAGACTCAAACATTTTTTTTGACACACTCGCATTTTCTACTAAATTTTCACAACGTATTGAATGGCATAAATGAATTCTTATAATAATAGTATAAAAAAGCAAATTGATTTGTTTTCTGTTTTTGAAGACAAAATATTCATAGAATCATCAATCAATGATTGAAAGAGATGTGTTATACTTTTAATACTATCAATAAAATCTATCTGTATCATGATGATGAATAAATATTATAGAATAGATACATATGTATAGTCGTTCAATTATTTCTATCAATCACTAATATGTATCTATTAAAATTACTTGCAATATAGATTACAATAAACTAAACTGCGTCATTGACAAATCCTACAGATGCCGTTACTACTCATAAGGATATAATCAAATTATAAAAGGAGAAGTAAAATAAAATGAAATTATTAATGAAAAATATAGACAATATGTGATAATTAGTAATTATTTTAATTGACTAGTTAAAAATAATTGAATATAAATATAGATGACGCTTTTTTATTATATGATTTTCAATCCAGGTATGACCAATACCAAATCATGGATAGAAAAAGTAAAGCAAACTAAACTACTGCACTAAAAAGTAACAGAGAAAAATTAATTACAAATAAGATATGTTGTAATGCGTGTTTTTTCTATATTTGCATTGTCTGATGCAATCAGAAATCATATAAATTTCATTTTTAGATATGTCTACTCGAGGACGCGGTAGGGGTGGCGGTGTTCAATCCACCGATAGAGCGTCTTCATCGTCATCTGCAGCTTCTTCTCGTAGTTCTTCATTAACACGTGCTCCAAGTACAACATCCGTTCAAGATCCCGATCGACTAATGAGACAATTAATGACTCCACGAGGTGTTGGATCCACTGCTGCTACTGGTCTTGGATCTGGTGCACGTCCTGCACGTCAATTTACTCCCAATATAGCTGTTTCGAAAAAAGACAAAGATAAAACTGATTCCACAAACAATCTCTCGGCATCCAATTCAAATAATGATGTCTCGTTCACAGATAAACATGATCTTAACAATGGTCATGGTTATCAAAGAGGTCGCGGGAGAGGTTCCAATAATCGAGGTGGTAGAGGCGGTGGAAATTATAAACAAGAGGAAGGTATTTTTGGACGTGGTGTTCCTGTACCAGATGCATCGCATACATCAGCATCATCATCATCTTCTGGTTCTCGATTATCATCTATTAAACGTGAAAGTTCAGCTTCGAATTTAAAAGGATCTAATTTAAAAAAACTTGGAACAGACAAAAAAACCTTAGTTGGTGATGCCGACGGTCTTAAATATGAAATTGATGAAGAGAATGAACCGCGCTTAATTCCACTTGCTCAGCGAAAATCTATATTTGACGTCAATAAAGGGCACGGTACGACATCGAAAGTTAAAGAGCCAATATTAAACACTGCTAAACATATTGATTCATTTGTTAAATTATTTTCTCAACATACACTTGATTCATCGACAAAAACAATCGTTAAAGATGAACCCGTTGAACCAAAAGATTTACCGAAAATAGAAAAACCTATTATCAATGACCCATCACAACTTATTCTTATGCAATTTCCTGATGTTTTACCATGTACACGTACATCGTCATCGTCAACAAAGCCTGAATTAGCATCATTAAGTGATCTGCCTGATGGTTTTCTTGGTAAATTACAAATATTTAAATCTGGTAAATGTCGTTTAAAATTAAATGATGATACGTATCTTGATGTTGATATTGGACAACCGACATCATTTTTACAGAATGTTATGGTCACAGAAATGGCTTCAACAAATATAACTGATGATAATGGAACAAATAATGATATGAATAAACTTGTTTGTCTTGGTGATATTAAACATAAACTTATTGTTTCTCTTGATGCTGAACATGTTCTTCAAGATACTAGACAATAATCGAGAGAAGAAGTTCTTAAGATATATATACATATATTTAAACAAAGATGTTGTTTTTTATTTTCTCGTTTTTTTTCATCAATTTTAAATATAAAGGATAATAAAACGAGCACATTCGTTTAGTTCGAATGTTGAGTTTTCCGATAACTTGTACATATGGAAGAAGTTTCGCTGTTTTATTCCATATTAATCCCGTCAATTAGATTCCTTTGACTCGAATGAATATTAAATGTATATCATGCTAGAAGTCTATTTGAAATAATTCTTGGAAAAAAAGATTATCTCTATTGATAGAAATGTTAATCCTTTTCTTTTTACTATGATTGAAAGTACCATCGAATATTGAAATGATCAAAGCATACTGATAATTCTATCTTTTTAAAAAAATTTTCTCTTAGTCATGACAGAGTGAAACAAAAGAGAGAGAAACAGAGGGCTTAGTCATGTCAGATGGTGATTTCCTCAGATAAAAAAAGAGAAATCGTAAATTCATTTACAAGCTATATAGATAAGAATCTCATTCTTTCGGTGAAGGTTATCATTATACGATTTTTTCTTCTATGAACTGACAATGAAACCTACATAGATACATATCAGATATCAAACAGGCTTCATTTCTGTGTTTACATTTGGGATTAAAATTTTGATCATCACTCAAATAAAGTTCGTTTATAGAGAATAATTTCGAAAAAATTTATATCAATATCAATATTTACTCTAGATGAATGATTCGTTAACGTCTCGTGTATTATCAACAATTCAATATAGTCAATTTGTTGCTGGTCTTAGTGGCGGTGTGATTTCATCATTAATACTTCATCCATTTGATTTAGTTAAAATACGTTTTCAAGTTACAGAAACAAAATCAGTAATACACAATTCTTCATTACCCTATCGACCACATTATAATAGTCTATTCGATGCTTTTCGTACAATTTACCGTGAAAAAGGCCTTTTTCGTGGTCTATATCAAGGTGTAGCGCCTAACGTTCTTGGTAATGGCATTTCATGGGGTCTTTATTTGCTACTATATAATACTATTGATATTTTACATAATAAAGAATTTAAAAGAGCAGATCTACGATTTCAAGATCGTTTTATGTATTCCACCATAGCTGGTATAACAACAATATCCATAACAAATCCCATATGGGTTCTTAAAACACGTATGTGTTTACAATATTCGAATTCTAAAGCAAGTATCCAATATAAAAATATGTTTGATTGCATTCGAAAAATCTATAAAATCGAAGGTATGAAAGCATTTTATAAGGGTCTTGTACCTGGTATGTTTGGTACTGTTCATGGTACAATTCAATTTGTATCTTATGAACAAATGAAAGATTTTTATTTAAAAAAATTTCACACAACAGAATTTTCAACTCCAATTATATTAACATTTTCGGCTTTATCAAAATTAATTGCTGTTAGTACAACATATCCGTATCAAGTTGTAAGAACACGCTTACAAGACCATCATCAAAACTATAATGGCGTGATTGATGTTATGAAGAAGACATATCATAGAGAAAGGATTGGTGGTTTTTATAAGGGTATAGTGCCTACAGTATATCGCGTTGTACCCGCGTGTTGCATTACTTTTGTTGTTTACGAATTTGTTTTGACGGAATTAAAGCGTTAGGGAAATATTTTTTTTAAAATTTTGTTTTCAGATATTTATTTGTTTGACTATTATCAACAATGCCACTTAAATCAAAAGAATTTATTGATTCGTCCGACTCAGGTAGTGATAACGAATCAGGAGCAAAGGCAACATCGAAAAAGCCGAAAGCTAAAAGTTCGGATGGTAAACATGATGTAAGTGATATCAGTGCGAGGAAAAGATCATCTGTCTTAATATTTTTTATTTTATTTGTTTGCTCTAGCCACCAGCTAAGCGAGCTAAGCCAAATGACGAGGACAGTGGTGCTGTAGCTTCAAAGACAGGACCAGGTGGTGAACGACTTTATGAAGTAAATCATTTTATCTAGTGGAGGTTTCTAATTTGTTTAATCGTTCTATAGATTGGTAAATCACGCTATGTATCTGTTAGCGAATTCAAAGGTAAACCATATATCAATATTCGTGAATATTATGAAGATAAAGGCGTAGAAAAACCAGGCAAGAAAGGTATTGTCTAAAATAAAAATCTAGTTTCTCGGGAAATCAATATGATTTGTTTTTATTAAAATTTAGGTATTAGTTTGACTGCTGATCAATGGGACAAATTGAAATCATTGATGAATCAAGTTGATAAAGATTTGAAAAAATCAAAATAAAACAAGTTTAAAAAAAAAATGAACTTTGAAAATATAGAAATAGTCAGATTAATAAAACCACGTTAAAAAAAGAGGTCCATGTAAAATTAAGAGTTTGCAACTAGTTGTTTATTTTTTCTTCTTCTTTATATTTATCTTAGACTTGAATCCTGTGATGTGTTTATCATTTCTGCTGAAATATGTATTCATTCATCTTTAAACTTAATAAACTCGATATACTCAAAATTTTCTATTGTGTTATTATTCTTTGGAAAGTTGTAATGATTTTAACTGTAATATTTATGAGACATTGCACGTAAGCCACGATCATTTTCAGCGTAACCTGGCTTAATCGATCTCACGGATTTGGCTCATATATTTACAGTAGATACCTACATTCAAGTTAGGAAAAAGACTAAAATTTCAGCTCACGCGGATGAGCCGTTTTCGACATATATGACTTGAAAGTATGGGTACTCGATCAAAATTAGACGTTTTTTTATTGCAGCACAATTCAGTATATATTCATTTTCTCTCAAGTTATAAGCTGTGAGTTTTTCACCAAAGATACTATCGATTGCGGGCTAACTTTTGATAGTCATAAAATTGCTACATCCAGGAATAATTTTTGATTGACACCATATTTGATTTTCAGAAAGCGTGCCCACGTATTTTGGGCAGCTAAGTCGAACCAGTGAGATCGTATTCACTGAAATTAATCTCATTTGAAAGGACACATCAAAATGCATCGAATGATGTTCTCAAAACTTTGACAGATTAAATTTTAGCTTAGGAAAAGTCTTCACATTTTGATTAAAAATTTCCCATCTGTAAAAAGTTGATCTATCCGATATTTTGATTGTTTCATCACTAACAACTAGCGTTTTCCGGAAACTAACTGCATAGTTTGATAGTACTTAAAAGTCTCTACCAATTAATATACGAACATCTTGCGCTACATCCTCTTGTTAGAAAAATTCTAGTACAATGATGATGTTTTTCTCCTCAAATTCTTCCAAATAGAATTTTTGTATTATTTGCTTTTCAATTTTTCATCCATATTTGAGTAGAAAACACAAACTACTTCAAAATCAAATGCATAGCGTAATAGAGCGTGACATTTTCTATCATTTTACACACTCGAAACTGAGATTGTGATAAATTAAAAATATTGACTAGAACTAATTTTTCGGCTCAGGTATGCAAGAAGCATACACAAATATTTCAAACAAATTCAATCAGGGTGATGCAATATATCAATTGTTGAGTATCTTCAATTGCATAATCATATTCAGAAATAAAATATATCGATTTCTTCACAAAATATGAAAAAATTAGCGATATGTAGATATAACAGAATGAGATATAAACGCGAGAAGCATGTTAAAAATCTGCTCTAAAACTGTATCGCGCAATACTGGGAAGTATTTGTCTTTAAATAACTATTGTTTATATCAAGAATGCTGAATTTTGTTTTGAGGTCAATAAAGGTAACACGATATTCGAGTTATTCGAGTCAAGATTCGGTCTATGACCTGTGTTGGATCTATTTCAGGTTGTATCGAGTAGAGAATTTCCTCCTATAGAGATTGAGAATTAAATTCAATGCAGGTCGTAGGGGCAGAAAATGGGATTTATTCAAGAAATTCTCACATTTCCCCATTGAACTTCTAATGCATTAAAACTATTATCAGCATGAATTCGCCTTTGAGACCTGTGTTAGATCTGCAACCTTTTTTATTTGACGTAGATTTTCATTTTCAGCCGCATGATATCATTTTAGATGTGGCCAGCACGCAAAGCATTATGAGCTGGGTGGTCACTGAGGTGTGGATATATATATATATACATGGGTGTGAGTACGGTGAGTTGTGCGCTCACTATTGATTATTTACCATACTTTCCGGCTTATTTCAAAATTTGGGGGCGTTGCTTTTTCATTCCCAAGATGAAACGGTCTCACCCAGGTATCCACCTAGCTCATCATTTTTTGTCTGATGATTCCATCTAAAATGATACTGTGCGGTAGGAAATGCAATTCTATATCGAATAAAGACAGTTCCATATCCAACACAGGTCTAAAAGTGAATTCGGACTGAAAATAGTGTTTATGTATTATCTGTGCAATAGGAAAAGTGTGTATTTCTTGAATAAACCCCATTTTCTGCCCGATAATCTCGCCCTCTCCCAAATCTATTCCTATTCGCTAGCGGGAGAAATCTCTACCAAACACGACCTATTGCAGACCCAACACAGATCAGAGAGCAAATCGAGACTGGAATTATTAGAATATTGTGCTCACCAAACGTACGTTGTTTTGATTTGTCAGTTAAAGCGGACGTCCGGTAGTATATGTTTTACTTTTGATCGATGTTCAAGAAACTGTTGCTTTAAGATTAATAGGCTATCTGTGCTCAAATTTTGAATATTTCAAATATTTCAGCTAATACAATTGAACATGCAGTTTTTGTAATTCTAAATTTGTATCACTTACTTCGTAGGACAAGATCTCAATTAGCGTCTGATTCTCTTTTAACGATGGAGTCTGTTTTATTCACGAGATTCTGTTGACATCTGTTTATTTTTAAATCTACAGAATAAATATGCCTATTGGCGAACGCATGATGTATCTATCGAGTGAATGTTCTCTACATGATAAAATATACGTTCTTGTAGTTGTTACACATCTCAAACTAGCTAAAATAATGTATCCTCCACCGAACCTTTTGTGTAATATTTCTTCTGACTTTAACAATTAATTGTCGGGCGCTGTATAAAACAAAAAAGAATAGTATGGTGCCTTATTAAGTACAAATTGGTGTTGTTCATAGATTAAACTAAGGATCATATGAAATTTCTGAATGCAGTTTAATTCTTGATCGATCATCACCTTTTATTGATATTGGAAAAGCCTTTCTCGAAAAGGTAAGCTGCCAACGTCTTCATTTGTCTTGAAACGTCATAATAAAATTCAAGTTGTCGTGTCATTTATTTTTACTATCTATGAATGAATGTTTTAGGTTGCTTCTATAGATATAGATTTGCTGTAAGATGGAGAGGCACTGGCCATTGCTCACATATACATCACAAATGATCCTTTTCACATAGTTAAGGAGAGATAAAGAAAATCATCATCGTACAATCGTGTTTCACAATTTTATCCGATTCAACATCTTGGATAATTTCCATACGGTGATCATCTTTATACAATCCATCGCATGGAAATGTAGTCAATGATAGGACTTTAAAAATCAACAGGTTAAGAGTTGAACCCTTTTTCTGCCGTCGATTTCAATGAAATCCAAATCAAGAAGAGTCGTGACAGTAGCAATACAAATAAATTGCTCATATGATTAGGTCAAGATAGACGGGTTGAACAGCTCCAGAAACAGCAGTATCTATCAAAGTGTCAAGAAATTAATCATTAATAAAAAATTTTACTTATTTATTGTCGTTTTTGATAGTTTTACAAATTTCTAACTCTATCTTTTTAATTTATCACAATCTCAGTTTCGAGTGTGTAAAATGATAGAAAATGTCACGCTCTATTACGCTATGCATTTGATTTTGAAGTAGTTTGTGTTTTCTACTCAAATATGGATGAAACATTGAAAAGCAAATAATACAAAAATTCTATTTGGAAGAATTTGAGCAGGAAAAACATCATCATTGTACTAGAATTTTTCTAACGAAAGGATGCAGCGCAAGATGTTCGTATATTAATTGGTAGAGACTTTTAAGTACTATCAAACTATGCAGTTAGTTTCCGGATAACGCTAGTTGTTAGTGATGAAACAGTCAAAATATCGGATAGATCAACTTTTTACAGATGGGAAATTTTTAATGAAAATGTGAAGACTTTTCCTAAGCCAAAATTTAATCTGTCAAAGTTTTGAGAACATCATTCGATGCATTTTGATGTGCCCTTTCAAATGAGATTACTTTCAGTGAATACGATCTCACTGGTCCGACTTAGCTGCCCAAAATACGTGGGCACGCTTTCTGAAAATCAAATATGGTGTCAATCAAAAATTATTCCTGGCTGTAGCACTTTTATGACTATCAAAAGTTAGCCCGCAATCGATAGTATCTTTGGTGAAAAAATCGCAGCTTATAACTTGAGAGAAAATGAATATATACTGAATTGTGCTGCAATAAAAAAAAACGTCTAGTTTTGATCGAGTACCCATACTTTCAAGTCATATATGTCGAAAACGGCTCATCCGCGTGAGCTGAAATTTTAGTCTTATTCCTAACTTGAATGTAGGTATCTACTGTAAATATATCAGTCAAATCCGTGAGATCGATTGAGCAATGCCTCTTATGGAGCTTTTACGATGACGAACCAACGAATTTGAAAAGTGCATAAACCAAAAATAACTTTGACTATAGCAATCAGTATTGTACAAAATGGTTCTTCTGAGAGACAGCCATTCGAATGATGTAACTGATATTTATGACCGAGAGAAGTTATTGTAAAAGGTTACTTTTATGATAATATGATATTCAAAAAAGTCAGATGATACACTTGATACATTGTTTATCGAGCTATGTAAAAAACGCCGAGCTCATGTTACATCTATAGGTGTTCCAATGCATCAACAGTGTTGATGAATCTTAGAATTTTTTGAAAAATAGATAAGAAAAAATAGATAAGGCATGTTGTAGTTGAGGATGTGGGCATTCGTGTAACGCCACACTCACACCGTTTAGGAATACTTGTGATTCTTCAAACTTTTTGAACTACGTAATGCTATACGTCAAATCGCAATGAATTATTTTAAGTAAAAAAATCGAAATTTGTGTATGATAAAACAGTGAATAAATATTGTTTCTCTGATAAATACATTTTGATCATGATCAAAACAACCCAAAATGAAACTAAAAACTTCTAAGCAAAAAGAAAACTGATGAAATCAAATAACTTTTATCTAATATTGATTTTATATGTGTGATGATAACAATCGATGAGTAGGATCTTTTATATTTTTTATATAATTTAACCTTGATTTGTCTTTTTTGCAGAGTCGTTTCAAATACTTTATATTCTATATTTATTATCCTAGTTCATTTATTGATCATCATTTTACTAAGCGCCTAGAAAATAAAGTCATGCGAATGCTTTGTAATCAGCACGTCGAGTTTAATAGGCGACCTATTGTGCTTAAGCTTTAATTAAATCCAACAAATGCAGGTAAACACACCACTCACGAAAATTTTTCATAAAGACACGATGATATAATTGACACTTCTGATAAATGACCAGTTGAATCACTCCTATTTAAAAAATATTATCTCTTCCAAGGAGTAACCATTCTTCTACATCACCAGTATTCACCATCAATTTCGTGTAAGATACTCAATGGTTTCTTTGTTCTAGTTTCCTGCGCCATCTATGTGGAGCCTAACATAGACTCCTTATTTGCTCTTGGTTATCAACCGATGATATATTGAAATTATTAGAAAACGTATGCAATAAACCACGTAGCATTTCGTGGCTATTCACACACACACACACACACACACACGCTTCCATTAAGTTTTAGAAAAATAAAATTTTATTAAAGCTCATATTCCAGTTCATATTAGAATGTTTTCAATGAGTGACGATAGCAGTAATAAGGTATATACTGTTATCTGCAGTATTCGGAAGTCGGTATTCCTCTTCTTCTTTTTTTATAGAAAAAAGGAAAACAAGCAACCAAAGGTGATGCACAAATAGTAAAAGAGAATGCACAAACAATAGAATTTTATAAAAAGATTTTAATTATTGTTAACGTAAGATTTTATGATCTGAGTGCATTCTAAATGGAAAAAAGATGAATTTATAACTATAATAGGTCATGTTTATTGCTGTTCACTTCATTTTCTATTTTATTACTGGACTTTCGCATGTTTCTCTCGTGAGTGTTGACAATCAAATGACTCTTAATCATTTCATTTAACCTATATTATCGATAGATACTATTTGTGTTGTCTACTGCTATAGCATGGTATGTATGGTGGTTTATGCGTCAAGTTGGAACGAAAAAGTCAACTGGAAGTGTCACTGATCTAAATCTTGAAGGCAGTATTTCTGAGTAAGCTTTATTTCTCAAATAAGATATATTCAGACTTCAACCTAAATCTCTGATGGAATCTAGTTTACACAGTTTGTTTACTACGAGACCACATGACCTCAAAGCACTTATCTATTTATAGACTATCAAGATATCATAGAAAATTTCTTTTGAATGTTTAACTATATTTATATAGATATGCAAAAGATATTATTTTGGCGATTGTTATCACTCAATTTGCTAGTCTCTTACACCGATACTGCTGGTGGTTACTTTTAGTTGTCTGTATAAGAATGATTTGTATTTCGTTTAAAAACGGCAACTTTATTTTTAGATTCCATTGTATGCTATCTATAAGGCGATCATGCTCTTTTTCTTTTCACCCTATGCTCAACTGGGTGCTAGTGATAAAAAACAAGATGACGATGATCAAGCCGATGGAAAGAGAGGTGGCAAGCGAAAACTTGTTCGAGTCGCTCGACATTAATCAGAAGAAATTTTTTACTGCTTCTGATTTTCTTCCAACAATAATAAAGCCATACTAACGACAAACATTTTATTGTTTGACTTTGTTTTAGATCTGAATAATGCATGGTAATTATATAATAGAGCGGGTCAATTTATTGCTCATTTTGCCTGTATATTTATTCTATGTGACTTCAATGAAGTTAATAGCAACTGCATTCTTCAGTCAATAATTCGAAATACGTACCTTTAATGTGAATTTCATCGCTCATCTCTGACTGTGAGAAGATTCCTGATGGTATCTTGTATCGAGTATCCTTGAATGTTGATCTTCAAAGCATTAAGGTCACTGCTAAATAATAACCACGATCATCTTTTAACGATTAGCAGTGGTATCGGCTTTACTATTGTATCTGATCTTATCAATTATTGTGCATCGAAAGCGAACAGCTGTCGACTTACACAAAGCTGCAACGTATAAAGATTACTTATTGATGGGTCAATAGAAATCATACAGAAGTATTATGTATGTGTATTGTACGCACTGTAAAAGATTGGCAATAAAGCAAACGTTGTTTATCCGATTTATATTAATGCCAACATGTAAAGAGGTAAGCAGCCTAGGTTGAAGCAAATGCTACGATCAGTTTTCCTCATTCCATCAATGCATTTCTTGAACGTCGTTTAAGAATTTCAATTGAGTTTATTGTTACAGATTTTCTTAAATGTAGTTTTATTCAATATGGTCTTCAGATTAGCGAACATGAGAATAAATGATATTCAAAACTAAGCCAGAAATCACTAACATTACTGAACATTCGATATTTTTTCAACTAGTTTCGATTTATTTTGAATACTGTAGATAAAAAGATTGTCATCCATTCTTTAGTATATCTTGCATACAATTAACAACTAACGGCAGAATTTTTCACTTGACGCATTGATTACATTTCAGTTTCTTTATTTCTGTAGAGCGTTTCTTTATCAAAAGTCTCCTATATTTAGATCTTATCAAATTCCTTTCTTTTTTCTGTCTTACTCATCATATATTGACTAAGATGATAGAAGTATGTATTTAACATGATTCAACAAACGAAAATTTGTGTGTCACCTGATAATAATTGCCATATTCTATTCTACGAAACACATTCTTCTAGGACCGAATAATTCATAGCTATTACAAATGTTATTTTTTACAGCATTGAAACATCAGTTCATGATGACAATCAATCGTGTCAGTGAGACTTCTCCGTGACAAAAACGAAGTCGTGCAATTTATCTGTTATCGGTACTGCCAGTAGACGCCTTATGAAGTGTGATTTAACAAATAAAGTAATCATTTGTCAATATACTTATAAAAACAACGACGTATTGCAATTTAAAACACATGACCTCAAGTATGTGTCAACCATGTAAAATAATGCATATCACTATAATGGCAGTGCTGTTTTAAATATCAAAGTAGCGCCACAATCTGCATAATGTCAATTTAACGTAGACTTTATTACTCATTTCTACTTAATGATAATAATACGAAATGGTATCACGCATCGATATTGGACCTCAACTATGGTTCTAGTCTCACCCTTATGAGTGCTGTTGAATTTATTGTAAGCGCTGCTTTTTATTTCAAAGCTAATTATATTTTTTGAAGAATTTACTCCGAAGTCAATAGATGCTTGTTTTTTATCGCTGGTAATGTGACAGCAAGGTTGAATCAAGAAAAACTATCAAGTACAACCACCAACGCCATTCAAACATACGTGAATAATGCCGAAATGAGTAATGATTTCATTTGTTCTTCACATATTATTGAAAGAAAAAAAAAGAACTAATATTCTAAAATACCTGTGTTTTTTTTTGTATCAGAATCGCACAAAGTGTAGTCGAATTTCATGCACATCAAATGATTGGTCTTCATAATGCAATTCTTTGTTCGTTAAAAGAAATCAACTTGAATTCAAGTAGTTAATTGCATATTAAATAAACAAGACTCTTTTTTAATATTTATCTTAATAATAGTTCATTTTTCTTCTTGTGAATTTCATATTCTGAGTTAGAAAAAAAATTTCGTCGTTTAACTTTGGCTAATCTTAAATTTTAGATAAAAGTTGTAATGAACAATAACAGATAATGAATTTTTGGTTCATTCTCAATCAGCATGAAATTTTCATTTTGTTTTTGCCTTAAACGTGATCGTGCTACGTACAACATATCGTCAGAAAATATCTACTATGCAAATTCGAAATTAAAACCACCAACAGTAATACTACCACCAATTCCATTATCATCCAATGTAGAAATGATACCAATTGAATCTGATTATGCAAAGATAAATGATCTATCAGGTGATGGAGAAATCAGTATTGTGAATATCGATCGAACTTCAACAAGACCAATAGAACATAGTAATCCTGGTAAACTAACACCAATAAGACCGCAAAGACAATCATTTGATGATAATTCAGAACTTTATGCTACTGTAAATAGAAAACGAACAACTAAAGATGAACAGAGAATAAAAACAAATGCAACGAGTACGAATGATGCTAGTTCTCGACAAGATCTGTCATCATCGTCGATAATCGAGTAAGTTAATGAAACCGTAATGATACTTAATAGTAGTAAATTAATAGACTACAAAAAAAAAGCATTTGCACTTTCTTTTCAATCATAACTACCGTATAGATGATACTTTCGGAAATATTTCTCATCAGTCTTGGTGAAATTTGGTGAGCAGACCGAAGAATCTATTTTGTTTTTAGTACTTCACCAACATTATATTCGACCAGATTCAGTATGCATACTCAACATCCACCACTAAATCCTCCTCCATTGCCGCCATTCCCACCTCAGGTTTATACGAGTGTAGCAACGAATCATCACAGACAGATTTCTCATGGTCGTCCATATTATGACGACATCATCGTATGTAAATCTTCACAAGATCATGATCAAAGTTTACAAACAGAAGATCAACGAAGTCGATCCGAACAACCATTGCATGAAACTTATTATTCATCTGTAAATAGTGAACAAGACACGGGAAACGGCAGTGATATATATGCTGAAATAGCTAATAGTAGTTCTTCAGATGTAGTATATCCTAATTCTCAGTGTCATTACTATTCTCGGCCATCAAATGATGCTGGTGCAGGCGATGATTCATCGGAGAGTTATGCAACTGTTCTTGAACTATAAAGATGTGGCGTTTGTTTTTATTTTAAATATTGTGCTTCATTTCTACCTATGTTTAATTTATTCGTGCAATCAAGTATCTTTCTTTTTGTTTAAAACTAACTGAAAATTAAAATTTTATCATTTATATATATATTTATACACACTTGGCTTCTGTTCAAAATTTTTAAACAAAATAAAATTAAAAAAAAGAAATTTTTAATCAATAATCGTTTTTTTTAAGTAAAAAATACCATTGGAGCATATTAAGATTTTCTGCAAGTAGTATTTGTCGTTCACGGTATTACCTAATTGTTTGAAAATACGATATGAATACTGGCAGACCAATCCTGAACAAATTTCTGCTCAATGCGTGTATACTAAACAGCTGTTTGCGTATGAATTGTTTTGTTCTACTACTTATATCTAATACTTAATTATGAATGAGTGGAACAGACAGCTGTTTCGAAGAGAATCATTCACTCATTTTGAGTCATTTCGTTCTATCGGTGAAGTCAGTGAAAATAGTCAATTGACAGCTATGATGATCATCACGTCGCTTAATTGAAAACTGTTGATTGTTGTTTTTTTTTTGTTGCTATTTATTAAACAAGTGTATCAATATGTACAATATACTGCGGACATAAAATAAAAAAAGAACGACAAGTTGATTTTTTTTGTTAATCAATGAGAAAAGTTAGATGACGATGAAAATTGTTGCCAGAGAGCCAAAGCCGCGGTCGGATTCGGTTGTTGATGAACGGTTAATTGATTTCGGGGATGATTCTTTTCACGTGATCGTTTATTTTGAAACCAAACTCGAATAACTTTTTCTTCGAGTGATAACAATCGCGAAAGTGTTTCCATTTGCGTTGGATCTGGATAGCGATTTGTTGCATAGAAACGATCAAGACTCATTTTTTGATGATCTGTAAATGCTGTACGAATCTTCTTTGCTTTATTATTTTTCTAAATAATACAAAATCAATGCGATAGTTTTTAAAATATTCTTCTGCAACGCTTGACAATTACCGATTCATTATTTTGTTTTTTTAATTCTTCCAACGGTGATGATGCGGCTGCTGGCTTTATGTTTTCCATGTCACCATCACTTTCGTGTGAATCAGTTGATTCTCGACTTTGTCGTAACGAAAGTAAAGAGCCAGATAAATATTGTGAACTGTAACCAGTATCATCTAAATGAACGAAAAAGAGAAAATGATTACAATTTAATGAAGAAGTTACGAGTGATTTATTTCCTAAATAGAAAAAGAAATGCTATATCAAGGATTGTTTATATTACCTGGCTGGTATCTAAACAAACGCAGTTAATATGAAAAAAATGTTGCCTTACCATTTCTTTGAGAGGGAGTAGAAGTTATAGAATTAGGAATGGGAGAAAGTAGCTCATCAATACTCTTGAAGTTATGTCGAACAATTGGTGTAGCTGTACGAATTATTGGTGGTTGAAATGACATTGAATTGAACATCGGTGAATTACGTAATGGTGTAAATGGAAACCAAAGTGAACTAAAAAGAATTAAAAGATTCGACTTTGTTTCTAATATAGAATATGAAAAACTTACTTAAATGTTGGCGGATATACTCGAGTTTCGGGCATATCTGAATCATGTTCATCATGGCCTGAGCCAATACTAGATGGGCTGGTACTACGATCGTCTTCCATTATTCAAAGTAGTCAAGTGTACAGTAGAAATGTTGGCAGTAGAATGAAGTTATTGCACCAGATGCAAAATCTATTTGTATGCGATGAATTTTTTTCTCTCACTTCCGTTTCGACCAATAAGTGTTCGATCTAGAGAAAAATGTTGATTTTATTGGAGGAAATCAATTGATAGATTAGAAGAAGAAGAAAAAATGACAAGCCTATTTGATACGCTAATTGATTTACACTAATAGGTTAAATAATAACACTATGGGCGACTAATCGATGGACTCATTGTAGACAACAGCTAAATTGCATATTTTTCAATTTGAACCTAATGTTATCTGTTTCTCAAGTAGAATGAGATCATGGTTTTAGTTTAGATTTAAACAGTCTGGCTTAGAAATACAGATCTGCAAAAATATTCTCTTTATCAATCGTATTATAAAAAATATGACCAGAAGAAATAGCTTAGTTGTCAGCGATATCATTTTAAATGGAGAATTCAATACTGTTCATGGAAGTAGTTCTATGAAGCCAATGGCACTATTAATCATTTTAGATTTTGATCATATTAGAAAATAAAATAAAATATCATTTACGAATATGTTACATTGTGAATTGATATCAGATAGGTGTCAAGTTCTACAAATGTTGATGATAAATGCAGACGAGAAAAAGGAAGTAACGTCGTGTACCAATAATCATATTATCAATCAATCAATAACCAAATGGGAAAAGACACTCGAAACGAATCAAGATGATCATCATTTAACCATAGAAGTATCAAGAGATCTGTGAATTCTATACTTTTTTCTCAACAGTAAAATACAACGTATGATAAGAATTTTTCCGTTGCCTATATCTATCAATTGCAAGGTGTGAGGATCAATATAATGAATATTTTGTTTATTGTTCGATTAAGGTTCTTTGGCCGTGTGAGTGTTTTTAAAAAGCATACATATTGATCGATGCAATCTATAGGCATCGTTCATAAACTAATTGACCTACCGGTGAGAAGAATCGAAGTAAAAAGAAAAGCATACCGCCACTAAGCATTTTCATGCTGAGTGACAAGACATCAGTAGCAAGAAATTCTTCACAAATTAAGATAAGACTTGTGGCAAAAATTAGTGACATTTTGTGTTTCGTATGGAGAGGCATAACGCCTAATATTGGTTTATCAGCTCTTATGATAGCTTAATTTTCCAGCATGGAAGTAAGCCAAATTATCATCCAATCGTTTCAGTTTATACTTGGTTGCATTTTAATAGAAGTTGAAGTTTCTACAAGTTTTGCTTCAAGAACGAAAATATATGTTGAAAACTCAATTTCATATTGAACAAGTTACTTATTGATTGATTGATTGATTACATATAATTTCATGATTGTTTACAATCGAAATCAATTTAACTATCAACAATACAAGACAACAATTATATAATTTTAATCGATGATTGCTTTCCATATAGAATCATTTCTCGGATGTCATCGGCAATAGTAGTAAGAATTCCTTATTCAGTGAACGGAGATAATTTTGAGTCAACTATGAGAATAGACCAGCAGATAGACGTTTGTATGAAAGTCTCTATCTTCTCCTCAAAATCATCTATTTCTCTGGTTCGATTTTATAGTGACGATTAATTACTTCTCGATAGAAGCTTTCACAAGAAGATTGTACCAGTGATATGTTTATATCGAAAAATGAAATAATGCTAGAAAATTTTTTTTTCCATGTTACTCTTACGAGTAGGTCAAAGATAATCCAAGTTATCACATATGAGATTACGAATTTTTTTAATGAATAAGCCAATAGAATAGGATGCGAATGATTAAGATAGATAACAAAGAAATCTGATAGTAGTTTATTGGAAATAGATTTTGACAACAAAAAAAATGAATCTACACAATTGCAATATACATGGCAATGGTTAAAGCAAATCATCAATTAAATTTAGTTTTAAGTTTTTATAATTTTAAGGAAACTGATATCACAACAAATATTATGTATCTTCATTGAAATAAGAGAAATGTTAATAACATATTCAATTCTGATATCTATCGTACAAGAAAGAAAAAGAGTGATAAATACATTTTTCGCTTAGCAGTTTTTATTTTACAATTTGAATGAATTTTTCAATAATTTCAACCGAGCAATTCTAATTCGGTAGTGCAAGTGACAAGTCATCGAACAATCGCCAAAGTTTACATGATAGTATCGTGCAATAATTATTCATGCACTCGTGATGTCTCTCTGATGGTTAATGCATTTGCGATTATTCAATGGCATTTTTCATCTCTGCACTAGTAGCACATTTTGATTTCAGCGTCTCGACTTGTACTGCAGATTGAAACTATTGTTGATGGTGTCAATCATCTTTTACATATTTTCATCAGCAAAAATTAAATAGAGATACCATTAGAATTCAAGAGTTCTGCAAGATTTGTATGAAAACACAAACGAATCTTAGATAATGGCCTTGATTTCGTGCTAACTATAGCTTATTCTACTTGATATCTAAGATCATCGAAAGACGTTCATAATATTAAAATTTCAAAGCGTTTATTTACAATTGAAAATTACAACTTCTTTCTTAAGTATTATAGATTTTTTCCGCAAAGTTGATCGACATGGTAGTTTTCCATGTAATTTTTCTTTATTAATTATCCTAATGGACTTCGATGGCAAATGTGTTTCCAACGTCTCTTCTTTTCTATCAGTGATTCGATCGATATTGATATATGCGTCTGTCGGTGTTGAATGATCTGATGGATCTTTTTTATCTCTTGCTTGAACGAACTGTTCGTAATAGGAAAGTGCTCGTGAATATTCACCCATGATTTCATATAGTTTACTGATGTTTGCATAACAAACAATCAAATCGGCATGATTCGATGGTAATGTTTTTTGACGAATTTCCAATGCTTTTTGATAGAAAACAAGCGCCTTGGAATATTCCTGAGTTTTCTGATGAGCTAGACCAATATTGTTATAGGAATTTGCCAGATTTGGATGATTCGAAGGTAGAGATTTCTCGTAGATTTCTAGTGCTTTTTGATGAGAAACAAGTGCCTCCGTATACTCGTCTAAATTGTCGTATACTAACCCGATATTATTGTAGGATGTAGCCAAATCGGGATGATTAGAGGGCAGAATTTCTTGCTCGATTTCAATTGAGTTTTTATAATATGTAAGAGCAGTCTTGTAATCGCCCATGTTGCCGTATACCGAACCGATATTATTGTAGGACATTGCTAATAGAGGATGTTTCGATGAAAGTGTTTTTTTACAGATTTCAAGTGCTTTCTCATGCGATGAAAGTGCTGTCGTGTGTTCACCTATGTGGTCGTAGACATTGCCAATATTACTGTAGGAAATAGCCAACGAAGGATGATTTGATGTAAGTATTTTTTCTTCAATATCTAATGCTCTCTTGTAAAAAACAAGTGCTTTTGAATATTCACCCATATTTTTATACACTGAACCGATGTTGTTGTAACACATAGCGAAGTCAGGATGATTTTCAGAAAGAATTTCTTGATAAATTGCGAGTGCTTTCTCATAGAATGAAAGTGCTTTACTGTATTCACCCATATTATCATAAACCAAACCGATGTTATTATATGAAATAGCTAACGATGGATGATTTGCAGGTATTGTCTTGTGTTCAATGTCACATGCTTTTTCATGAAATGAAAGTGCTTTGATATATTCTCCCAGATTATAATATATTAAACCAATATTTTTATAGGATGTTGCCAGAGTCGGATGATTTACAGGAAGCATATTTTCTTCAATTTCAAGTGCTTTCTGATGAGACTTAAGAGCACGAGTATAATCGCCCATATTTTTATATACCAAACCGATGTTGTTGTAAAATATTGCTAACGTAGGGTGGTCTTCAGATAAATTCTGTTTGTAGATTTCTAGAGATTTTTCATAATATGAAAGCGCTTCTGTATAGTCGCCCACATTATAATATACTTGACCAATATTATTATACGTAGTAGCTAAATCGAGATCATCAGATGATCGAATCTTTTGATAAATATCAAGAGTTTGTTTATACAATGAAAGTGCCTCTGAGTATTCCCCTTGATTACGCTTGATTAATCCAAGTTGATGACAAAGCAGAGCCTTTTCGTTGTCATCTGTGTTGAGGCCGAACACTGCTCTATAGACTTGTTCGGCCTTGTCAAATTTGCCTAATTTAATCAGTAACATGCCCAATCGATGCCATCCTGTTGATCCTCGAGTTTCATCTCGAAATAATTCAGTGAGAGCACTCAATTGTTTATTTCGACTATTAGTTAATGTCAGTATAACTTGGTAGAGCCGATTCGTTTTTTGAATCTGTTTAATTTCACCAATGCGAAAAACAGTATGCATTGAAAATAGAACTTCTTCTTCGTTTCTAAAATAGCTATCATCATCGATAAATGCATAAGGAGTGGCCAATTCAGATGGGTCAATCACCATTTTGAAAAGAACACCGACTAGTTCAAGATCATTTAATGCATCTTGCGCGAATTCTAACGATACTTCTCGATTTTTACTAGTTGATAAAAAACTATTGAACGACACGAGTCCTCCTTTTGCTTTGAGTAAAGTTTCAAATTCTTCCTTGGACAAACCTTGACCACGATAAACAACAAACGATTGTTTATCTTGATTGTTCGCTTGTTTCGTATGAAGTTTGTTGATTTCTTCATGTAGATCTTGAATGAAAAAGCCCATTTTAATAATTGTATCGACCTCATGAGTACGCAAAGCTTGATTGACCATAGAATGAATAAAACCCGGATGAGTATACCAATAAACAGGCGAATGCTTACTATAATCTTCGGCAAATTTTTTAATGAAATCTAATTCTTCCTCGTTGCTACCATGTTGCTCGTTACAATAGCAAACTAAATCTTTAACGGATTGATCATTGTATTTAATTTCAAGTAAAATCTCTTTAAGTATTTGTGTATACATAAATGATTGATCGAGTTGATCAAGATTTTGATCCGATACATTCGATGGTGTAACAAAGCTTAGAGAAAGAAAATTTTGTTCAAATTTTTGTATAGTTTGTTTTAACGAATCGCAGATAGGTGTAATTTGTGTAAAAACACCTTTGATTTTTGTCCACTTTTGGGCCCATGGTTCATGGTGCGATCTTAGTCCACAAAAGACATAAATTGAATCGAGTTTTGGTATATGATGAATACGAGGTAAAGCATGTTGACCAAGAGCACCGGATACAATCATGAAAACTTTTTCATTTTTTATTTTATCCAGAAAATTAGCACATTTATCGACATCACTATATATTTTAACGTTACTAACAATAGATCGTACTTGATTGACAATTTCACGATGTTCATCATTAAGTTTACCATCAATATTTGGATCTAGCCAAACAAGAACAAAATTTTGAACAATACGAGAATGTGATCGAAATCGAGAAAGTTTTGAAGCTTTCTTGTTGTCATTGTTATTACTAGAATTGGTAACGATCTTGAAAATTTTCGTGTTCATTTTGTTTTCCGACACGTTGAATACCGGCGCGAATCCACTAAGCAATATTGTCAAATAAATTGTTGTTTTGACTACGCATATGATTTTCTTACTGGTTAGATTATTCCCACAATAGAAATATGATTATTATTCGCTCTGACTCAACCACGCATTACACCAAGGTTTGTTAAAAAAAACTCTACACATCAAAACACGAGAATAAACACAAATATATATTGGTAATTGAAGAACGAACGAAACAACGAGTGCGAAAAAGAGGGAGTAAAGTGTAGGTGTGCTGGCAGTCGAAAATGTATGCCACCCACCCTCCTACGCCTATTAATGATGAATATGTATGCGATTCGGAACTGATTTAAGTATGTGGAATTGTCGATGCCTAATTGAAAGGAATGACGAAAGTATTTCTAGTTTTTCTCTTTTAATTTAGTCTATAACATTTGCATTTAAAAAAAGATACAGCATGGCAATTGATTTTTATTTTTCGATTCTGTGTACAAATATAGTAGAGTAGTTTAAGAAAAAGAAAGAAAACTATTAAAAAAATATTTATAGAATAATTGAAACGAATTCATGGGGCAATGATACACATAATTTTTTTTAGTATAGTATTTCAAATGATGCAAAAATCAATGAAATAAAGTGGATTTGGTTATTAAATTCAATGATTTTCAATCAAACATGGATGATAAAATGCTTGAATTTTTGGTCTCACTTGAAAAATCCCAACTTTCCCATGTTGATTTTTTTCAATCATCGCCGAAGCTAAAGTGTTTGCTAGCTGGTGGATGCATTTCAAAAATTAAATTTCACATTTTTCATTGGAAAAAATGCAAAGGATTCTCTTTCTATCCTGTTATCGCAGACCTGCTGTTGACATAAGCACTTGACTCGCCTCAAGAGATCGGATTCTAAAATTTTAAAAATGGTTGCAAACAACTATTTTTGACTCACTCAATCAACCATGAAAAACCGAAGTACACGTCGGAAACTGGGCTTTTTTAAAATTATACTCATGCCTTCGAAATGTAACTCTAGCTAAAATTTCTCTCTAATACCTGTGCTTTATTCATTCACTAAAATTCAAACAAATTTTATTGCGCTATTCTTAAAATAACTCAAACATAAGTAGAAGGACGAGCGATTCTTTCATTGCTGCTATGGCTTATTAGAAAAATGAGATCATCAATTGAACAAACATCATTCTATTCACGTTCGATGTGTGAATTTTTACATTCATCAGATTCTCGAGATAGATAATATAGTACATTGAAATGGATCTATGTATTTAGTTTGATTCAAGTATTTTGGAAAAAATTTTCGTCTATATTCATTCACCGTACTCGAACAAATATGTTGTAGCTTTAATAGACTCTATTGATGTTGACTCCTTGTCCAAATACACTAGAATGAATTCAAAAAGACCTGCTCCTAAAGGAAACGTGTGAAGAGATGCCTACGCGTATTCCAAACTATGTTTTTTGTACCTTGATCATTGTACGTTGGCATTTCTTATCACTACATCTTTTGCTGTATGACTCCTTGATCGTAACGCTGCATGTCTGTTTGTTTATCTCTAAATAATTTGTTGTGTTTCTTATCCATTCCTATTTTTCACCTTTTCCTTCTTATGTTTGTACCGAAAGAATCTATTAAAGCACAGTGAAGAAAAATCTTCATTTCTATTCGTTTCAACCGGAAAAAACATCACATATCACACAGGCCAAAGATAAGCAAAATATTGACGAAAGGTTATGAAATCTTGCAACGAGAAGAAACCTTTTTATCATCTGTTTCATCAAGTTACAGGACATTTATTTTTCTTCTTCACTTTATCATCTGCAGAATATATACGCCAGTGATGTTGAAAACAATATCTTTTATTGTTATTTCTATTGTTTTATTGAAATTAATTGTTCCATCATGTTCAATAAAAATCAGTATTAATGTAGCTAAATGTTTAAGTGATCTAGCAACACAAGAACTTACTGGTTCATATAATTATCTTCAATTATCATCGAAATTAGGTACTAACAATGCTTATCCTGGTTTTGCAAGTCTATTTACGAAACTTAGCGATGATGACTCATCAAAAGCTCATGACCTAGTGAAATTCTTAGCATTGCGTAAAGCAAAACTTGATCGATTAATCAATGTTAATGGTGTGAGTATCCGTGCTGGCATAAAAAACACAATGGATGTTGTTAATGCTTTATCCGCAGCACGTAATCAAAACAAAGAAGCATGGAACATAGCAGTACGATGTCATCAAGAAGCTGATAATGCTAAGGATGCTAATGTTCAAGATTATCTTGAATCCCACGTTTTAGATCATCATATTGAAGTTGAGAGACTTTTAGAAGATTTTGACAATCGTTTCAACGAGGCCCAAGAATTCGAACTGAAATTAGTCATATTTATGCTCGACGAAGAACTTTTAAACACTTATGGCGATCGTCGAAAAGATATTTTTTCATAAATAACAGACTAATTCGGAAAATTTAGAATGTGTGTTTTTTTTTCTTGAATGTCATGGCAAATAAAGAAAAAACAAAAAAAAAAAGGAAAAACCAACAGCAACAAAAAAACAATGTACAAACCAAAAACAAATAAATGCGAAAAAAAACCGCTGTATGTTTTTCTGTATAATTTAAGTTTTATAAATCAGGTTAGTTCATGGGCTTGTTGAGCAACATGTACAAAAAAGTCGTACTTATTGGCTTTTTGTTCTCCACATTGGGCACAACGAAATGGATTATCAGGCGAATAATGTAACTGTTTATGTGTACAATACATTGCAAAATCTTTGAAAATAATTTCACAATGAAAACATTCAAATAAACGTTTTATTTGACATTCATCAACTTGTGTTTGTTGATCATGACGATTTATGAATTCATTTGAATGTTCATCATGACTAGTATCAGCTGAATATTTAAATGGCGCTTGTCCTTTTCGTTGTCGTTTTACATTGGTATCGAGCTTTGATGATGGAAGATGATTTTCATTCGATTCATTCTTAATACACGATGACAATAACGAATAACCACCATTAAGTAAAGATGGTGGTGCCGGTGCATGGTTATTATTATTATCGAGATGATAGGAATGGACACTTGTAGGCATTGATGATAATACACTGGTCGATGATAAATGAGATTGGATTTGTTGAGTAAGAAATTGTTGATATGGAGCGATAAAGTCATTTAACTAGAAGAGAAAGATTCACCGATTTAGATCGTTCTTGATGAAAAAAAATTTTTTTTTAGGTAACACTATATGAGAAAATCTTTATAACGTACAATCAAAATTTACAAGTACTAATGACAAACAGCAAACTCTTATCTATATCGTACAACTAGTTTCTCAATGGAAACGAGATTTTTATGTTATCTATTATGTAAACATTTTGGACCTAATTAATATTTTTTTGAAACTCAATCCTCATAGTACTATTTTTCATAGAGTAAATCATGATCGAATAAGAAACTATCAATGTATCACCCTGGAGTTTCACTACGAAGATTTTTCTATCGATCTTATATTGAGAAGTTAAAGTTTATATTTCAAAAACAAATTACCTGTCCATTATTAAATGATCCAAGTTTTCCATTGAATAATTCCATTAATTTTGTTGTTGAATCTACCGTTGCACTAGCTAGAAGTGATCGATTGAGTAAGTCACTTTTTTTACAAGCATGCTGAAATAAATGTACACCAAGTCCTTCTTTCGATGCAGCAACATAATCACAAAGACTACAAACAAGTGGTAATGATGGCGTCGACAATGGTGTTGTTGTTTGTTGATTCGTGGAATCTATTTGACGTTCGTCATTTGATATTGGTGACATGGCTGCACCCGACGAGCCCATTGACGATGTTGATGAAGTACGTTTAACAATAACTGGTGTATTGGTTGTCGGTGCCGTCTTACGTTTTTTTGATGAACGAGTATTAGTTTTTTGTGCTGCTCCCGTGGTGATTGATGGTGGCGGAGAATTACTAGTCGGATTATTATTATTATTAGTTGGATTATTCATATTTCCATTAGCATATTCTTTGAGAAATTCTTCAATATTTTCATCAACATACGGTTCGTGTCCTTCAATTTGTAAATGTTCTTGTAATGCTTGATACTGTTTTGATTCAAATGAACAGTTTGAACATTTAAATAAAAGATGGCGATAATGAGATTTTTTATGTGAACGTAACATAGATAAATTAACACATGCATAATCACATCTACGATAATCGAAATATATTATTGGAGATTTCGAACAAGAAAAATAAACTTTATATTTACTTAGAACATTTAAACGGTTTAGAACCAAGATGATTGCGTAAATGATATTCAAGATGATGTTTATATTCAGTAACAAATGGACAACTTGGACATTCAAGTATTTTATCAGCTCGTATATGTACTCGATGATGTGCCCAGTAATCTTCCTGTGTAAGATAAATTTTAAGCAAAAGAAACATATTTGAGATTTAAAGAAGTAGATATAATTACCTTAACACTGGATACAAATGAACATTGTCGACATCGATGAACTTTGGCTTTACTAGGTGGAGTTGATTTTTCACTGTTATTACTCGTCGTATTAGTACCATTTAATGATTCAGATGATTTTATTGAAGTTGATACAGGTACAGCAGGTGCCGGTAATTGTTCCATTATGGATTTTGTTTGGCTCGATGGTGTATGTGTTCGATTGTGTTCGTCAAGACTCGATGATGAATCACAATAGAAACTATTTCACGAGAAAATAAAAAATGAGACATTATAATTTGTTTTTAGTTAAAAACGATATTGAAAAAAAAACAACGTTAACAAAAATGATTTAGAGACAAACAACAGAGAAACATCCTTCTTACCAAAGTCATATTAGTCCTAGACACAAAATCTTTTTTTTATTTCCTTTATCTGTGAAAACAAGAAAAATCGATGTGATATTTTACTTACCCACATGAATAACATTTGTATGGATAATGAATAGATACATGTTCGAGTAGATTATCCTGATTAGCATTTGTACCACAGCGAACACATTGTACTACTCGATTGGTTTCAACATACATTTTAAGAATTTCTTCAATTGTTGATAAACATTTTGGCCATTCAATATCTTGATCATCACTTTCTTCCATATTACTATTTGTTGTTTCATGATTCACAGGTGAATATTTCATTTCCTGATTATTTTCAAAAAGTAAAAAATAAGCCTTACAAAAACACAGCAAAACTTTCAAAAACCTCTCACCATTTGATTATCATTATCATCATCATCATCATCATCATCATCGTTATCACTGATGGGTTCAATCGAATGATTGATACAATTGTTCTGCAAAAAAATGAAATTCAATACAAAATACTTTTTTTGATTTTTATTTCCTAATAGAACATACAGAATTCGGTCTTTCACCACGTGCAGACAATGACCAAGGACGAAGTGGTTTACGACGCTAGTAAAACAAAATAAAAATTAATTATCAGCGTATCCAGTTATCTTCTTACTCGACTGGCACTTTTCACAGGTTCATTCTCATTGAGTGATAAAGTTGTACTTGATGGTTTGATTAACTGGAAGAAGAAGAAAAAGACGTTGAAAATTCAAATAAACATATTTCCGTAAGAAAATAACTTACAGAAACAGGATTAACGATAGTATCATTTGCGATACTGACTTCTGTTGTTGTATTTTTTGATGCACTATCAAATATGGCTAATTTCTTTTTTAATAAAAGTGATGTATAATGATTATCATTAGATTTGGAAATTTCTGATATCGTTGTTGTAGACATAGGTAAAATTTGACAATTTTCAATTAATGGTGGAGGCGTTGACGATGTATGTTGCATATTTGAATTCTACAAAAATGTCAAATAAAACATACAGTGTTCTAAAAGATATATACACAGTGATCTAGCCCCGTTCATGGGTGGCGTGTGTGTTTTTGTTCGTCGTTGTGTCCTCTCTCTCATTTGTTTTTGTGATCGCTCTTTTTCTCTCTCTCTCTCTCTCTCATGCTTATATTCTCTTTTTTCCTCTCTTGGTTCGTGTACAAGCAAGACTTCTTTTTCTCTCTCCTCGTTTCTTTTTGTGTAGTAATGACAGGTTCAGAAATGGCTTTTTCGAGGTGGACGACGGCGCGCAAAGCAGAAAAGAAGAACAGCATCTTTTCCTCTTCTTTTCCTTCTTCGCAAATGAGAGAATACGCTCTCACATAGGACTCGTTTAGACTTTTTTTCTTTTTTTGTACATATACATATATGTATACATGCATATGTCTAATTGTATTTCTCGTCGGGGCGAATTGACCATCGGTCGACGATGAACGATGACGACGCCATTTTTTCTCTTCTTTCTTCTTTTTCGACTATACTATAAAAGATTTTTTTTCTTCTTTTTTTGGTACACTCGCTTCGCCGATGTGAAGCAAAAGTCCACTGTGTATGAATATACAAAATAAATATCGCAGAATGTCTACCGAAAGAGAACGAGTCGAATTATGATGATTTTTTTCTTTTCTTTCTCTCATGTTCAACACAACAGAGCGATGCCTTTTTCTTTTCTTTTGTATTATTATTCTTTTAGTTTGGATAGAATAGAATAGTTGGACATCGACATACTACAGACCAAAAAACAATCGATGCTTTTACTAGAGAAAAGACAGAAAGAGAAAATGTAATGGCGGTGACCGTGTTTGCTCGTTATTGGTAACCTAGCCTAAATCAATCTTGACATGGAATGAATGATAACTACGAAGAAGAAGAAGAAGAAGAAGAGAAAAAAAGGAAGCTTGATAAAAAAAACAAAGAAGTGCTCTGTTGATGTTGTAGTATTTATTTCTATAGTCATGCAATATAAAAACAATGAATTCTTGTTTGTTTGTTATTTTTGAACAATCATGACAACATTATTTCACTATCGATCCCGGATAGTAATGTGTTGTGAAGAAAGAAAGACAAAAACCCAATTGAAATTCTCAAACTTTTTTAAAAGTTTTACTACAGATGCTCTTCGTATTATCATTTGAGATTCATAATCAAACATTATACACGTATTATTGTAGCGCGAATTCATCTGCCTCGAACTATATCTTGATAGACAATGGAGAAATCGATATCGATTTCTGAAGCTATGGAACTGCTGCATCTGTCTTCAGTAGCATTATGTACTGATAACAGTTGCGGCAACAGCAGACACTTTGCTTTACAAGTTAAATATGTGTTGTTTTCATGAAAAATAACCAAAACATAAACATAAGCTGAGTTGTCAGCTTTTGGTCATGAATACGAACTTATCTATAATAGAAGGCTATAAAATAATTGTCAAGCATCATTAAGATATCTTATGGCTAAATCATCACTCATGAAATTTATTTAAAAATGTCAATCAAATATAATCCGAATCCTTTTTTAAGGAGATGAACAATAGAAGTTATATAGAAACATCATTCTTATTTTTATCGGTCTCTAATCAACAAAGACTATTAATCATGATGATTTTGCCAATGTAAAATATGTGTTTATCGCCTATTCATTTTGCTTCTTTTAAGAAAAAAAAAAGTTTAAGTATGATTAAATGGAAAATTGATAGGTGAATATAAGTAATATCTAGCTGTCATTGCGTTCATCATTCATACATACCTTGAACAAGGAAGAACGAAGTTTATAAATTTTTTATTGTCTCTCTCGCTCTCTCTACGTTTTCGGTTCAATCGACGATGATGTGTTATTTTGCTTTCGTCGTCGTTCTTTTTCTGTCCCTTTTAACGAAAATAAGTGAATGCAGTTCGCTGAACACAAGAGAATAGGCACGAAGGTTATTTTTTCAAATAAGTAAAGAGCAAGAGAAAAAAAATCTTGAATAAAGAGTCTATTTCGACATATAACCACCTGTGTCTACACTTAATTCATTGGATAAACAGTCCACTGTATGTATGAGTATCCAGCCCCTTTTTTTCGATCAACATCATCTCTCTTTCTGTACGTGTCTGTTGTTCAACATGAATAAAAAGCTTTTCTCACTGGATTCTTTTTTGTTAAATGTCCGCTGGCTACCAACATAAAATAAATTCTTTCTTTCGTCACATTGAACACGTTCATTTGTCTCATATATTCAACAAAATATACTTGATTTAAACGATCGGATTTTTTTCTCTTTATTCTCTATCGCTCACCTCTCGTTGCTATTATTTGAGTACAAAAAAAAACAATTTCAATGATTTTCATGAATAGTAGTTCAACGGAATGATGTAATTTGTTCTCTTCAAAGCTTCTTGAAAAAAAAATCAAATTGGTCAAATCTTCGGCATCCATCACATAAGAAAAAAGGGCTCCTTTGCTTGACAACAAGAATTCACATATGAATAAAAGTATTATATATCTTCGGATATACTCCAATATTAGAATATTTATTCTAAGCCTGTTTATCAATACCAAAAGTTTAAATTTAATATGGCTGATTGCAGGAGTCTAACATGAATCATAAAAAGATGATAACATAGAGAGTCCCTACTGTTTGACATTTTTTCTATTTGTACATGTGTATTGAACAAATACGTACATACGATCAATGAAAGTCACGAAGACGAATGTCTATTCAAAAACAAAACTTCAGCTACGGATGCATTTTGTTAAGATCTGATGATGAATCATTACATTTTTACTTTGAGAATATTATCTTGAAAGTTGATAAGAAAGCTTTTTTCGCTTACTTGCATTTTGTATACATTTATTTGAATTTTTTTCATGTCTTTTCGATCGTTTAAATCAAAATTAAAAACAAGAGAAAATGTAAGAAATGATTTCAATCTATGGAGTTTCTCTATTGTTTTTTTTTCTCATAGAGTTCAACTGAAATAACTTTAACGACATTGTGTGAAACTCAAGCAGATGAGCATCATGCATCTGACATAGAAAAAGTACAAAATGAAATCGAATATAAACAAAATACATTAGATCTATTTATGAATCATGTTCTTATTACTCTTGACGCCAATATTGATGATTTAAAATTGTCAATTGATAAAAAACGACCGGAGCAAAAGATTTATAAATTATCAATTTGTGATGTTTGGCTTCGATTAAAAACTATTGAACACATGGAACCATTGCCACTTGTTAAATATCTACGTACATCTCAATTGCATCGTGCAGAAATAAAATCATCTGATGTAACTGATTGTACTATCAATATTGAACCACAAATTTTCACGAATCGTCGTCGATCTCGTTTTATACATTTTCATATGTGTACCGCTTCGGATGAATTCTATCTTAGCGTTGGCGCATATGTTGGTTTAGTTATATTTTCCTATCAAAACCAATCAAAATTCATATTGAATGGACATCACTGTCAACGTGGCGATATTCTTGTAAAACAAACAAAATTATTTAGTTCTACACAAACCGTTCATCGAGGAATATATGATGCTCTATTTAAATGGTACTTTGGTCGTGTAATTGATGAGAATTTTTCTGGCATTGGATTTATATGTTCAAATGATAAATGGCGTTTTGACTTAATAACACATAATGACAGAGAAATATTTCTCTATGAATATCGAGTATTTGATATGTTCATGTTAACACATTGGTTAACACGATCTATCATAGCGCATAATGTTCACGACATGGAAGTTCATGTTAAAGATTTACTATTGAAACAGTATGATGTTGTAAAGAAGAAATTAATCAGTCAAGAAAATACAGAATTATTGAATTGTTGGAAGGAACTTATTGGCAGTGATTCAAAAGATTTAGATTTAGCTATTAAGCAAATTATTTTAACAATAAAAAATGATATTGAAAATTATTTTCAAGAAATCGGCATAGAAATAAATGTACCTTCGGAATTATTAAAACAAAATATATCCTAGTCTTGTTTATTTTTTGTTATGTAAAAGTATTTAACGATTATTTATTTTACTTGTAATGAACTACTATCTTATATATATATATATCGTTAAATCACTTCTCATCTATGTCAACCTGTTTGTGCAGGTTTTGACTTGGTTTGAATAAAAAAGAGACCTTTCATTTATTAAGATAGCCTTCTCATTTTTCACATATCAAGCAGTAAAAACGATTTTTATCAACGAAGAAAAGAAAGAAAGAAGATAAAAAAATAGCCCAATGCATGCTTACGAGACTGAAGATGTAATGCTTTAAATGAGATAAAATATTTGACTTCATCGCCTGTATATACAGCAATGTGTCCACATTGCACTTAGTATATATGAAGCACCACAAGCAATTGATTTTTCAGGTTAGAGTTCATAGAAAAAAATTGTCTCCATTCAGTCTTTTATGAATATAATGCTTTCGAGCTGAGCAGAACTCGTCGCTGATTTCTTCTCGTTTTCTACTAAATACAAGTATCATAGGTTAACTTCGATAATACAATTATTTCAGACTAATTGTCTTCATACAAAGAATATCTACTTTACTATCTATACAGAAAATATTGCAATATTGTCAAGATAAAGTGTAGTGAAAAAAACAGAGAACGAATAAGAAAAATAAATTGACACAAGAAAACGTTCTTTTTCAATACTTAACTGAAAAAAAAAGTAGGTTATTTGATCACCTAGATAGTGGTCTGTTTGAAAAAAAAGTACTCGCATGGTTTAGTGTTATAATTCTACACGATGACGAGTCAGATAGAAGAGAAGAGAAAAAAGTAGTATAGTAAAATGCAAGAATACAACCATAAAAGCACTTTTACAGTTTTTTTGTATATTTTAGATTTTTCTAAATTATTGCTCGTTTAAAAATTTGCACTAATTATCGGTTTCTATTTCTAACATGCCATACTATCCACGTAATATGCTTGGCTATGGTCAACATCCACCGAAACCTTGTTGGCCAAATGATGCTTATGTCGCTGTTCAGTTCGTTCTTAACTATGAAGAAGGCGGTGAAAATAATATTTTACATGGAGATTCTGCTTCGGAAGCATTTCTTTCTGAAATTGTTGGTGCCGCTCAATGGCCTGGGCTTCGCCATTGGAATATGGAATCTATCTATGAATATGGTGCTCGCGCTGGGTTTTGGCGTTTACATCGTCTCTTGACAGAAAAGGAAATACCGGTTACTATCTATGCTATTGCAACTGCTCTTATGCGATCACCTACACAAGTCAAAGCCATGCAAGACGCTGGATGGGAGATAGCTTCACATGGCTATAAATGGATCGAACATAAAGATATGTCCGAAGAAACTGAGCGTACGCAAATTGATGAAGCCATTCGCCTTCATACTCTCGCTACTGGCCAACGTCCAACCGGTTGGTATACTGGTCGATGTTCTGTCAATACTGTTCATCTTGCTAGTGACGAAGGTGGATTTGAATATATTTCAGATACGTATGATGATGACTTACCCTACTGGTATGAACGTAACGGTAAACCACAATTGATTATTCCTTATACATTAGATGCAAATGATATGAGATTTGCCACTCCACAAGGTTTTAATTGTGGTGATCAATTTTATACTTATCTTAAAGATTCGTTTGATACACTCTATGAAGAAGGAAAGCGAGGCAGTGCAAAGATGATGACTATTGGCTTACATTGCCGTTTAATAGGCCGTCCTGGTAGAATCGCTGCTCTAGCTCGTTTTATTGATTACATAAAAAGTCATGACAAAGTGTGGATACCCACTCGAATTGATATTGCTCGGCATTGGAAAAAAATGCATCCATACGTTAAACCAGATTTGGTCCCATCAAAATTAAATCGAGAAACATTCATACATCGATTTGGATCAATTTTTGAGCATTCACCGTGGATTGCAGAGCGTGCTTTTGACGGAGAGCTTGGTCCAGCTAATGATAACGCTACAGGTCTACATTTTGCTTTACGAACACAATTTCGTGCGGCATCTGACGATGAACGTTTGCAAGTTTTAGTTGCCCATCCAGATTTAGCTGGCAAGTTAGCTGCTGCGAAACTTTTAACAGCTGAATCAACAAATGAGCAAGCTTCTGCCGGTCTTGACATGTTAACAAGTGAAGAAAAACAGATATTCACTGAATTGAATAATAGCTATACAAAAAAATTTAGCTTTCCATTTATAATTGCGGTAAAAGATAATACGAAAGCAAGTATACTTGACGCTTTCAAATGTCGACTTGATAATGATCGAGAAACGGAATTTCAAACAGCTTGCGCTCAAGTAGAACGTATTGCTTATTTACGTTTGAAAGCTGTCTTACCCGATTAGCTCGTATTTTGCTGGTAAAAATTGTCGATGAAAAAGTGTGAGATTAATTTCTTGTTTTTTTTTTGCTTTTTTGTGGAATTTTCGAGCAAAAATTATGCATAAACTATACAATTCTGATGTTCCTAGAGCGAATCAGATTATCTAACAAAACATGCTCTATCATCAGGATCTTTTCGTTGCATACTGTCTGAAAATTTCTTTTATTGTTAATGTAATTACTCTGTCGCCCATATAATTTCATTTTTAACAAGTCATTGATGAGAAAACCTAATTTACAAAGATCGCTACAGAAAGTAAACACAACAATATAAGAATTCTACATGAGATATAGATAAAAAGTAGTTCCACACATAAAATATCAAACTAAATTAAAAACAGCTTGTTGGATAGATGATTATAATATTAGATGGAAATTTTTCTTAAAAGTATTGGTACTATTCAAAACATCAATTTAAGATTCATCTTCAAGAAAGAATACGAATGCGAGTGGGTACTAAATTTAGATTGAGATGAAACTGCCATGGAAATGGGCATTTGTCAATGTCTACAGAGAGTTCGAGTGTACGATTCGTACGTTCGTTCGTCAAACGAATTAGTCGTTGGTCGCAATTAATGGAAAACTGGATGATATCGTTCTCAATGGCGTCGTGGCCTTGTCCACCTACGTTTTCCCCATTGCGATACACAAAATGATCACCGTTATACCAACCATAACATGATGGTGAACTATAGGAATGTTCTTGCAACGGAGTCAACTTCGAAATTATACCAAATAAAATCCAGCCACTTAATTTTTCGATCTTTAACGATAATATACGTTTTCCAGTTGTATACTCACTTTTCCCACGTACTTCGACATAATTCTCAAGACCATCCTGCACGACAGCAACTTTGCCATTGTCTTCAAATACAGCTTTGCCAGACGTACGTTCAAACAGATCAAACGACTCGAAAACATCGATATGCATCTTGGTAACCAGTGGTACACCAGCTTCTCGAACTGCAATCTTTACTGGATTGGTAATTTCTGCCTTCATTTTATTGAGTTTATTCATCCATTCACGAACGTCACTCTCAATAAAATCAATGTTTTGTCGAGCTAGACAAAGTTCATTAGTCAACTTATCTAATTCGAGCTTTTTATGAGCCAAATATCCTGTTGTATGCTGAATTAGTTCGTTTCTAGTTTCTTCGGCCACTTTTTTAATTTTGGCAATTGAGTCGTGTTCCCACATGTCAATCTTTTTCATCAATTCATCTTGCAAAGCTTGTACATCTTGTCGTGGCTCGGCCGATTGCTGAGCTAGGCTTTCTTGAACAAGATTATGAATCTCTTCTACATGATCCAATTGTTTGATAACATGCTGACGATGATTTCCCGTATGTTGGAAACAGAAATAATCTGAACATCCATCACATTTAAAAACGCCTCTTGCTTTGTTACATATCCTACAAAGAGGTTTGTCGAGATTTGTCGTCATTATTTGATGATGACAAGAGAGAAATAAAGAAGAAAAACAACAGGTAGCCGGCACGCTTGCTTTTCTTTCCGCCAAAGTCAACTTCCAATTGGCGAAAATGAGTTGTTATTGTCAACGCGTAGCTACAGATACACGCTTTAGTCATGGAAAGAGAAAAATATTTATCTATACATGTTATGCAGGGCGTGGGTGTGTGTAATGTGTAGAAGCGCCCTCTACAACGATATGACGAAGAAAGATGAAATACAATACCATAGTTATCGCCAAAGAAAAATTTTCAAATTTACAACTCACTACAAATAGTTTCTTCGTCATTTTAATTTCTTTGGCATTCTCATCTGTGCAGCTTTAGATCCTGTGGGTGTAGGCGTGAGTATGCTCAAATTTTATCAAAACGAATAGAGCGCTATTCATTGTATGAGCCCCCGAAAATATGTTCATCTGTAAATTGATACGAACTTTCAATAGAGTTACTTAATGTTTTTTATGTTTTATCGGTAACATAATAACTCTGTCTCCCATACAATTCTATTTTTATCGATCAAATGACGAAGAAACACAAGATTAAAACATACGCATAAATACAGAAGAAAAAAAAACAACAGTATAACGATTTAAAATGAGAAATATATAAATAGAATGCATCACATCACATAAATGAACGATGATTATTAATTATTATCGAGGTCAAGTAAAAATTTTGGTACCTAAACAGAAACAGACCAAATAAAATATTACCAGAAGAACCTTTCTAATTACTGTTAATCCTGCTGATTGAATTATGTTTCTGCAATTTGTTAAATGATCTTCGTACGTCGAGCAAAGAACAAGTAAATCATTTTGTTCGTTTAGATTTTGTTGATAAACACTATTCAATTTTTGATATTCACTATCGCATCGAGCTTTATCATCGATTAATCCATGCATTTGACTTTCAACACCCTACAAAAATATATGTACTCTAGCAGAAAAGAAATTTTCCGATGATTCACTTCTAGAATTGAAACTTTTCGTTTTTCATTAGTAATTTTTTCTTGTAGAACACCATTTTCTAATTGTAGTCGAGCTATTTCATCATTTTGCGTTGCATATCTAATTAGATTAGGGATAAGGAATTTGCTTTTTTTTTTACTTCACTTCATATTCTTACCTATCCTCAAATGCATTTACTTTTTCTTGTAATTCAGTGATACGAGCAGTTAATGCTGCTCTTTCACCTGTTTGAAGTTTTCTATGGTTCTTGAAAAAACATATTCACGTTGATAAAGTCAAAATAAACATTTCATACACGCATAATGTTTTTACCTGCATATCGTGATTTTCAGTGTTATTCAAGTTCAAATGTTCAATTCCATTTTCAATTCTAAAATATTCCAAAAAAAGAAAAATCAAAGTTCTCAACATCAAGCTATTAATCTTGAGCTAATTTCTGTTGGTACCTAATTTACCATGATCTTGTCATAGTAGGACAAGGTTTTATGTCATATCTCTTATTGATAAATCTTATGTATTCGAAAGACACTTGCTTCAAAATGTCAGTACATAACAATTTTGTTTTCTCGTTCACTAGATGCTACTATTTAAACGAAACTTACGGTTGTGTTGAATTATAATGTTGTTGATGTTGAGCCTATAAAAAATTTACAATCAAAATGAAGAAGTGATGAATAAAAGTACGTACAACAAAATTTCTTAAATATTCCAATTCTCTTCGTTGTTGTTCACATATTGTTGCCAATTCATTGTGAGTATCTGGTCCTATTGATTGGGAAGATTAGACTAATTCAATATTAATTTCATCTGAACAAACCTTGTTTAGTCGATAGTTTTAGTAAAGAATATTGATCTTTAACTTCTTGTAAGTTTTGTTCTAGATCCAACATTTTCTTTTTATAAATCTGAGATTCATCAATAAATTGTTTTTCTTGTTGTTTATATGAATTTATTTGTTGATCTTGTTTTCGAATTAAATCATGATAATGTGCCATCATTGTTGATGTTTGTTGTTCATAAAGATTTGTTGACAATGGACCAATAAGTGAATTTTCAGTTGAATTCATTTGACGTGAAGTTAACATACGTGTTATTGAGCCTTCTAATGCTTTATATAAACGAGCAAATTCATAATCAAGAATCATATCATTTGTTTTTGATAATTTTAATTGTGGCTTTTGTAATGTTTTGGAATAATATTCTGATTTTGAAAGTGTTTCAAGTTTTTCTTGAAATAAATCAATACCAATACGTTTGTTAATTAATCGTTCAAGAGATTCACTAAAATCAATGAAAGAAAATCTTAATCTTTTAGAAAATAATCACTTTTTAGCTTTACGTTGTATACGATGGTATTTGATTATTATTGAAAACCAAACATAAACCTAATGCAAATGAACATAACGATTGAATAAGAATTTCACGATCGTCTGCAACTAATTGACCACATATTTGAGAAATAAGCTAAAAAGACAAAGAGAGATATTTCAAGTGAAAAAAAGAAACTAATGAACACAATTAAATATATACATATGATATACTATTTTGAATTGAGAGAAATGCTTGTACGGCTAATGAACAATTTGATAACCATGTACATAGAAAAATAAGTACAGCCACACGAGTATGAAATGACGATGAAGACTATTCATAAATATGAAAATATATTAAAAAGAAAAACTTTTGTTTTCTATTTACGTTTTCTAATAAATCTGTTGATATTTCCATTAATGTCTTAGCTCCTGCTTGTGCTTGATCAACAGCTAAGACAACTTTAAGTATTGCTTCTTTAAATTGTTGATTATCAGCAATTAAATGTGCAAGTGCAATCCCGGAACACCATGATGCAACGTTATCTTTACTTAGATAACCTATTATTAACAAATGACCCAACGTATACTGATTGGCAACTGAAATGTAAAAATAAACGGAATTAATAAATATTTTTGTAATCTTTTTTAAATAAGTAATTAACCATTCTCAGTTTGAGGTAGTAATGTTTGAACAATCAAAGATTTTCCAAGATCATTTTTATATAGATAACATTGAAGACAATAGAGAATTGATATTCGAAGTGGAAAAGATTGCTTTTCACCAGCAACCATTGTGTATAAAAGATTAAATAATACAGGTCTAGAAAGAGAAAAAAGAAAATTTTTAGTGGTTGAAATACTACTCTCATATTCGATAGTTTACTTACTGTTGAATTTCACCAGTTGTGTTCATAACAGAACCAAGAAATTGTTGGTTTTCTGCATTACCACGTACAGCATCACCAATTGTGTTAATAGTCTATAAGTATGGCAATAAATAATTCTTTTCAATAAATGTATTCAAATTACTTCAGCTAACACATCAGCAGGAATTGTTGTAAGTGTCAACATAACACATAAGCGGTGTAATAAACCTTTTTATAAGAAAAATTAGATGATGCTTTGCCATTATTATGAAAAGTATTACCACATTGACTAACTGTCCGTTGACACGCAAGAATATTTTGATGTGAGTTCGTTGGTGAAACAAGTATTCGAATTGTCTTTATAGGAGTACAAACAAATACGATAGAATCAATTCAATAGGTTTCGTTCTACGAATATTACTTGTAATAGAAGATGAACATTTGTAACTTTTTGTGCTGACCAACGTTTTTCACCAATTGAACCAAGTTCAAAAAAATCAACTAAACGTCGAATATAGGAACCTTCACGGAAATAACTTTGATTTGACACATTGTTTTGTAATAAATTTAATAGGACAGATAAACAATCTTCAACCGTAACAACTATTTATGAGAGAGAAGGCATTTTTTCTTCAAGAAAACCAAAATAAGCTTTTATTGACTTACGTCCATCACTACCACCTTCACTGGCAAGTATTTCAAATAAACGTTCAAAACCATTTTCAAATGCTACTATTTTTTGTATATTAGTATTATATCGTGTTAAGATTTGTAAAAGAAGAAGTGCCTGCAAGCAAAGAATTTTTATTATTCTTTTAAATAAAATTTGAACTTTACATCATTTCGAATAACTTCACGTTCATCTTGTAAAAGATCGACTAATTTGGAAACACCCATAGGTCCACTTTCTAAAATAATATCTTGTAATTCTTTCGTACAATTGGTAAGTAGTGCAGTAAGAAATCGAATTGCACTTCGACGGACATTAAAATCAGTTTCCTAGAATTATCTTTTCAATATAAAATAAAAGTGTCAATAAATATAACAAACCTCTATGAGTTCAAGCGCTGCATGAACATGAACCTTATCCTTAATATACAATTCTAGAAATAAAAGATATTTTTTATGTTAAAATAAAAACAATGGTATACCTGTAAATTGAACTGTAATATCTTGTGGTAAATTTGCTTGTTCTATGAAAGAAACGAAATTGTAGTTAAAAAATAGCTCTAAAACAGTAATAACTCACCATCATCATTGCCTGTTTCATATGTCACTACATTAGCTAATGTTTCAAGAGCCAATTGAATGAGATCCAAATCTGTTCGATCACCTTGTAAAGTGTTGGCTAATAGATTCATACTTTGAGTACCAACTTCGAGTTTACATTTCTATATATTTCAAAAACAAATATTCATTTATATTAATCTTGAAGAACTTTGTTGGTTTACTTTTGAAAGTCCTTTCAGACCGCGTACAGCATCTCGTCGATCTTCGCTACGAGTTGCTGATTGTAACCGATCGCAGAGACGGTCAATCTGTAAATATAGAAAAAGTTGAATGAAGAGATATTGAAATCGATGTTTTGTATTTTACCGTTTCTTGAGCGATCGTATTATTGTTTGTGGTCGTCGCAGATGTAGAAGACGAAAATAGAGAGCCAGCACGCCAGAAAGCCATTTTCTGTTAATAGAAATCAACTGAAAGAGAAACTCAAGGCTTCTATTATTCAATAAATTAAATTGATATACCATTCATTCATTTATTTATTTTTACATATATTGTAGTCAATCAATTGATGATTCTCGATTGAGCTATTAGAAATATGAATCAATAGAGGTCACTGCTCAGCAGCTATTGATCATCATTTGAGATCTATTGTTTCCGTACTCAATCAATAGAATGAAAATAAAATCAATAAAACATGATTATTAATATTAGCAGTTCGTTGCATTCAGCGGCAAGAGGAGGTGTGGATGCGTTTGTTTTAGTCTACGTATATAATGACTCACATCGACAAGAAATATTGATATCGTGAGAGTCTTACACACAACCCACACTTAAACCCTGGAATATTTAACATATTTTGCTGGTTCCATCTGATAGAAAAAGTTAGCATATATGAAAATACTGTCATCACGTTCACATATACCAGGATTCTGTTAAAAATAGGGAATTTTTGAAATCGAATGACAACAACAACGAAATGAATAAAAACAGAAAAGTATAACAACTACCGAAGTGTACACTTCCATTTGTATAGTGGTCTATCGTAATATTTAAATCTTCGAAGCTAATATCGAATCCTTGTGTGGCATTATTTGGAGATGCACACATAATTCCAACCAGTATAGCGTTTGATCTCTTTGTAATCGGCAAATAAGCCAATCTCATCATTTGAAAATCTCCGTCTTCACCCTCAGCAAAGTCAATATGAACGGCTTCCTTTTCTCTTCTAGTACGTAGTTTTAGAATTTCTGGTGCATTGATTGGAACTACGCTCCAGTCAGACCATCCATTGACCGTTACGACGACGCTAGCGAATTGTTGACCATCAACATACTCCACGCCACATTTGATCCAATTGTTTTCATCAGTACGCAGCATTAAACCACCTTGATCGTAAAGTGTGTTGTATTTTCCTCGTACATTTACGGTAGCTGTGAACGATTGATCTCCTGGCAATGAGTGATAGTAGAAATGGCCACTGTCACGCTCAAAGCCATAGTGTGTCTTCCGCCAAAAGTCAGTATTCTTGTCGGTATGAACATTGATAGTTGTTTGATTGACAGACCATTTTTTCGGTTCATTGTACCATGTGAAAGTCATTTCAGATAAGAGAGCAGAAAACAGAATAATTTCTTGCATTGTGTCAATAGTCGTTGTACTAAAAAGAGAGTATTATACAGAAGTCGAAAAAGGTATTTCACATCATAGTGAAGCCAAAAATAGATGTCTAGAATTCAAACCAATTCGAAACTCTAGAAAACGTTTCATTCGGGTGCATGAAAACTTCAAAAGGTATTGAATTGATTTATATTCTCAAAAAAATTCTTTTCTATTTGCGATACTTCACCAATCTTTACTTCTCACATTTGATTCTTTTTACTTTTTAGTGAAAAACAATGACATATTGTATTCTTTATCTTTCAAGTATGTTCGATCATGGTTGTATTTGTTGAGTAGATAATGCAAGAACGACGGCGACATCATTCTTATATACAAAGTGGTTTTTATAGCTTGTGTGAGTAGTTTCGTTGATTCATGCTAACAGTGTGTCACAATATTACCAAAGACTCAAACTGTTAAATGCAAAACATAGAACCATACACTCCACTACATATTTTATTACTAGTATAAACCTTTGAAGTCTTTATCATTTTTATAGTCTTTCTAAAGTCTATGGTCTGAGATACACACAAACCTATATTGTTCACCATAACCATGAGCTAACTTTTGTTAGACTCAATGTATCAAGCTGTAATTTTTACTGTGAGATATCACACCAGAAATACATATTCTCTGCCAGTTTTATCAACATCATCTGCGTCAAGAAGAACAAAGTTTTTAAAATTAGATCCTTAATTGAATAAGAATATATTAAATCTTGTGCATTTTTTAGGAACAGATATAGAAAGAAAATATCCTCTGGTACATTAGCAGTAATATCTTCAGATTCTCTTTGGTGAGATGAAATATCGATATCAATCAATGTTACGGTTTCACACACATCCTCGAATATTGATAGAATGAACAGCCCTGATGACTATTTTATTATTATCTAAATAAATAATATGGAATACATCGACAGAATTAAACTCTTCATTTTTTCATTAAATTTGATCAAAGCACACTTTTGTATACCACTTTATCTTTATCGCAGATTGTTTGATCTGTTCATCAAGGGAACACATGATACTCTAACCTTAAATCCTTTGTACACATAGATTGAAGTATTTTCTTTTGAAATCATATATAAACACTTTCTCAAAGCGTCACCAACGCCATTACCTTTCTCAGATTTTCGAATATCAGTTCTATTATAAAGAATTAAGATGTCATATATATTTTGTGTCATTGAACTGGAATATAAAAGGTAATGATCTCAATTTAGTTGATAATACAAACGATTGTATATTTTGGCATCATTTTTCAACAGGTACTACTTGAGTATGAACATAAACTTCAGCTGCCTCATCACTTTCATGTTTGCAATAAACATGTTCTTTGCTGTGTATGATCGTGGATATGCGCGTCCTATTGATAAGTGTGATATCTTTCATATATCATCCATAATTCAGAGGTGGTTATTGTAATGCACTGACTGGTTGACTTCGTTGAGATTATTACAATTGATTAGTTGATTGATGAAGGAAATACGGAATGATTCTTAACATTTATGGTTCATTATCTTCAGTTTTATCTGCTCAGATAAATGCTACCTTATTAAATAGATATGTTTTCGTATCTCTTTCTGTTTCCCATTTTCCTATTCATTTTCTTTTGTTTTTGATTTTAACCTTTTGACCTATTATAATTATTAATAAAAAGTATATGGTGAATCAAAATTATTCCTTTCACGAGAGACCAATAAGTTCAAAATTTTACCAGTTTTCGATCAATTCAAATTAAGCTATTATTAATTTTTTCTATAAAAGCTTTGGTTCGTCCTTTCCACGTTTAAAATTAATTTTCTATTTGACAACTATAAGATCAAGTGTAACGAGATGAAAAACACATAGAAAATTAGTTGCCATCATATTCATAAATTCAAAATATTGTACACAATAGTATTGTATTTAATTTCAACTGACGAATAATGAGATCATGAAGATGAAAGTATGCCTGTGTGGAAGACAGTGATCAAACCATTTGATCAGATTTCGATTCACAAGCTCATCTGACAATTTCTTTAGCCAGGATAAAATTACGACAGTGTTTGCCAGATTATACAAACACGCCCTCATTTCAAGCTGCAATACATGTACTATTAGCTGCATATGCATGTTCAACCACATTCACACAGCCATTCTTCACAATTGGTTTCTTTCTACTTCCTTTCCCCTTGTGACATCTTTTCAATACGAGCATTTTTTTTTATCAAGTTTCATGTACAAAATTTATTGTGTACACGTTACTCGTGCATGCGGCTTTTTGCGCACAACACGAACGGTGCACATACTTCTGTTCTCATTTTATGAAGAACCCTTTCGAGAAAAGTGTATACTTAAAAACAGTCACCAGAGAAATACTCGACAAAATAATCAGCGGTAAGAAATATAAATTTGACTTGCTAGAAAGATACAGAACGAATGATTCGACAAAATAAGTAAATATTATAACACACACATCATGCAACCGGATCAAATAAAGCATAAACAATAAATATATTAAATATTTAACATTTATCATATATGTCAAACTTGAAATTGAGTTACGTATATCGAAATTTTGAACTTTCAAACCAACAACACTAAAGAATTGTGACTCACATACATGATCACTATCAGCTTGAAACTTCAAGTTCGACACTACTGAAATGGCGAGAATGATCCATCCTAGTCAACTGTCATATCGATGTATCAAAACTGTCGTTTCTCTTGACTTTTTCTTTCTGTGATTCTGAATTTTGTTTTCAGATTTCTATGTTTGGACTTTACAGTGTACGATTGCACAGCAAAATCACACAACTAGGTTTTGTGTTATTGTCAAGTATTGCAACAATTTAGGAAAATTCTTATTCTAGATAAATTTTAAACGATTCTGAAATGCTAAACACTTTGGTTTATGACACATATTTCTCAAGTTAATCTTCATCAATCGAATGGCATTTCCAGAGATTAATGTTAATGATGCTTATAACTTGTTAGATGAACAGGAGGAAGAAAAAACTTTGTTCATTAATTCAATCATCTGGTTAGATAAGGAGATAAACACTGTCAAAGAAAACCAACAATCTCAGCAACAGCTAAGAAATCTGTTTCCTGACGTTCAAATAATTTCATTTGAAGCAGTATTTGACTCTGAAGAATATGTGCGACAACACAATCAAGACTCATTGCTAGTTATTGTCAGTGGACGACTTGCACAGACGTTAATTCCTGACATTCATGATTTTAATCATATTCAATCGATTTATATTTATTGTCGAAATCAAGATCCAGAGAAAACATGGACAAGTGACTTCGCTAAGGTAATCTTATCTAGAGTCATAATAAAAGCAAACTGCAATCAGAACACATGTCACTCGTGTTTCTTTCTAGATTAGAGGCATCTTCACTGAAATGCACCAACTCGTCACCAAGATCGAACTTGATCAAGGTAGAATCGAAAAAACTCGAGAGTCTGTATCAATCGTAGCATTTCCCGTTAATATGGAAGGTGATTCTTCGCTTTCCGTCAATGGAGATCTGCTCCAATTTCAATTGCTCTTAGATTTTTTGCGTAAGATGGACTGGATGGTGTGCGATGAAGAGGATTTCTTAGCATTTTGGACAAAAAAGCTTTCAGATACTCCAAACAACATCTCGATTCTCAATGGTTTCATGAATGAATATTCACCTGATCGAGCCCTTTGGTGGTGAGTATGAGTACCGTTTCATCTAAGCAATCGAGTCTATTATTAACGATGGTCAGAGTTGAAACATATCTCATGTAATTTCAGAGTAATTTTCCATTCTGCTACTTGAATCTTGATAAAGTGTAATTAATAGCAAATTTTTTTCATAATTCGAGAAAATTCATGAACGAGTGGATCAGTAACAACGAGAAATTAGTGACTAATGTGTTCAATTGTGTTTTTGTACCTACAAAAACTGAAAACATGAAAAGATTTCGAAAAAATATTGTGAATTCAACTGCATTAACTTTTTTGCCTATAGATCTGAAAGTTCATTTTCATACACAAAAATCGTACAAGTCGTAAGATAGTATACTGGGAGTTCATATCTTGCAGAAGTACTCGAATTCTTTTTTATTTTTACGAAAATAGACTGTACGAAATAACTTCCTGCTAAAAAAGACTTTGTCAAAGGAGGGAGAGCTTGTAAGATAATTATACAGTTTTGACGAAAGAATCAAATATATGTAGTGCCGTATAGAAACATTTTCTCTATTGGATGGTGTATGTATTGTCAGACCCTACTGTGTTCCTTTGCAAGATCATTACATGGCGTTATCATGTGAATGCTATAATATTCCACAATACATAGTGAAAGGCATGTACTTTGTTTAGGTATACACGTCCAACATTTTTCTATGGCGCTTTGAACAAAGCACTACGTCAGCAGAATATTGAGACTCTTTTACATATGCGCTTTTTTATCAATGACATCTACGATCAATTAGCCTCACTACAACAATTTCAACCTCATAGCAAAATTCGAGCATATCGTGGACAACTTATTTCGGTTGAAGAACTAACCGGTCTTGAACAATCTATCAACCATCTAGTTTTAATGAAGTCTTTTTTTTCAACGACAACTAATCGAGATCTTGCACTATTCGTACTTGGTGATACTGCGCAACAGTTCGAACGATGGCGCACTCGCTCTATTATTCCGCTAAAGCGTGTTTTATTCGTCATTGACGCCGATCCTTCGAACACCGATAACATTTTGCCGTTCGCCGACATTGGTACGAATAGTTATTTTCCGGAGGAACAAGAAACACTGTTTATGGCTGGGTGTATTTTTCGTATTTCTGAAACTCGTTATGATGAAAGTGAGCAAATTCATTTAGTCACACTAGAATTATGCAGCGCAGACGCAGAGACGAAAGCCTTACTAGATGGCAGAAAGAAGCATTTTGGTAACGATAATTCATTGATAACTCTTGGTCATATTCTTGAAGAAACAGGTCGATATGACCTGTCTAAAACATGTTATCTCAAAGCTTTAGACCAATTACTCAATCACAAAGCACCTTGTTTCGATGAGCGCAATATTGCTGTTTGTTATAATTCACTCGGAAATATTGCAGAATTGACAAAAGACTATCAAAATAGTCTTGAATGGTACAAGAAAGGATTGGAAAAATATGAAGAAACGCTTCCAGCTGGTCATAAATTCATTGCTGATTCGTATCGCAGCATTGGCTTGGCGTATGGTCGAATTGGAGATAAAACTCGAGCATTTGAATCGTTGGAAAAGGCTTTGTCGATTTTACGAACGAATCATGGTACGATACATGCATCAGTAGCTGCTTGTCTTCATGCAATGGGTTCAATTTATTTGATGGTCGACGATATTCATGAAGTCTCGAATAAAGCATTTGAATTACTGCATGAAGCTCTTGACATCAGACAGAAGATACTTGTCAAGAATGATCCCGCTATTTCTTCCACATTGTTCAATATTGGCAGTGTTCATCGTGCTCTGCGTCAGTTTGACGAGGCATTGTTATTCTATGAACGTTCACTGAATTTGAAGTTGAAATTTTTTCCAGAGTCACATCCTGAAGTAGTAAAAACTTATTATACAATGGAAGCCGTTTGGAAAGAAAAAGGTGACAATGAAAAAGCGTCTGAATATGCTAGCAAAGCACTCCGTTGTCATACGCACTTTCTAGTGTTACAACATCCAAATATAATTGGCATAGAACATGAAATACACAGCGCGGCATCAACAGATACGGATAATTAATTTTTTTTAGTATACTCATTATTTCCCTTAGCACTTTTACTATATAATACTGTTTGAGCGAACGATAAATAGCACAGCCATGAGTATGAGCGTGGATGCATTCGAAAATTTAATCAGCATTCACGTCGAATTAACCCGAATGTCGTTTTATTTGACTATAATCAACAAGATTTCTGATGTCTATATCATTTAAATTACATTGAAAAATTTGTGCGATGATTTTTTTTCTTCTAAATATTGAAAATCTGAGTATGAAGCTAGATCCTTATATCTATAGAACTATTGCAGACCTTCATTGAGTATATATAGTGTAAAAACAAATCAATTAGTAACAGATTAGAAGCAGACGCACAATAGCAAAGAAAGATAATATTTCTTATTTTTTCATGCATCAACATGAAATATTATCCTTCGATAAAAACAAAAAAACACTGTCTACAAATTGTTTGCTAACAAAATTATTATTACGAAATGATTTGGAATAAACGCAAAGTACGATCATCTACGATCAAAAGAAATTTTATGGTGGCATGGTGTTAGACCCCGCCGGGTATAACATTTTCAGATCGGAACACAAATGCTTTTAGACCCTGAACCAGATCTGGATCTGTTGTAATAATGATTTCAGGACTTAGTAAAAATACTTTTTAATTAGAATCCTGTCAATCCGTAGTTTTCTAGTGATAATGAAATCTTTTCAGTGCTATTGAATAGCTACTTACTTCGAGGATAAGGAACGCTTCTTCTCCTGTTTCATTCTGGATGACAAACGCAAGCACACATTTCCAGGACCATCTTCACTGATAGAGCCCACTCAACTCAAGATTGTTGAACCCGGAACCCGATCCGGACTGAGAAATAATCTATTTTAGGACTCTGAAGAGAGTGGGTTCAGATCCGAATTTGAGGTTGAGCCGTATTCGACATGCTCCATGTGGTATGTACATCCAGGTCGAACTCACCCCATCGGATCCGATGGGAATGCGTCGGAAGTCGTCGGAATCCTTGGTATTGGATTCCAACAGGAATTTTTCGGATGCCGGAAAGTGTCGGATTTTTAGGGCTCCGACGAATTCTCATCGGATCCGATAAAATTCGATAATTTTCCGCTAGGATCCGACAGGATCCGACTATCGGATTGTTCGTCCTGGGGCATTTATCTCTCTTGCTTTTGTTTTATCAAAACTGAACTAATACATTATGTATGCATGTTCCATCTGGATCTTATTTCATTCTACGGACATGCCTAAATTGACACCACTAATTCTATTTTTCTCTTGCTGCTGTGTCGAAAGTATCTTTTTGTTTTAGTACTTTCTATTAAGTTCTTACGCTCTCTCATGTTTTTTTGATACTTCATATCTGTCATTGAAAGTACTTTTTAAATTAATAATTATGTAGAAAAGCAGACTTTGTAGTTGCTCGAATTTCCTCGAAGAGTACACTTGCAATCATGTAATTGATATGATTAACGGGTGATGCGACAGTTTTTTGACAAAATGTTCGTTGATTTTTTGACCATCTGCGAGAGTCAGTCGAATTTGTAAAACACTCTATTAGGATTAGCACTTTGTGCTCTCTTAGAATCTGTGTTCAAAATCTTTGTCAGACATTCAGAGTAGAAATTGTGCTTAAATTTTTGAAAGACACGAAAATGGCGTTCGGACAACTTTCAACCCGAAAAATGTAATCCAAGATTGATACAAAAGATTATTCTGCATGCTGCAAAGTATACAACAAAGATCTCCTTATAAAACTGTGTTCTAATAAGAGGTTGTCTTTGACGTTTCTAAGAATAGTAAGAGTCCTACTAACAGATTTAATTATATTTCCAGAGTTTATTGACTTTTCACATGTTAGAACTTGTTTCATAATTTCTGTAAAATCAGCGGAAGACAGTCAATTGTAGGCTCATTTTGTAGAAGACTATATTCAATAAGGTACTTACCACTGGGGAGAACTTACACAACCTATGTATTGATTAAAACAAAAACTCTAAACTTCGATGCGGCCTAACACAAGAACCTGGGACCAGGTTATACTTGCTGTCTTTGAGTAGAAGATAAGGGAGTTTTGAGACAGGAAAACTAAAAATATCATATAATCAATTTTTGCATCCGGCACGATCGAATATTCTGTCTCTAGATTCGTTAATATACATAGTTTTGTCCAAAGCCTTTTTCGAACCTTTCAAAAACTTAAGCACAATTTCTACTCTGAATGTCTGATAAAAATTTTGAACACAGATTCTAAGACAGCACAACATGCTAATTCTAACGCAATGCTTTATAAATTCGGCTGACTCTCGCAAGTGGTCAGAAAATCAACGAGCATTTAGTCCAGACGCTTTCTCACTACCCGTTATTAAGTTGAAGTTTTTTAAAACATCTCCGTGAGCAAAGGATATGCCATCGAGTGAAAAAGGGAGATGAGATAAGCAATAAAAGCTTATGAATACAATAATTTCGATACTCAGTAAGGCAATGCTACAGATTTCAAATACATGTTAGCGGTCATTATAAACACTAATTGAAGGTTTGATTTCATACTCTACGAATGTTTTAGCGTAATCGGATAGCTTTGCTGAATACTTTTTAAAACATGACAATGACTATGTTGTTTCTCTTATTTTTATTGACAGAAAACAGTTGAATAGATATTCTATGAAAAGTAAAAAATCAAATTTTTTTCTTATGAAATCTATTCGTTACTTTGGTGAAAATGAATGCACTTTATAAAAATACTAGCGGAGGTATCCGATGAAAAGGGAATATAGTTAAAGTTTTGCATCTTTCACCTGACTTTTCCTGCCGTGGATCAGGCCTCTTCCACAGGACTTTTCCAATCACACCTGAAACCTCTCGGGCAGAACGTTTACCTACATGCCTCAGGCATCTTCAAGAGCATTGTTCCCGCTGAGCGTAAGGCGTTTTCCACAGAACTCTTCTCGTCGCACGTGATACCTCTTACACAGGACTTTTCTCACCGTACCTGCAACCTCTGCTACAAATCTTTCCCCATCGTGTGTGATGTATCTTTCACACAGCGTTTCCCGCCGTGCATTAGGCATCTTCAGCAGGACTCTTCTCACCGAGCTCAAGCTGGCATATTCACTCACATCCGCCCTGCACACGATCACTCTCGAATTTGCATTGAGCTGCGTCATTTGACTAGAAAGTGAGTAAAATCGCGATCTCTTACGACTTGAACGAAATTTCACGCACGCTTTCCCTCTCACTCCGATCAGTCTGCCGACTTTCTTTTGCGCTCAAGGAACTGACACGGATATTTCTGTGATGCTATCTCTCACGACGACTAAATACATAGCGAACAGACTCATCAAAATCTCGATCCGTGTTGGCCGTGATGAAATTCCATCTCACTTGTTGCTTTCTTCATTCGATGGATATTTCCATCTATACAGTTCTTCTTCGTCTTATACATTCTATTCGTTTTTTTCGAGCATCCTAAAATGTCTTGTGCCGAATGGCAAAAGATCAGCTTTTTATATACTTTTGCTCTCAAGTTATGGAAGAACAATCATGCGCGCAAATTCTCTGGAAAAGACATTTACTATAGTCTATTTAACAATGAGTAGGAGGGAGAGGGGCAAACACCCCCCTGAGGTGAAAATTTGCGATTGAAAACTACCCTATGACCTTCTCCTGGTCGAAAGGGTATTCTCTGCAAAATTTCATTGCGTTTGCTCGCACCGTGTCGAAATGCATAACGCACAAATAGACAAGCATTCTTCTTTATATAGATAGATTTCTCCCATTAGACTAAAAACTACTAAAGTAGCCGATAGTAGGTAAGCTTCATAATCTCTTTCTGCGATTACTACTATAGGCATAGACGCTTCTGAAAAACAATATAATTTAAAGTCTAATCCTTTTTAATAAAAAATATCTTTAACAAACTTATAAACCATCGTCACAATGTTATTTGTGATATTGTTCTTTTCGAATTACTTGGCAATGATACTTCAGTTGATTATCGTTCTGGGCTTTCTTCAAGTAAATTCAATTCGTGGTCTCCGACAAAACGAATCCAGTTCAACAGGTAAGATTGCTTTGAACAGTATTGTCAACCTATGTATTAGCCTATTTGTATTAGTCACCTTAGAATAGTTTCTTTTACAAAAGTATTAAACACTAACCATATAAAGAGGAATGAATTCTAAAGTGATCTCTAAGCAGATAACCAATTATGATAAAATGATTTGTTACTGTATATTAAGAATTTATGTTATGCCATGAAGAGATGCAAAAATTTTCGAAAGGGAGATAGAGAGCAGCGTTTGACATGGTTAAAGAATTTTTTATTCAATTTTCGGTCAAATATAATTTTAAATCAATCAAAGCAAGTCTGTTTTAGTGGTTCAATACGAGTTCTTTTAAAATTAAAATTAAAAAAATCAATCGTATCTAGAATTCATGTTTCTCTTTTCTTCGTTTGATTGTATACGTTTGTGGAAAAAAGAAGTCTCATTCATAAAGCTAAAATTTATATGGTCTTTTTTGTAGCTTCTATTAAATGGCAATGCAATCCGAAATGTTGGAATGGAGAAGATACGTGTAATACAAAAGAAGAGTGTTTTGATAAAACAGTTATTTGGTCAGAATGTGTCTGTCCTAGTGGAAATAAATCGTGTTTGAACTATTTTGGCGAAAGTCGTGAAGACTATATATCCTGCTTACCATCATTGAATGAATCATGTGGATCTGATAGCACTACTGCTTTCAGAACGTGTCAACCACCCTTTAGATGTGACCTATTAGAAAACCAAAACAAATATCAATGTCAATGCGATGGATGTGGTCGAAATAATACTAGTTGGTCCAAAAACATTGTCACAGAAAGCATTGGTGTATTTATAAATTTTCTGAAATGGGGAATGCAATGTGGTGGAAACGATTATCGAGATGAAACACGATGTTAACCAGCATTTGGATGCAATTTTATTAATCCATGGATATCAAAGTGTGAATGTCCAGATAAAAGTGACCTCTGTGAAGGTGCACCTGGTTATAAGACGACAACAACAACAGCAGCAACAGCAACAACAGCAGCAGCAACAACAACTAAAACAACAACAACTAAAACAACAACAACGAAAACAACTATTGCACCATCAGGTTTGCTGAAATTGGAAGAAAAATGTGGTGGAATTAATTATCAAGGTAAAACAGAGTGTGAACCAACATTTAAATGTACAGCCATTGGTCCATTTTTGTCACTTTGTAAATGTCCAAATAGAAGTTCATGGTGTCCAGATGCACCTGGCTATCCGACAACAACTACAAAGCCACCAAGTAAGATATATTCTCATAACACTAATTCAAACAAACTAATAGTCTTGAAAAATAGAACAAATCTATATATATATATATATAATACACATTTTCCGGTAGCAATATAAATATCATATTTTCATTAAAAATCATTGGGTTTAGTCTTAGTTCATATTTAATAGGATTCGATAGGAAGGAAAATAAACAAAAACCTAATCGATTATTGTCAATAAAGAATAGGGGTGTCACATTGAAATTTAAAAAAATTTATTAAATCGGGAAATAAATTTTCAAAAATTTAAATTTAAAATAAATTAAATTTTTTTTAAATGAAAAGTTAAATTTAAAATAAATTTAAATTCAAGAAATTTAAATTTAACTAAATTTAAATTAAATTGTTTGAAATTCAAATTAGTTAAATTTTGAAAACTAGCAGATAAAAATAGTTTTTGACTTGATTGCTACTATTTAAAGTCAAATTTGAGTATNCAAAAATTTAAATTTAAAATAAATTAAATTTTTTTTAAATGAAAAGTTAAATTTAAAATAAATTTAAATTCAAGAAATTTAAATTTAATTAAATTTTAAATTTTGTATCATTTAAATTTAACTAAATTAAAATTAAATTGTTTGAAATTCAAATTAGTTAAATTTTGAAAACTAGTAGATAAAAATAGTTTTTGACTTGATTGCTACTATTTAAAGTCAAATTTGAGTATATTTCCTGTTTTCTAAAGTTAAAACTAGTCATTCTTCTATGAATTGTGTTATTAAATATATTTTTATGAGTATCCCAGTATTCTGAAGAAGAAAGATGACGGATCCTACATAATCTGTAGAGAAATTTTGACTATTATGAATAAATATTAACCTAAAATACTAGGTTCTCCTCTCATTTAGTATTTACTACTGTTAAAGTCACGTATTTCTCTCGTAGCAATCATGTGTATCTATCCAAACAATTTATTAAATTTAAAATTTGAATTTAAAAAAATTTATTAAATCAAGAAATAAATTTTCAAAAATTTAATTTAAATTTAAATTTTTGTATCAGAAAAATTTAAATTAATTTTAAATTTAACTTGATAGAATTTAATTTTAAATTAAATTAACTTTTCATGAAGTTAAATTTAAATTAAATAAACTGTAAATTGACATCCCTAATAAAGAAGTTCATGAGATGTTTTAATAAAACCTTGCATTTTTCTTCAATAAAACATAGACAAATTGAGATCTTCTTGAAGCTTGGTGGCTCATTCATTCTGTTTTTAAGATCTTTTATCCATCGCACATGATTTCTGTATTAAAAAAATCTTTTTAGCAACGGTTTCATTAGCAACGACGCCAACTCCACAAGCTGCCTGCAATTTCTGTGGAGTCTTCACCTCTTTTGCGAACGTTTGTCAAAACTGTAATTTTACAAGAGATCATTGCTTACTAACCTGTACATGTCGAACATCATCTTGTGTTACTCAACCGATGTCATTTAGCTTGAGCAGTGCTAAAAATCAAGGATGTCTTATCGGCATGCAAAACGGTAAACCTGTTTGCCAACTTATTCCTCCTAATTGCAGCCACAATTATCAACCAAGTGGCCAGCTTTTTCATTATGGTTATGCTAATTAAAGTTCAACAGAAAATACAAATAATTTCAAATAAACATTAAAACTACATATTTACTATCATGGGATATAATAAATTCTATCAATACTCAAATTTTAATTAAAACAAGCTTTCTTATTTAGTCATCTCCATCACTTAAACGCTTGTTTTTCGAAATTCATTATATACTTCTCTATAACAGATGTAGTGTGAAAACAATGATTCAATAATGTTCAACTTATGTGGGAATAGTCATTGATTAAAAGATTGACGAACAGACATGTCACTTATGTATAAGCTGCTTTTCTGCCACGAGTCAATAATGACTTTTTTCTTTTCGAAGTAAACCATATTTTTAGCTCACACTTCAACATCATCGACACAGTTTGATAAGGTATGTTAGGACCCCATCCATGACTTAAACATTCTGAATGGTTACTCAATGAATCGATCTATTTTTGCCTATAGGTCTCAGTTATAAAAAAAAGAAGAGCAGTGAGCTGCATTGTTGTCAACATCAAAAATGAATAGTTATATGAATAAAACTACTGAGAAAAAAGATCAGAATACGACATGTTGCATGATTATTGTAATGCAAATGAATTCTTCTTAAATTACTTAAATAGTCTATTTATTTTCTGTTTCCGCTTAGAATTGTTCGTCATCAGACATCTGCATTAACACAATGAAAAGGGAAAGTTTATTTTGAATATTAAATTACTTCAGAACATGTTGATGATAATCAATTTTCTGTGCAATTTTAAATAACAATTTTTATGCTATTGAATAATTTTCCATGATTTTCTACAAAAAAAAAGATGAAGAGAACAAGAGAGCGAGAAAGAGCCTGGCCAAAGGTCTACATTGAGTTAATTGTTGATGAATTTTTAGTTCTATATCATGATGCCTGCGACTCGACTAGTTATTATACTACTGACCGTCAGCAGCTCATTAGGTAAAATTTCTTTCAATATTTGGTTTGATAATATTCGGACATCAATCTACGATTGATTTGAGTTAGACTGGATATAACAATGAAAAACGAAATATACTTATATGATACGCATATTAACTGTTTCCTGTGCCATTTTGAACACAAAGTTGGCATTAAGATCAAACGATTTTTTTGCTTATTAGACTAAAATACACTAAAATTATCCTCATCAAATATTCAGAAATTATTGTCTATAGAGCGCATTATTGCTGTGATCAATGTAGTGAAACTATCTTAAGAGAAAAACTGTCCAAAATGAATAATTTCCCTAGGATTGCCATTTTAATTAGTATAAATGATTATTAAACTCAAAGTAGGCTTGAAAATTGACTATGGTATACTTTCAAAAGTCCCAATGACTTCAAACCTTTACTAATTCCATTTTGTAAACACCATAAATAACCAAAGTCCAATTATAAGCTTAAAACTTCAGTAAATATTCCTTCATATATCATCAACCATTGGCAATAGCACCAAATAGCATTAGTAAACATGTGCTCAGATAGAGATTTTTGAAAAAAAATTGACTCTTTACCACAAATGTCTGTTCTTTCTTTTTAAAATAGCATTTCAGTGCAATTTCCGGAAAAATAATTAACTTTCTCATAGGTGAATTTTAAAATGATATATAACCACTTCTGAGCAATATAAACCGGTTTCTATTAAGAAATTTACCCACTATGAAACCAGGAGATCTTATCTGAATTGATTTGAGATATTTTAAAAAATATTGATGAAAAAAAGATAGCTCCCGAGAAACAACGAAAAGGACTTTCAATAGTGTGAAATATTCTCTTTAATTACACGTAAGAGAATGCCATTTGAAGCCTACAAAATTTTCATTTGGAGTATATTTTCAAAGCTCTTTCAAGTTGCATATATAGGACATGTTATTAAGATTCTTTTCTGGTGTGTTTCTTAGCTAAATCATACAACCAGCCCAATATCAGCTTATGTGCATTATGGAGCTCAGATGCAACAACACTAGCCAATGAAAATGTGGTTGGTTTACAACCTGCTGGTATTTATATCGATACTGAAAATACTATATACGTAGCTGATCGTCAGAATGGTCGTATTATGGTATGGGATAAAGAATCATCAATTCCAACAAGAAATATTTCCGACAATTTTATCAATCCATGGAGTCTCTTTGTCACCACCGATGCCACTATCTACGTTGACAACGGTGACTTCAACAATCGAGTGGACCAATGGATATTTAATGCATCAAACAGTGCGCCTGTGATGAATGTCGGTGGTTCCTGCACAGGACTATCTATTGATGGCATTAATAATACACTCTATTGTTCATTAGCATCTGAGCATCTGATTGTCAAGGTTGAACTTAACAGTAGTACAATGGCGCCTATCATCGCAGTTGGTACGGGTTGTCCTGGGTCTGTATCCGATATGCTTGATCATCCACATGGAATATTTGTTGATACTAACTCCTACTTGTATGTTGCTGATACTGACAATAATCGGATTCAACGCTTTGCGCCAGGTCAATTAAGTGGTACGACACTGGCAGGTTTTGGTGCCACAGTGTATTTCATACTTAATAGGCCAACAGACGTCGTCCTTGATGCCGATGGCTATTTGTTCATCGTGGAAAGTCACAATCATCGAATCATACGAACGGTAGAGAATGGATTTAAATGTGTTGTCGGATGCTTCGGTGGAAGTGGGACAACGTCAAGTCAATTGCATAATCCTCAGACTATGGCTTTCGATAGTAACGGGAATATATTTGTCACGGATATGAGTAATCACAGAGTTCAAAAGTTTACATTGGTTGTTAATACATGTGGTATGGGTTTTTTTGTGTTTGTATAGGGTATAGTGAGAAGTTAAGATACCATGGGGATGACAGCTTCGCTCACATAAGCGTTTTAGTATTACGCTTTATTTTTATTCTTACAAAAAGTCCAGAAAATATCAGAAGGTATCAAAGGAAGTTCAAAGTAGGATATATTCAAATAATAAAACGAAACTTTGTGATAAATGTATATCACGTTTGAGACGAGTACCATTGAAACTTGAAAAATCGATATTATCTTATGCGTGTAGAAACAAAATTGACTTTCTTTTATGCAATATTGTTATACATCCAACCATAACGATGTGTAGGTATGGGTGGATAAACTGAAGCCGATACCAACATTTATTTATTTTACCATTGCTAAATAATGATTCTGGGACTTCGCTATTTTACGCTGCTATACTTTTAGCAGGCGGGAGCATCCGTGGACAAGAATGCGATTATATTACATAGCCCAACTCAGTAGAGAATTGAATGCAGAATGCTTCTAGAACAGGCTTGCCAAGTTGAAATTTCAGAAATCAGGAGTTTTTTTTATCAAAAAACAGGAGTTTAGCAGGAGAATTTCTTTTAGAAATCAGGAGAAAAATCAGGAGATTTCCTATTTGAAGTTAAGAGAACATTAAGCGATTTTCTCGTAGAAAATTCGAATTTTCACTCAGATAAGCATTTTTATCTGTTTCATATCAAGATGATGATCAATATTTTAATACAAATGATATTGTTTTCATTCGAGTTCTAACACAAGTAATACCCTTTTGCTATACACGTAGAGGGATTATAAAAACATTTTTTCAGTTCTATCTATTATGCACATTGGACCAGTTAATATTCTTATCTGGAGTCTTGCGAGACTTCTTTTTTATTCTGATCGATCAGTCAAAATTCCTTTTTTATTCTGAAGTTCAAGCAAAAGAATTTACATAAATTAATAGAACGATAGAAATACTCTCACCAGAGTTGGTAAAAAGACAATCATTTTTTATTTCTTCCATCACTGTATGAATCGCTTATCACATGGGTCTTCGCTCATTTTTGCAACGAGTGTTTTATACGTTAATATGTTATAAAAACAAGATAAGTTAACCTTTAAAAAACTAAATTGTTGTTCTCTTAAGCTTTTCATGATTTATTAAATGAGCATTTTGTCGAAATTTTCATTGATTCTGCTTATTTTTTATTGATGTCTTCACTTCTTTTTGCTGTATTATAGATCTATTCATTCTTTTCATGTTTATAATTCCTACCAAACCTTGACAACAAAGTAGCAGCACAAATGAGCCTATAGCAACTGCATCGTAATAATGAAAATGAAGCGTAAAAGTCTTGCTAGGCCATTTAAGATATTGTCCTATTCTGAGCTAAAAGGGGTCCTACTTGATTTCCAGGAAATCCAAAATTCATTCCAGATGAGAGACATCGTGTCCGACCATTTAAAATTTTGTCTACCAGTCTCTTGTCTGATTTTCAAGATCTTGTTTTCTAGACAATAACATATGCTTTTCTGCTATCTACAGTAAAACAAGTGCTTTGTCTACAATTAGATCATGTAATTGATGATTTTTTTTAAAGAAAAATGAGATAATAGCATGTCTTTTTTTATTCGTTTCTATAGTTATTAAATACTGCGATTGTTCTCTTTTTTCCTTTTAATTCTCTTATTGATCTAGAGTATCGCTGACAATCAAGTAGGGGAAAATCTAAAAATCAGGAGAAAATATTGAAAATCAGCTCCTGAAACCAGGAGATTTTCTATCAGGATAGCTGTCCAAAAATCAGGAGTCTCCTGGTCAAATCAGGAGGTTTGGCAAGCCTGGCTACACAAGACATTCCACAGAGAATACAAAATTCTAACACAGTGGACTTCAAACACTCTTCCGAAACATAAGCTTTCACTTCATTAAACCTATTATATAGGCGTCTAATCCAAGTTATATAAAAAAACATAATCAATACACGTTCTATGATGCTGTCGATCTATTTTTTATTACTCTTAAAAAAAATGAAGTCTATCACAGGTAATACCTGCAAAAAGATGTTATTTTTCAATGAAAAATAACCCTTACTGAATTCTCTCTGCCAGGTGATATAATAAGTAATATGATGTTTATTGAATATGAATGATTCAACCATCCGTGTTAATTCTAACTCGAGTTTTTTCTTTCGCATCGTTTCTTATTACGTTAAATCAATTATTTTAACAACGGATGAAAGCTTTCATTGTAACAGCCGACTATAGTCAAAGGATACTCGTAAGTAGATAATAAAAAAGATCGAACAACGATATAATAATGTAATAGAGATTCACAAGAGTTTTTTTTGCTATAATTTCTATGGTCTTTGAGAACCACATCGAATCAAAGCTTTGCACTAGATACTTAACTCTGTCTAGTAAAAAATGAAAGGAATGCAAAACGTTTGTATTATTTATTGGAGTAATCTTTTTTTCTTAAATATTTACTTCGTATTCTTGAATTTTGACATGCTACAAAGTACTGATCTTAAATGAATATTCATTACATACGTCAATTTCTATACTATCCAAGTAGATAGTCGGGAAATAGCTTTTGCTTTCATCAATCTTTTACTGGTATATTTTTATTAATTATTGCCTGTGTATTGTCTATTACCATATGCCTTATGTGTTAAGTAGATTAGCACTACCAAAACAATCCAAGTTATAAATTAACGTAAAAAAAGATATTAATTATGGAAATACTTGACGACAGTAATGAATAATATCTCTTTCTATATATGTATATATATATACTATTATTTGTGTAACATAACACGTTGTAAAATGAATAAAAAAACGAGTACTTTTTTTAATCAAATATGTTCATTAGCTTGATCATGTAGTGGTCGTCTGGTTTGTACAAATTTTGGTCTAATTAATTTTTTTCGAAGACTTTCATTAATTTCAACGTCGTTAGAGTCCTCACAGGTATCGATGACAATCGATGGAGTTTGTGTATTATGATCGCGCGGTAGTAATTGATGAGATTCATCTAAAATAAAAGAATAAATAAGAATGAAGAAACTTAACCAAAAATCTACTTGGTTGTAATTGAGCAATAGCTGCAAGTAGATTGAGATCAACAAGTGGTGGAGCTTCTATTCTTTGTTCCCATTCACTTGGTGGACTGCATGGTGGTGATATAAGATAGAGTTTGTCAGGTTCAGGCGGTCGTAAATGTTTATCAGGATTTTCATTCGACTCTGCCATTGGCTAGAAAAACATAGTTAATATATATAGGTCGATAGTAATTATCTAAAGCTATTGACTTACACCAGCAAAATATGTATTTATTATTGTACCATGAAATGAGTATCGATGAAAATGTAATCGAGCTTGCAAAGCATTTTGGGATGATGTGAATGTGATACGCACACGTTGAAAAAATTTAAGATACAGTACAATAATATGAGGATCATAGATACGAAATAATTGTTCGAATTCATCCTTTGTTTTGAATACAGAAACAATCTTATTATTAAATAAAATTATCGAAAAGTAAAATTTACTTTCATTCGTTGATCTGTAAATAAATCATGTGGCACAGGAGTTACGAGAAGACTATTGGGCAATGATCGAACATCAATATCATCATTATCATGATGCAAATGATTATTATTGTCGTTAAAACGATCTGTATCATCACTTATATAATTAATGAAATATTTTGATGCTTCCTCGTCATCGAATTGCATTGACTTCAGATCGTCAGTGATTTGATCTAACTATAGGAAAATATCAATAGAAGAAACTTGTATAAAATCAAATCAATTAACATAAAATTCACTTACGTTGCCATCAGCCATAATTTTGATTATTTTTTTATATATTTACGTATATTGTTATTATGATATTTCGATAAGAGAAGACGAGTCTATTGATAGTGGTAAAATTATGTAGAATATAAGAACCAATTGGTATTGTTTCTAGAGCGACATCTGATTTATTACTACGTTCTTGAGTTCTTCAACTATTCGGTTCGGTTCACTCAATCATCAGCGATAGACGTTGGAGTGAGTCTTATCAAAGTCGAGTATTGCGTGCAGTAAACTTCCTTGTGACTTGAGTATTGCTTCGGTAAATATGAACGCTCCTTCGTAACGAAGATTAAAATATGTTATGAAAATAAGCTAATATGCAATAGGTGATGCGTAGTTGCAATTAGTGCAATCCGAGCTCTTTGAAATGAAGAATTTAGAGTGACATCTGAGAAAGATTATTTACACGTATGATTGATAACATAAACTGATAGAATTATGACAGAAAACTATTGCTATAAGATTTCCGTACTTTCATGACTACTGCCGAGTATATAACAAAACAGAAATAATTGACTCTTCTAGTCTATGTTCACTCGTCATTTATCTTCAATTATAGTTGTTTTCTTCATAATTGCATAGGTATTATTTAGAATGATATTTATAAACCGTATCTAATTTACATCGAAATGTACCCGTGTTTCATCAACTAAGTTTACATAAATTGGAACTTCAGAGAAAAATATTTTTATAATGCTAATTTTTGCATGAGAACATGCATTCAAGGTTTTTGTTTTCAAAGGAAAAATAAAGTTTCTCCTACGCACTTACACTCGAGTGTGATTAAATACTATGCAACTAATTGTAGACAACGTTGGCACATTGAAGAATGAAGGCACGTCGAGGAAATTTGTTTTTTTCAAAAATTGATTCAAACTCACAGGTCAACCACATTTTCCATATTGTCATTCTATGACGATCGTTGAAATGAATTGGATTGTATTGTTTTGTTTTGTGAAATTTGATTTCGAATAAAAAACGAACTGAGAACTTATTTATAACCTATTATTTGATAATCATTCATAGACAGTGAAAAACACAACGTTCATCGAGATACGAAAATCTACATGGATTCTAAATAAGCAAAAATATTAGGCAAGTTTTTGCTCCATCAAAAAAGTCACATGAATAGTTTTTTTTTAAGTTCTATAAATGCCACCCAACTCATTATATTACGCGTATTTAAAAAGATGAGCGCGTACTTGTTATTCTCCCTTTTAATCATCTCTGTTCATCGCAGTCATTTGCGTGGAAGTACTATCACTTGACGACCTGAACCCAACGAAAAGACGGTGTTACATACTCAAAGAAATATTGTTATAGAGCAGCGATACGCTCGGTGAAAAGTGCTGCAATTATTTCATGTACAACATCAACACTTTTGTCATTTTGTACTATTGGTGGGTTCCATGTACTGATTACAATACTATTTTGGGAATGTTTTATGGCTAGAATTCACCATTGATTCCTGTAACTGCTACTTCAGCGGGTATTGTAGTGGAATATGTTATAGGTATTGCATGGCTTTCATTACAGTGAGGTGCTAGTGACTGAAGTATGACGATCTATAAAAAGATGTGTCAAAGTTCAGATAGTAAATAAATTAATAATTCACCGAAATCCGATGTACCGCTAGTGAATTATGTGTCTGCTGGTTCAACTAGAATAAATACATAGACATGAATATTCTTATGCCTATTTTGGGTACGAGGATAAATGAAACTAGATTAATTTTGTGTATTTCAAATGTGGTCTATCGTTGCATTAATGAAAATCTTTGGCATACGTCAAACACAGATTATTTCTGATATAAATGGCCTACATATGTGATATTCTGTTGATTTTTTTCCCCCACAAAATAAAAATGTAATACTCTCTGCTTAGGATTCACATGTTTTTGGCTATTTGTACGAATCTATAGTAATTCCCGCAAATATGAGAACGACGATAGATTGCTACTTAATCTGAAGGTGTACGTATAATATTATTCAGTAGAATAGTCTTTTAGAACGCCAGAATATTAATATGACTTTCCTCAGAATTTTGTCACATTCTCATTGAACATTTACCTTTTATCACCTATGAAATTGCGTTACGTCAATAGTATTAATGGACGCATTTCAAGGCAAAGATATTAATGAAATAAATAACTATTTCATTAAGACAAAAAGCTTCTTATACCACTGCGATTTCATCATCTTCATCCTTACTTAGATAATAGGATCAACGAGTACATTTACGGATAAATTGTATTCGAAAGAAAATCGTGCAACAGCACCTTATTATTCTTTTCTTTAGAAAAAACACGTTTTAGTTATTATATCCGCCGGGAAAAAAATAATGCCACATGATATTCTTGATATATCATCTTCGTGCATTAACATTTTTAGAAATGTAATTATCTATTCGGATAGCTCATGAAATTCTCTATAACTCAATATGAGCACATTTTGAATTGCACGTTCGCTAAAGATAAATTCAAGTGCAGTAAACACACCCTCATCGTCCGATTTCCCGAAAATTCATTTTCTGTTCTTTTAAATGTAGAACCAGTTATTACAGAGGTAAGTATATATTCTGAAAGCACGTGAAATTCTCTATCATCATGTACTTCTACCAGTCTGAACTTGCAATTGTTCGATGACAAATCTTTCGAGCATTGATATTGTACCCTAGTTCACATGAATTCATGCAGCAACCCATGAGCGATTATCTGCTAAAAACAGTACAAGGTATAGATAACGAACGACCCATCAAACCTGATCTCGGTGCTGTTGGTAGTGTTTGGTCTTAGATAAACAGCTTTCCGCAGGGATCTCGCTTGAACTCTCAACAACATCAGACCTAGGAATGTGATTCGCGAGTACATTAACAATACTCAAAAGATTTGCCCTCAAATAATTGCAAGTCAAGGTTGACAAAAACACAGGCTAATAGAGAACTTCACGCGCTTTCAGAATATATGCTTACTTCTTCTATATTTAAAAGAACAGAAAATGAATTTTCGGGGAGTCTGACGATGAGGGCGTCTTTACTGCACTTGAATTTATCTTTAGCGAACGAATGCAATTCAAAATGTACACATATTGAGTTATAGAGAATTTCATGAGCTACCCGAATAGATAATTACATTTGTAAAAATGTTAATGCACGAAGATGATATATCAAGAATGTCGTGTGACATTATTTTTTTCCGGCGGATATCATGAGAAAAATGGTGTGCCGTAGAAAGGTCGAAAGGAAAAATGTCGCAAGCAAAAATTTAAGGAGAAAAATGTCGAAAGGGAAAAATGTCGAAAAAAATATAAAAAGAGAAAAACGTCGAACAATACATTTTACCACAAAAAAATGTCAAAATTCGAAATAAACGAAATAGCGATGTCTACAGTAAATGATGATTCCAAACGCGAATATTTCATGTTTTCTTTTCCCATAATTCTACTAGTCTAGATTTTGCACCTCTTGTAACAGTGATGATTAATATACTTCATATAAATTAAATAAACAACCCCTACATAAGAGTAAATAAATAACTAAAATTTTACCATTATGGCTACAGCTGTCGCATCTTCAGAAGATGAAACTCAATCAAAGTCACCAACGATTTCATTTATTAATTCACAGAAAGGAAAACAATTGCTAATAGTAAATGAATATATTTCGATTATCATATGTTAGTATTAACGTACACAATGAAACATACTTCTCTCAAGTCAGAATTCGAAAACACTCTTTTCGATCATTTTCCACAACAATATATTTTTTTCGGCAATTTTCCCTTTCCATGTTTTTCTTTTCGACCTTTGGACGGCCAACCAGAAAAATATATCGCTTTCGACAGGTAAAAAGAAATGTGTCATTCAGACAATCACTCGATCAAGCGCTACTCTTTTATTGATCATATTTGAAATTGCAACAATGGAGAGCAAAGCGAAAATAAATAGAATTTGTTTGTAGCTAACTATTCGAATTTCATAATGCAAAATATATTTCCAACATTATTATGGCGAATAAAATCTTGTGTGTAACTATTTCATTTGTAAATTAGGCGAAGCATGTTTTTCGTTTGTGAGAAAGACATGCACATGTGTGTGTTTGAGTGAAACCCTTTTGTTACACTGTTTTCGAAACGAATAAAATATTTAATAGATGAAAATATTCAACGATTAAGACATGATACATAGTCGTACTCTATCACATAACGAATACTTTAGAAGGCATCAATATACATTAGGCTTATGTTCTTGCGTCTGTGTTTCTTTATCAAAGCAATCAAAAACAAAAATCGTCAAAAGATACAATCTCATAAATTTTAAATTATAGAGATTTATATGAATATGCAAAAAGATCCTTCATTCTATTTTTTTTAAATTTTTTAGCAAATAGCAATGCGTTCTTTTTAACCAGAGTAAATTAGATATTGTTTTTTCACTTTCGTCTAATTTGTTTCATTCCGTGCTCTATTTCTATTCGATGTTCGGCAGGCAACCGTGCATCAAATTGAAACCATAGATACACACATTAGTGATTATTTCGTTGTCAGCTATCAAGAGAAACACTAGAAAATGAACGCCGAATTGAATTCCATTGGTTGTCAGTCGAAAATACATTCGCTTGGAAAAAGAACCGAAGAAATAGACTGTTGATTGAACCGATCCAGAATCTGTTGCCCAATAGTCATGTTTTATCTTATCTAGCGTATCTGAATTATAGAAATTATCAAATAAAGTTGCAATATAATAGAAAAACAAATCGTGATTATGTATGGATTCTTTTCAAGCAAATATCAAAGCGGATTATGGTATCATTAAAAATAGCTACACTAAATAATGTTGAAAAATAATTCTTTTTTTTCTGAAGTTTTACAAATACCAACGAAAATAATATATTATTTTGTGCATTCAAAAAATGAGCTGATGAAAATATGACGGTACAGTTTCTGTTTTTGATCTTTTCTATTCATATTAACTCTATCCATTGTGCTCATTTTCGTGGAGGAGCAATTACATGGCGGCCAGAATCAAATCAAAATTCTGTGCTAAATACCGACAGAAATATTATTATTGAACAACGATATGCTTGGTCAAAAAGTACTGCAGCTAGTGCATGCACAACAGCAACAATTTTATCATTTGGCACTATTGGAGAAAATGTAGTTTCGATAATACAATGCTATTCACCTGCAGTCAAATGTACAAGTGCAATGTATACTACCGTCTCAACGTTGGTTCCATGCACTGATTACAATATTGTTTTGGGAACGTCTTATGGTTATAGTTCAACAACGCGTAATCTAACTGCTATTTCATCGGGTATTGTAGTAGGATATGTTGTAAGCGGTGCTTGGCTTACATTACAGTTAGGGGGTGGCGGCTGGGATTTAATGATGTATATAAATATGAGGCCACGCTCCGACAATCAATTAATTAACAGCTCACCTGTATCTGATATATCGTTGGTAACTTATGTACCTGTTGGTGGAATTGGGCCAGCTTCGATCGATATACCGATGAGTGATGCCGATGGCGATAATATTGAATGTCGTTTTAGTCTGGCTTCTAATACATTAGGCGGAATTGTCGTTGATGAATGTGGAGGTGTATGTCAACCAGTGGCACTTCCGGCATTGACACAACTAATTTCAAACAATAATACATGTACACTAATCGTTACTTTACCAACGGTTGGTTATTATGCAGTGGCTGTTCAATTGGAAGATTATATGGTAAATTCCACGACACCACTTAGTTCAGTACCATTACAGTTTCTTCTGCTTGCCTACGATGCATCAAATCCTGTATCAACATGTACAGTTCCACCTACTATAACAAGTATTCCACCTGATTTTCCAGCAGAAGGTGCTACTATCACAGTTCAAGTTAATTTTCCCTATAAAGCCATGGTCATTGCACAAACGGGTTGTCCGTTAGATCCAGATTTAAGTATTTCAAATTTTATAACAGCAAGCCCGCCTGGTATGCTCAAATCCAATCTTCCATTTGTTCTTGTCGCTCCGTCGTACGCAATTAATCTAACATGGACACCCACAATTGATCAGTTGAATCAAACATATCAATTTTGTGCTATAGCTATTGACATTGATTATCATGAATCAAGTCAATATTGTTTCTTTATCTTTGTTGGTCCTCAAACAACGACAACCACAACTACGTCGACGACAACAACCACAACTACAACGACGACAACAAGCACAACTACATCGACGACAACAACCACCACTACGTCGACAGCAAGCACAACTTCAACAACCAGCACATCAACTACTACGACTTCTGCAACAACATCAACAACAACATCGACCACGACTACGACCACTAGTAAATGCTCATTAAGAACACTTCGGTTTTCCGATTGATAATTTTATATTTTCATTGTAGCTGCAGGCGTGCCAGAATGCAATTGCATACCACTAGTAATGGCGGCTTGTTTGGGTCTTGGCATACCATTGTTTCTTCTTCTGGGTCTTCTCTCATTGTTGTACTTGTTTCGATGTTGTCCTGGTCCTCTTCAGTATGTACTCAACATTTTCTCTTTAGTATTATAATTTTCGATACGTAATTACAATTTTGTTAAAGATCTATAATTCATCGACGATTTTGCCGAGATCATAAATTTTGTTGCTCAAATTGTCGACATTCCCATTTTTCTGATGACTCTAACGATGGGAATAAATCTGCAATGCCTGAAGGAACACGACAATATCGACAACAATATATTAACACTGATAATAAGATGAAAACCTATCGATCAGTACAGTCACCAGTGGAAAGGGTATCGTTCTCTGCGCATGATCCGCTCAACGATAGATCCATCTCGACAGTAGGCTTTCGCCCATCAATATCAAGATCAAGATCAATTGCTTCCGGTTCAGGTACTAGTCTTCTACCAAACGGACGTACTTCGCGTATTACAATGATTTCTCCAATTAACCCTCTTCCACAACGAAGCGAATCGCTTCTATTGCGATTATATTCAAAACAGGTTCATCCACAAAGAGCTGAAAGTACAGTATGAAATTTAGAAAAAAAATTGAACATTATTTTCGTACATTTCTAATCTTTGTAGTTTACTTTTACTAATAAAATAAAATGATTCCGTAGGTTTCACTCATCAAGAATTAGTCTATGGCAAGATCAAATAATAACAATCATTCTTAGTCATGATGACGATGAATACATTTTTCCATGCTATTAAAGTAAACGGATGAATAGATTAGTACTGAAATTTTAATCTTCATATTCTAATCTTGTAGATAAAAGCTTCTAATAATTTCGTTCTTGTTTTTCTGTTATCATCGTGTTAAACTAGCGCATAAAACTAAATTTTGTTTTAAATAATAAAGAAAAGAAGAGTGATACATTAAACGAGGCATGCGAGAGAAAAAAGATCTTGCTTAGTAGCATCTAGATTTTGCACTGTTATGATATCTAATAATGTTGAAACTTTACAAAAACAAAAGCAAATGACATGAGAATCACAGACTTATAAATAAAGGAAGCATTTAACAAGGATCATTGGAAAATGAGTTAAAAAAAGAATGATAACTTAACCTAAACGCCAAAAAATTGATTACGTTTTGATTATTATGAGAAAAATAAGAAATTAGCTTGTTTATTAATACAGCCAATTCTTTGAGCTTAACGAAATTGTGGTTCATGCTCCATCGTTGGCGAACCCATATTAGAAAAACTAGTTGGTGGGAAGTCTTGCGAATGTTGTTGTTGTTGTTTTTGTTCTGTTCGACTTTTAAAAAACTTTGTTTCCTTAAAAACAAACCAAGCACTGCCAACCCAAAGTACAAAATTTAAAAAGCCAAATATAACAGACGAAATTATACTTCCATAAGTACCAGCTGAAAAACAAACGAACTAATGATACAAGACAAATTTCAATTTATAACATACCTCTAATGGTTATACAGTCTGACGTAGAACCGCATGACTCGGAACGTCTAGCTAATGCGTTCAAACTGGTCTGTGAACGAATATCTGATACACCTTTGGCCCAAGCTGAACTTCCGGCAATCCAAAAAATAGACCAGATTATTATGATAACAAAATCAATCATAGAATAACGCCAATCATTGCGATATGGTTGATCGAAAAAAATATAAATTATACAAAATGTGAGTGATAACAGCATAGATGTAACACCTGTAAATACAAAAAATTCTGCTGATGGTTTTGCACTATTTGAATCAGATATTGTGTTTAGTATTTCATTTGTAGAAGTCACGATCATCGATGAACCTTTTAAACCATAAGGATAAGCCCATGATGCTTGTATTGAATCATTTCCTTTATTGATGGAAAATGCTGCTGAAGAATCGCCACTACATGCGATAGCAAAAGCGACTATTGCGAATAGAAATTGAAGAGCACGAATTAAACCGCGAGGCTCTAAAAAGATAAAGAGAACTTCCATCAGTTAGAACTTTCCGTGAGATGTATGGCTAAAGTCGTTGGGTTGCTTTCTAAGGTCTCATGAGTCGTAGCTACGATCTTATTTGGAGAATTCTGTTCTTTTACAGAGCGTGTACTTGATTTTCTGTTTTTAAAGATTTAAAATAAATGCAACTATGCACAATATGTTCTACTGTGAGCTTTTCATTACGACTAAAATGAGATAATCCACAGGCTTCATAAATCATATGTAAGTACGTTGTGAATGATACTTTTTATTTTCACCAAGACAAAAGAAAATCACTGTACGCTCCAAACATTTAGAGCAAAATTTTGTGTTACATTCGAAAACTCGTGAATTAATTGCAGCAACTATTGGATTTATCTCTTAAAAACTCCGATCAATCAATTTTCATTGCGAAGTCATATTTTTTTTCATCAAAAATTTTACAATTAAATGTTTCAGATCATCGACTAGATATTCTTTTTTGATTGATCAATAAAGTAAGCCTAAGATAAAGATCACAATACATTACTTTTACTTTTCAATGATTCATACATCTGACCTTTCTATTTCTTTTTCCTCAGATAAGAAAGTTCTGCTTCAAATTCAACCACATACATTCAACGTTATATATGTATATAAATCTTTTTTTATGCACATTTTATATATGGGATAGATAGTACACGTCCGACGCAACCTATAATTATGGAAGATACGCATGAAGATAGAAAAAAAAAACTTGTTCTGGCCCAAATTTCCGCACATATTAAATTCATATCGTATAGTATGATTTTTAGTTTTAAACAGCATATTCGAATATAACTTGGAACTCACCTGTAAATACTCGAAGATTAATGTTCATTGCACTAAGTGAGAGCCTTGAATGGATAGATTCCATTGTAACCACAAAATAAAATAATGGTTATCTAAAGAAAAAAAGATATTACATTTTGAGATAGAGAACAACGAATAGTAATCTCAGTATCAAGGTTTTTCTTCTTTGATGTATTGATTTATATATAGTAAGCATTGATCATTAGTAATGCTTATGATATTAGTCGTATCTCTTCTATATCAGGCTCATTTATACCTTTACTTTTCATGATGATTAATGTATATTCCATTCTACCCAATTATGAATAGATAACTGGATATAAACAATCAAACATCTTTGTTTCTTTTATTTCGTCGCTCTGCTCGGCGTGTGCTCATGTCAGCAAAACAAAAGTCTTTTCTTGTTCTTAGTTCAACATTTGACTGATCGAATACTGGCAAAAAAAAGAATTGGTAAAAGAAAATAAAGATGAAGATGCGCAGAAAAAGAAAAAAAACATCTACAGAACACGAAAACCTTCTCGACTGAATCGAAGAAAAGAAAAGAAGTGATCGAAAAACAAGCTAGACGAAAATGAAGAAAGAAAAAAGAGAAAGGTATGCATGACTTTTGACCGAAAAGCATATTGCGAGCTACGCATGAAAACGACAGATTTCATAATCAATATTTAATAGTAATTTTTTCCCTATACTGTCTGACTGGACTCGAAAGCAAAATGTTTTACTAAAAACATTCATCGTGTGATTGGTCAAATCAGCAGTGAATTATTTGACTCATCATTATCATCATTGAGGAGATAGAGGGCCTCGCGTAGCTATTAATTAGTGTTACCAAACAGAACTCAACCAATTTTATAAAGTGACGACTAGAACAGATCGAGTGTAGGATCTTCAAGCATAGAAGAAACGGCCGAAAATTGTTCTTCGCACTTGAAACTGCTAAATTATACTAGTTTTTGCATCTTTCTGGGCCACCGAAAGTAACCAAAACTCATAAGAACTGTTAATATAAACTACTGTTTAGCCGCCCAAGATATTGAATACTTTTGAAGTCTTCGCTTATCAAATGGGTCATACAATTGAATTTGCTAATTATTGATAGTGATATTGAAATTCACATGTTTATTTGAGATATTCGTAGGACTATTACGAATCTTCCAAAAACTGAATAAAGAAACAGTCTGCACACCATCACAATATCACTTAGTTCAAATCTCAGCAAAGTGATACAATATTTATTTTTAATTTACTTGAAAGCAGGAAAAACTCATCAGAATATGACGCTCCTGCTTTTAAAAATATTCTTGAACTTACTTCCGCACTTGAGAAATAAACACATTAATAACTTCTCTTTAGATCAAAGACAGATGAGAGCGAGCGAGACTGTTTTTATTTTCTCCTAAATATTTCTATTCAGAAATGGGCCTTGATGACAGTCAAATTCTTAATTTCTCTACAATTCTCCGTCAGCTTTTTGGCTGATCTCCGTTTTATGCTACTGGCCACCAGGTATGAATTTGAACCCTCGAAAGTCGTCCTCATTTTATCACACGAAGTAAAACAGTCTTCAATGTTTTCCTCTAAACATATTTCACCAATTTTGATATTGCTCTTATGCACCATTAGAAGACTAACGGATAGAGAAAAGATCGTTCGAAAAAGTATAGTTGTTGCCGTAACGAAAAGCGAAAAACATCACCGTGGATTCTGCCGAAGCCCCAGAAAGATCTTCGAACACTCAAATCATCAATAATTCATTGTTAATTAATACAGCAATTGTTCTTATTTATTAAGTTGTTATCAATAGGTTTCTTTCTTTTTTTCACTAATAGTGTAATATCTGTGTTCACTGTTAGATTCAATAGTTCACATGCTAATTAAATAAACAAACAAAATGATGATTTGAGTTTTTTTGGCATTTCTTTCATACTCTACAGAATTGACCATTAATAGTGTATGATTCATTCCGATAACAATAATGACTTGATTTCTATTTATTTTTTTTGCAATACATTTTTTTCAAACATCTCTCAAGAATATCGCCATTTTCCCAAAAATTTTATCTTGTCAACAATCGAGGTGAATCATCTAGAATTGTGATTTCTAATGAATTGAAACGTACATTATTTGTTTTCTTCATATTTTCGATGCTACTGTGGATTCGAGCTTCGCATCGCATTTCGTATACGAGTGAAACCAGACTCTCAAAGCTAAAAATCTACAAATTTACTCTAAAATTCGTATTTGGTGAGCGTTGTTTGTAGGAGAACAGAATATGTTGTCGAAAATCTGAATATAGGTCGTAGCAATTTGATGTCGTTACTTTTGTCTCCAGTTTACAAAGAGTATTTTCTGCTTTTCCACTTTAATAATCCAAATGTACTTCGTCTATTATTGTAGCTATTAATCAACGGTACCCATAGAGAGCAGCAATGAAAATGATAAAGCCTACCTATTTTTGATCTTTTTATACTATAATAGCGTAAGCCATATTAATTCGAAGGTAAATAATGGTTTTAATATTCAATTAAGCACTGTTTAAAAAGAGCGAAATAAATCCCAACAGTGCTTAACACAATGACTACCTTATAAGTTTTGTAAGAGTACTATAAAGAGGTAAGAACCCTTCGTTTTACACAGTGGCTTATGCTTCGGAAAACTAGCTCTTATCCAGCCTTCTGACAATATAAAAACTAATATATTTCATTTCTGGCACATCGGTCTTATATCGCACATTCATCAAATATAATGAATCGAGCGAACTTCATAAGCTATTCCAACTACTATTTCTATACCAATTACATGCTCGTCACTATTCTAAAGTATAATTTGGCCGTATTTTTTGTTCTTGTTAGAATGATATTTAAAATTACATCGAGGCCAACCTCCAGGCACACTGTGTTTCTCACATTATTCCTGTTTGTTCCGATTCGATTGAAGTCTATTTTGAGATTCATAAATTATCAATGAGTATTACTAATTTACGCGAACAGCACGAACACACAACTTTGCGAGATCGAATATCAGTTCCTCTTACGAACACCCATTTTTTACTAGCTATAGGGAGAAAAACTGTCAACAAATTCGAAAAAATGACTCCTCTCAACACGAACACCAAAAACCTCTGTTTTTCTCCATAGTAACACCTTACACTTTTGCCTACGAACACCCACAGAACTCCATAAGCTACATTTTGACTAGAGTACATGGTATTCTCGAATGAATTTTTATAAAGATTTTTCTGTGAAAACATTTAAGAGAGAGTCCGTGAGAGAACCACTCTACGTACGGCATCGGAGGAAAAAGTTTTTTTTCGATTTAATTACCTTAAATGATAGGTCTGTTCGAATCGTTGTTAAATCCAAAATATCAAATCATTTGGCTGTTCCTATGGAAAAAAGGCAGAAAAAGCAAGTTTAAAGGGTAAATGGACCCCCATCGAACTTCTCAAGTTTGTAGAACAGATTTGTGACATATCTAGTTTTGCAGAGCTTGTAAAGGCGCATCGAGTGGTATATAGGAACTCGAGTTTTCACGTTTGAAAGGCCTATATATTGTTTACAGCACGTAGCAATCTATATGATACTCATAGAAATTATGGATCCCTATGATGACACAGAATAAGTTTATAAGAACTCTTTTTGAGACTCGGTTCTATACAGAAATGGATGCTATTCAATTTTTTATAGCCGATACTTTTTATTATTGCTTTGCTATAACGATAGACGGTCGTCTTGAAGAATCCTTTAGTAATTATGGACAAATTAACACTTCAATATATTTACTTCTGTGTCACGGAGCAATCGAGTAACAACGTGAAAATTTTTTGTTAGAAACTGCACACTATTGACCTCTACATATTTGATAGATAAGATCTTTCAGAAAATGAGGGGCTTGTTGTTAGCTTAGAAAATAATTCACTAACATAGCCTTTTTCCTCTAGGGAGGGCTGAGTATATTCACAATATTTCAATAATCTCCGACAATCCTAACCAACATTTTTACGTTACAATAATCAGCAGAGCAACTTCAATCAACTTGCATAGATAAGTTCTTTGAATATTGAAAAAAAAATTTCCTTCTTCTGACCCTGAAGGGGTCTACAGGGATACAATAATACCTACACGTGCCCTATTTTTATTGTCTGTTTTACCAATGTCAACTCCGATTACACAGATTTTATTGATACGTTGAACCCTTAAATAACACGCAAATATCTTATGTATATTGCAGAAACATTTACTTTCATATCCCTCTAGACCCCTTCAGTGTGAGAAAGAGTTCTTATAAACTTATTCTGTGCCATCATAGAGACCCACAATTTCTATGAGTATCATATAGATTGCTACGTGCTGTAAACAATGTATAGGCCTTTCAAACGTGAAAACTCGAGTTCCTATATACCACTCGATGCGCCTTTACAAGCTCTGCAAAACTAGATATGTCACATATCTGTTCTACAAACTCGAGAAGTTCGATGGGGGTTCATTTACCCTTTAAACTTGCTTTTTCTGCCATTTTCCATGAGAACAACCAAATGATTTGATATTTTGGATTTAACAACGATTCGAACAGACCTATCATTTAAGCTAAATAAATCGAAAAAAAACTTTTTCCTCCGATGCCGTACGTAGAGTGGTTCTCTCACGGACTCTCTCTTAAATGTTTTCACAGAAAAATCTTTATAAAAATTCATTCGAGAATACCATGTGCTCTAGTCAAAATGTAGCTTATGGAGTTCTGTGGGTGTTCGTAAGCAAAAGTGTAAGGTGTTACTATGGACAAAAACAGAGATTTTGGGTGTTCGTGTTGAGAGGAGTCATTTTTTCGTATTTGTCGACAGTTTTTCTCCCTATAGCTAGCAAAAAATGGGTGTTCGTGTATATAATTCTACAAGGTGTGGGTGTTCATAAGCGGAACTGCTATTCGATCTCGCAAAATTGTGTGTTCGTGCTGTTCGCTTAAATGAGTAATACCCTTTATCAATTTTTGCAGATAAGACAATTACATCGCAGTGTCCTGATAAATCCCGAGGGGACGTCCTTTGCAAATAATGTTTTCGCTGGAATCCTGACAAGCGCTGCGATGTATGCATATAATACACTTAACTGATAATCAATGTCAATCTCGTGTTTACTAATCCAGGTAAATATATGTCCTTTTCCCGCCTATCTTGATAATAAACCAGGCAAAATCTTTGAGGTAGCGATTCTTTTCTTGACAGTTAACTCCCAGTGTACATAGCAATCTGTTGTATTCTGGAACATCTGCTTATTATTTAAAGCTCTGCGTTTTCGACATGCAATTTTTTATCCGAAATCAAATTCTATCATTTTTATTTTCTTATGCCAAGCTATTGAATATATTTTGCTTAGTGACACAATTTGACTATTTATTATTCAATATGTTCTAAGATATTCATATTTAATCTTTACTTATATTTTGCAAATCGTTCATTCTGCCGATTTTTTATTTGAAAATTTTCGATTTCAAATGCTGCATGTACGCAATTTCTATTTTATGCATAGTCAACAGAAACTATTGTTGTTTCAATGCCGATGCGAATGAATACTTGACTGAATTCCTTCCACACTGTGTACAATGCACACTTTTAGAAAATATTGATCTTTTTTATTCTACATGATCCGATTCCAAACAGGGAAAATAATTATTTTTAATTGTATTTTATTTTCATCTACTGTTTAGTTAAAAAGAAAAAGAAAGTCACTTTCTTTTGCGATGGATACATAGGCGTTAACAATTCAATTTTGAAGTATAACTTATAAAGCTTCTATTGTGATTTGAATGGCTAAAGTTATACGAACATCAGACCACCGAATTATTTTCAAATAAATAGTAGCTCAATGCTGTAATTCAACAGTGCATTAAAGTCAAAAGAAAAAGACCCTATTCATATTGGCTTAAGAATCAAACTAAAATTAGATCGACGCTTTTATTCGGTGAAATTATTATGGCATCAATTGCTGACTGTTTCCTAACAAAGACTCATCAAGTAATTTTGTTGTTCTTATATTAATGTGCTACTCAAAAATGTTTGCAGATGAAATCATCTATTCGGAGACTTCAATTCCGTAGACAAGCAATAGAAAAGGAAATAAACATGGCCCAATATTTTGGATTGGAAACAGCGAAAAAACGAAATCAATAGTGAGAATTTTCATTTTAGAGAAAACTGAGAAACAAATGCAAAGTATCATCGTCAAATTTGATAATAACAATATTTATTTTATCAAATCGTAAGATTACCAAGTCAGTATTCCCCCGGGTACATATTCTAATAATATTATAGCGAAGCAAACTTACTGGCGTTTCCTACATAAGATTGACGAGTTAAACTCGATGTGGCATTAAGATTACAGGTAAATATGTACAGCAGTTTCACACTCAACGCGGCCTTCTTGATGACAAGTGAGAAGAGAACAAATTTATCTCTTCAATAATTAAATACATATATAATTTTAAAAAAATGTGATTTACTAATGCAGGTTATCGTTACGCACATGTATTTAATCAGAGCACTTTTCTTTTATTCCGGATTTTGCAGGTGCTTTACTGTTTCGAAATTTAATTGGTCAAATTTATTTTCTTAGTCTTTCTACAGGCGCCAACATTTAAAAGAATGTACATAGTGAGTTGAATAGAGAGTTTTATTGCCAACAGAAATTTTCAATGTTGAAAATATTTGTTCATTTCGTGAGTAAAACTTGTTTCACATGTCACACTGTTTCGTTCCTAATTGAAATTGTTGGGAATTTCTCGAAAATCATCGAGTAAACAGTTTTCTACAACAAAACAGGAATAAATTACGTTTTAGCTGTCTGTGACATTTTACGAATAGATTGAAAAACGTTGCTTGAGGCACTAAAATTTCATTTTTTAAGTCACTACTTTATATGGAAATCCCACTATTGCACCTTCCACAATAATGATGTTTCCTAGTAAAAAAAAGTAGACATGCCATATTGAAGAAGATTGTCTTACGCTTGTTTTATTTGTAGACTTTATCCTTGAAAAATCTCTAATCTTTATTATCTAGAAAAATTGCTTATTCGAGCAGCTATTAATATTCTTTTGCAGCGTAGATAACTATAAATAAATGCGGAAACATCGGATTCGCATCCAATTGTTATGTGTACTGCAAAAACTGAGTCGATTTATATATGTTGTGAATAATACTGAGAAAAAAAAATTTATTTAAAAAAATCCCTGTACCCCCCCTCAGGGATGGTCTAGTCAATAATGACAATTTTTTCGACAACTCAGCCATTTCTTGACAAATTCCTCTCATCTTCGAACTCGACTGAGATATTGCTGAGATCATTCTGTGTACAAAATTTCATGACAATTGGATGAGGCTTTCAAAGGTTATCGTGTAAACGGCCGGACACACTGACCGATTCTATAGTATCTCAAAAACACCCGCTCAAGATTTCAGTAGTTAATCTACGTAAAACATGATAGAAGTGTGTACCTTCCAAAATTTAGTACATTTAAAAATAGATTCTGAATGCGAACTTATTCAATCACGAAGTTACCTCGTGATTCAGGTGTGATTAAAATTCACATTAAGCTTGAAGAAATAACAGAACGTAAAAAACAACAATCGTAAACATTATTGATCAAACCGTTCGATAAACTCATATTTCGTTTTACTTTAGACAGAAAAGTAGGCTTGATTTTATTCGATCGAATTTTCTATTCTTTTTTTTTCTTAATTGTGGCTAATAGAAAGAAAGTTTTATTTGATTGTAAAAAGAGCGCAGAATCTATGTATGTCGCCTTGTTCGTTATTGATTTCTTGTGTCATTCAGATTGAAAGTTAATAGCCATGCGAAGGCGTTCCATTGAAAACAATGAAAGAGTACTTCTTTGGTTGGCATCAACTGAGAGAGCACATATAATGTATGGAAAATATGGAAAGAAGAAATTGCTAGAGGAAACGACTTATGTTTTCACATGTGACACACGCAAACGTAGTTTCGCCCTTCACACTTGTCCTCCACACTGTCATAATGCTGTTTTTTTCTCTCTCTCTCTCTCTCTCTCTCGTCATATAGAACGATAAAAGAAAAAAATATAATGACTTAGATAAAATTCTGCCTAGAGAGTACTTGATTAGTTAGTTAATAAACATATTTTTTGCTACTTTTGTCAAAGAAATTTACTGGCGTAATTTTTTATGAAACAATGTTTTGCTTTCTTTTTTTCAGATGAATTCTGATTATGTTTTTGTAAACGGCGATAATTTCATTTATGATCTTGAAACAAATAATAAAGATACTTTTGATGCATATTTATCCGATGCTAAACAGCGTGTTACAAATATGAGCAAAAGAGTATATTAATATTATAAATGTTTTTTCTCCATTTTACCATTTTTTAGTTTCTGCAGTATGATGCCTCATCCTTAAACTATAACGAATGCGGGAAAAAAACAGAGAAAACAGTTTTGCAATGTGTCGTATGTGGCGCTAAAGCATTTGGGTATAACTTCGATCGAATTACATGCGAAAGTTGTAAAGGTAGATACAAAAACAACTAAGATAGGAGACAATATTTTCCTTTTTCTTAGCATTTTTCCGACGAAATGCATTGAGAAATATGGTAAATAAATTTTGTTTTTCATCCACCGTTTTAATTATTTTTTGTTTTGAGCAGGTAGATCTTCAATGTCGATTTGGGGGAAAGTGTGATATAACAGCAGAAAATCGAAGACATTGTACATATTGTCGTATCAGAAAATGTTTTACTATCGGTACGTTATAGGAAATTTCATCCGAGACAAAAAAAAGAAATATATTCTACTAAAACTAGTATGTTTACAGTAGAATCATGAAAGGACACAAGTACCGTTAGACATGTTTTCTTTTGCTGGTTGTAATAGATCCGATACGTAGTATTTATTTTATGAGATTGTTTATTTTGATAATATTGCTGCTAATTGTAGGTATGCGAAAAGATTGGATTCGTAGTGAAAAAGAAAAAAATAAAAAACTGATTCAAGGCGAGAAGCAACGTAAAACTAAACAAACAAAACGACGACTACAGGTAATGATTTTTATTTTAGTTGTTTTTTTCGATAGTTTGCCGACCTATATATGATTTAGATATCTATGCCGAGAGATTCGGAGAACTTTAATTCACCAGTTACGTTAAGTTCAGCAGATCGAGCGAGTCTAAATAATATAAGTCATTGTTATGATCAATATGCCGGCGAGCCAAGTATATCTGTTTATTCAGCGCCACAACAAGTTCTTACATTACGTTTACACGAGTTTTATAACCGGAAGAAACCGATTGTAGTTAGTTTTATAAGCTATTTTAAACATTTACCTGAATTTCAACAACTAAATATTGACGATCAAGTTTTATTAATAAAACAAAATATTCACATTTTATTACCAGTCAATTATGCTCTATTAAAAACGCCGGCTCATTCGCAATTTCGTTATACGCGTATTCAAACAGCTGGCTGCGTGAATAATATTAATTTGCATTCAATGTATCAATTACTATCTAACACATTTGTTCCATTTGTTACACTCGATCCACTTGTAGTTAAATTATTTCTAATAATTTTATTTCTTACAACAAATTTACTTACAACAAATTTCGATACGGTTGGCTATAAACAATTGGGATATATTCACAGAATACAATCGGCTTATACTCAATTACTCTGGCTGTACATGATAGAAAAATATGGTGAAAAAAGAGCCGTAATTTTATACACAAGAATTATAACAACATTTCTACATTTACAAACAGTGATTAATCGAATCGATTCGATAATTCGTTTAAATAAGGATACGCAATATCTAGATTCTCTTATGAAAAGTATTTTACAGTTGACGTAAAATTGATATTGCCATTTTGTGTTTTTTTTCTGTGTCGCCTCAGCTGTATTAGAGAATTTTTACACTCTCAGCAATAAACGTATGAAAACAAAAACTCATCGTGTTGTATTGAATGTAGTACGTTGAAACAAAGAATTTGATTTCGACTATGTTCGGCTAATTGATTTATATATTTTTTTTTCAATAAGAAAATATTTCGAATAAAAACAAATACCAGTAAGAATATAATAGGAGATATGCTTTCCTTTCGAAATTTCCAATTGAGAAAAGCAGTTTTTAACTATCACGTTAAATAAGACATAGACAGATGGCAACTGAATGATCGGCATGTTAAATCCTACAGTCTAGTTCTCATCAAAAACATTAGAAAAACGTTAATTTTTATCCCTCACACTGTCAGAAGACATAAAAGAATCTTTTTCTTATTTTAGAATTAAGAATTTAATCGAATACATTTTTGTCTGACAACTACCATAGTTCTATATTGTAGAGATTTGCACAGAAAATATTTATTAAACATATCTTTTAAGTTACAACATAAGAGATATAGATTAGCTCCAAAGGAATTGCATTGAGAATTTTCTCATCATAAAACAACCAACTTGATTTAATCGAACGGTTTGATCGCCAGTAAGCAAAGGAAATATGCTGATGCTCATATCTAAATACTAATATGAAAATAAAAATGATTTCGCCAAGCTTCATTTGTTAAAAAATGATTCTAATTGAAAAATATTGTCGAATGTAAGAGACTTCGTCGACAATAAAGTTAATATTGCTGATAATAGTAAAGCAATTAGGGAAATTGTGGAATAAAATTTTAAAAAAAAGCAATTAATAACAAATATCTAGGGAAAAAACCTTTTTGTGACTTCAATTAATGTTCGCGTCACTCTTAAATTCATCATTTAACAAAAGTGCTTATAAGTTTAGAAAAAAACTGTTTTCACATATAATTATCTGCTCCGGGTTAACCTCAAAGCAATATGTTCGATTCTCAGAGATACAGTACATTTAATTTTAAATGAAAATCTTTCGAACGAAAAAGAAAGATAAGTCCAAGGTTATGTATTGGTCTGATGAAATATGGCCTGATCTGTAACGCCAATTGTAAAAGAAAACTAAATACGTGATTATTATCACACCATATAGCCTTGCGGAGGCGTTTTCGGGTGATTATCTTAAGCATATATATATATATATGCATATGTAAAGCAATATTCATCACTGATTTATTCATTTATCTATTTTTCATTTTTACAACGAACATCATGCGAACATTTTCATCTATCGTCATTGCCATCGTAACACTCGCTATTATTGCCTGTGTTCGAGCTCAAAATGGAAAATTCTCGTATGTTATACATTCAGCGCCCGCTATTGACATTAAAAGCATTGACATTACTCCAATTCCAATTCTTCATCCAGGCGAGGCTTTTCTTACTTTTGAAGCTGATCTTAAACGACCCATTAGTAAGTTTTTCTTTACTTTTTCAATCTTCATAAGTCAAGAAAAGATCATAATTTAATTTCATCTTCTAACTACTATTAGACACAATAGCAACTGCTTTGAAAATTGTTCGTACCGTTAGTGGTATTAAACTTCCAGTCAATTGCTATAAAGTCGAAGGTCTTGATGTTGGCTCATGCAATTATACAGATTTATGTGTTGTACTTAAGACTATGTTACCGTCATTTAAACCCGAAACTTGTCCCGCGGCTATGGCTATATACGGAATTGATTGCAATTGTCCATTCAAAATTCCTGCTGGAAAATTGAATATTATACAAGAGAAACTTGTTTTGCCTGATGCTAAACAAAGTATTGCTAGTTTTATGGCTACAGGCGATTTTGCTATTCGATTGGACACATCAGATCAACAAGGACCTTATGCTGCACTCACAGTTAATTTCAGTGTTAAACCAAAACCATCAGCTGGTTAAATAAAGACAAATATTTTAATTTCACATTTCCTACATCGTACACTCTTTATTTTTGAAATATCAATTTGATTGACTTATTTCTTTGACAATGAACTGAAAATAAATAAGAAAAAATAATATCACAGTTCTAATGTTGATTTCTACCGTAGAAGAAAACAGGTCTATTTTTTATTTTGTAATCTATTGATTGCATATTAATCATGCTTCTTATGAATTATCGTTTGAATTCTTTGGTCATTTTACACTTATCTAACAGTTATTAAGCGTCGCATACTTAACTAAGTATGTAACTAATTGATCATTGTTTCATAATGAATGATGCACGTGTTTTTGTTATCCACTCAGCAGATTTTGCAGTGTAAAAACATTTTTTAAGAATAGCGGATAGTTCGATAAGGGCGAAAAGTGTCGTTACAAAATTTAGTATTGAAGAGCGTGGGTGCGAACAGCATGACTTACGTCCATACCAGTAAGTATTGACTCACTGAGCAAACATAATACTTAGCCTATATTCAATTTCTATTACTAATAGTTTATTCGTCAGACAACAAAACGAACTTAAATATATGTGTTTATCATCTAGGACAAACAATGACCGAGTTTGTCTTCTGTCGTTTACTGAGTCATATTATACAAACTCATTATTTGATAATGTCAATAAATCAGTTTCTGTTAGATGATGAAATAAAGGTGCCAAAACACTCATTCATTGATTATGAATCATTGATTTCTGTCTTGCGATATAGAGAAAAAAAATGACTGGCAATCATACCGAGATGATAATTGCACATAAACAAAATGGCCCATAAATAAAATCGATTCGCTGATGATATAATGAACAGAATATGAATTTTTAGTTCATTATTTCTAGAATTCGTAATTCGCAGTATTTCAATAAATTTTATATAAAACTTCTAAAATCTGCCATTTCTCTCATCCTATTAAGGATAATCTTCTTAAAAATTTCATGGCAACATGTTATATTCTTTTCTTTTTTAATTATCCCGATTATTTCATCTATAGAAATAACTCTGGAATGCAAGAAAACAAATCTTGAATCAAGTGAACTCAAGTCTTCGAAGACTTCTGCACAAGTTCGAATCTCAACGTAATTGTATACGAAGAATTTTTTTACGCTACTTATCCATTTGACACTTATTTCATATAAGAAAGTTGCACTTGAAGAGATCAGTATATTTTCTTGCTCAGAATCAAATATCTAACCGAACAAAGTTCTTCGAAGATTCTGGAAAGTTCTTATAAGATTAATGGATGATGATTGATATTATTAGCTGTTTAATGAGATCATCGTAATTTTGGCGTATATAAGAAAATTGCTTTTGCTATTGAACAGACGGTTTTGTTTTTACGTAAGAATGCTGAATGATTTTTTTATCCTGAACTCAATAGAAGAAGCGATCAGACGCATATATTCAATCAAGAATTAAATTTCATATAAGCCAAGGCACTTGCAGTGATGCTCTACATAGAAAATAAAGCTCGTCCAGACAAAAACAACGTCTGAGATGACAATTAATCATCGTGAGAGAGGATGTGTGAATGATGTGAAGCCTTTTATGATATGAATGACAACTAATAAAATATTTGCTAAATAGGTGTCAACGACAAGGTCTAACTATCAACATGATCGAAATTCCAGCACAGATGTCAAATAAAATTTTCGTGTTCTTTCTTAATTTCCGATAAGTTCATAGGAATCAGTATATTTGTTATTTCAATTAGGACCGGCATCATCATTGGACACAAGAACAGCAGCAAGAGAGAGAGAGAGAGAGAGAGAACGGACAAGATAAAAGAAAAACAAATTGCATACTTGTGTGTATGTTTTACTTTAGTCAATCATTGTCTGATATTGTGTATGTCTTGTTTTTCGATAATATTATCAGAGATTGATATCATTCAAAACAAAAGTAAGCTCTATCACGATGAAAGAAAGAAATTAATTTACCCTGGAGACAAAAAAAAAATTTTCCGATTATATTTTATCAATCTTGTATTCAAATGTTCGATCTGTTCACCGAAAGATTGTAATTTATGTTGTGTGTTATTCAATATTGTTTATACTATATGAATTATTATTGTACGTATCTTCCATATTGATCAAGTATAGACAAAAATTAGGCACACATATACGGACGGGGATGTAGCTCACTTGGTAGAGCGCTCGCTTTGCATGCGAGAGGCACCGGGATCGATGCCCGGCATCTCCAATCTGCATTTATTTTTCCTTCTTGTTTCGCTGATCTTATATGCACGTGTCGAAAAGTGATTCTTTCTCCTTCCCTCTCGTTTCTTTTTATGGATAAAATTTGATCTTGTGCTGGAATCAAATTGAACAAAAGAAAATAAAAATTCTATGTTCAATAGAGTTACCTTGCCTATAAAGATTATTTTTCAAAGTTTATGTACATAGTCTTTTTTACAATGCCTTTCTATATTACACAAGCTGTTGACTGCTCAGTAGTAAATCTTTCATCGGACAAAACTAGTTATTAATCGAACTCAACTGTCGTCTATCTTCATTTTCTCTCTCTAAATTAATTGACTTCGACAATAGGATTTATAGACGAGTCGTGCGTTAAATGTCGTTGTCTAATGACTACTTTCATTGTTGCTTTACATTAATTTATTACATGTCGCAAGAAGGAAAATATTTTGTGAGACACTTTCGTATGATAATGTTGAAAAATAGATGCGCTGTTATTCTTTTCAAATAATGACAACAAAAATACTGTGATTTGAATAAGGTTTGTATTAGCATTTTGCCACCTTGAATAGAAGATATTTTATGCAAATAGGATACAGTTAGTATGTATGTTCATAATGATAAACATATTGAGAATAGGCGATTTTCGTATCTTTTTTTTAACGTTCATCAGTCAAACATATGATGAGAGTTAAACTATGTCGAATAATATAAACAATCGATGCATCACTAGGATTTATTATCTTGTTTTTTTTTGAAAAAAACAAGAATAAGACTGATAGTGCCGAATGAGTGAGATAGACATGATAATGTCTGTGTATTGAGTAATGATGAAGCCAATGAAACATTTTAAAGTAGACTTTCAACAAGAGATTTTTATTGACAATGTCTACAGCATAAGTTTTGTTAGTTTTTCTCTACACAGGTAATATTTTTAGATAAAATATGTGGGCAAATGTATTGGCTATTCTTTTTTTATTTCGTCATTATGGTGTTGGCTTGAATATTGTCTCCGAAGAAGATACAACAGGATTAAATATACGTATGTCTTTGTTGCGCGTATGACTGAAGATGATTATTATTTAATAATATTTTATCTTTTAAGGATTTAAACAAGCAATAAACGATGTTATTAAAAAAATAGATAATCTTGCTATGAGTATATTATTGCTTTATGTTTATATCGAATAGTTTTTTTTTTTCGTTTTTTTCATAGTGTGTCCACCGGGAAGTTTTTTCTACAATGGCTCTTGTTATTTTTATTTACCACCAAAACAGATTGATGATAATACCAAAGGAATTCGATTTAATGATGTATCTGTGGATGAAGGTAAGAAATGAAATTAAACCATTCTATACACTTCAGCTTTGATTTGCAATTAACGATGATTCACCTTTGCACAAATTTGGAATTTATTCATTCATTTTATTTACATCGAAAAAACTATTTAAAAAAGCCTCAGTATAGAGATTCGGAAATTTGAGCCATTTTCTATACAAAATAAATGTGGAAATATCGGATTCGCATCCAATTGTTATGTGTACTGCAAAAACTGAGTCGATTTATATATGTTGTGAATAATTCTGAGAAAAAAGTTTTTTTTTGAAAAAATCCCTGTAGTCCCCCTCAGGGATGGTCTAGTCAATAATAACAATTTTTTCGATAACTCAGCCATTTCTTGACAAATCCCTCTCATCTTCGAACTCGACTGAGATATTGATGAGATCATTCTGTATACAAAATTTCATGACAATCGGATCAGTCTTTCAGGAGCTATCGTGTACTCACTTTTGTTTTTTGAGTACACAAAAAGGGATCGAAACATATGTAGTGAAAATTCGACTTGGTTTTCCTCTACTAGCTCAATCTATTGAACGTTGATTTGAATCGAAAGCAATTCATTGGTAATATTTTTAGCTGCTGCTCGTTGTCGCCTATTACGTGCTAAACTCTGGGATATTGAAACAATTGATGAATTTTCATTTGTTCTCAATCGAATTTATACAGAAACTCAATCATACGATAGTCCTCGTATTGCCATTAATTTTACACAAGGCAGACGTCGTGAGTACTTTTTAAATGAAAATTCTCCGTTAAAATTTTTCGTCTTCCTTAGTGTTAAATTTACGGAAAAAAATCAATGAACAACAATATTTATTCATTAGCAATATAAATCAATATTCATTAATTTATAAACCATTGATTAGTCTACCAGCAAAAAATACCTGTTTAATTGTTGATATCAGTAAAGCAACAAGGCTTGTATCATTGGAAGAAAAATTTCGTTTAGAACGACGAAGTGACCATTACATATGTAAAATGAGTAAGTTATTTATATATGAATTGAAATTTATTCTTCATTAAAATTCGATTTCAGGAATTGATAGTTGCTATAATAATACACGCTGTGGTCACAATGGCAAATGTAAAAATTTAATATCGGAATACAAATGTATGTGTAATTTTATGCATACTGGCGAGCACTGTGAGAAATGTAAGTAGATAGTTTTTCATACAGGTAATTTGTACGGTGTAAAAGGCTGATCCTTTACGAGATTGAGATGAACTGTGTGTTTTGAAAAATAGACTCACTCGAGTAATATCTTCTGAAACTAATTATCGCATGAAAACTACGATTTTTTTTCTTTGGAATAGATGACTTGAGCTATTGTAATGTTTGGATAGTTTCCGAGTCCGAGTGTCGATTTCGCGGCACTCTTCGAAATTAAATTATATCCGTATTTTTTAAACAGAAACATGAGTTTACTTGATAAAAGTTATTTAACAGGACGACATGCAAAATATAAACAATTTTGTCTCAAAAAATGATTTTGTTCTTGAACAAAAAAAAAAGATTCCTATTCTCTTTACATTTGAAATTAAATCACTATACAATGATCCCTTTGATGTGTCCATATGCGTTTGTTTGAAAACGACCATCGTGTCATAAACGATGTTTCATATGAAAAACAAAGCACATCTGTTCTGTTTTATCGTTTCAATCTAAAATTCAAGTGGACAAGTATAGTCAATCAATGAACACTGGCCATGATTGAAAAACAAGGAAGTCATCTGTTCAATTGAGAGGAATGAATTAGTACAAAGTATTCAATGATGTTTACCTTAGATAAAACATAAGAAGCTTGTTGTTTTGTTGCTTTTTTCTTCTTCTTGTTCAACATAGAAAATGAGAAGGAGTGGTTTATTTGGATGACGCAGAATAACGTCATTCATTATTCAAAAGGGATAATAATGGATTGTCTGTTTCGTGTATATGTCGAATATCATTATTAATATTGATCATTTGAGTTTGACTAATTGAAAAACGATGAGTCGTTTCGTTCTCTCTCTCTCTCTCTTTTTGTTTTTAATACTTTGCAACATTATATCTTTGTTAATTTCAGTGAGCAGCCGTGGTGTACAATCGATTATTGGTTTTATTCTCATTTGTTTAGCAAGTTTAATACTACTATTTCTACCTATATTTCATTTATTGTATCAATTAAAAGATAAAAGAAAGTAAGTTAAATGAGAATTTTTCATTTAAACGATCTTCATATCGTGTCTGGTGTTGTTTCGGCCAGTGTTTCTCTTATCCGTGTGTAAACAGCAATTTAATGCGTTTTCATTTGCTTTGATGGCAAGAATATACATCTTGTCAAATTAAATCCTATTTTTATATGAAACAGTAGTGGTTGTTGGTTATATAAAAATATAAATTTAAAAAGAACATTTTCTCATCCTTGAATATAACGCTTAATATTGATAGATTACATTGTAGTAGCTCCCCAATTAAAATAGGGCGTCGAGACACATTGAAGGTAGATATGATATCATTATTTTCGAATTTGCGACACCTTATTGAGTTTATACGTATATATGTACGTACAAGACAATGACAGACTATAATAGAAGAGAAATCGCTTGCATCATTTTCTATCGACTATCTGTTTATCAAGATTCGATGCGAATAAAAAACGCACATAGTCGTAGAAGTTTATTATTATACAACAATTTCGCTCGTATTGAGTTGCGCAGCTCGACAATGATAAATGCGATGACACAAATAGGCGAGTGAACAACATGTCCACATACATATCAGTCATGAGTATCTTTTGAAAAACCTTATGTAATTCTTGATCATTTTGTTTTTCGTTCTGTTCGTTGTCTCCATTGAACGAAGAGAAGAACAGAACAAAAAACGTAACACACACTAATCGTGCACAGGGAGGAGGAGAAGAAGAAGAAAAAAAAATATCAAGCGTAACTTTCGAAATCATTCATTTCCTTTTCGATTCTTGTTTTGTAGAAATTCAATGCAGCCAAAAACTTCTTCACGAGCAAATTTCTATTCAATACCAAACTTATCTTCGGATGAATTATTAAAACAAGCTGATTTAACAACATCATTATCATCATCACCGCCGCACATTATTGTTGATTTTCGTCGTTTATCAATTAGTTCTTCAACATCATCGGCGATTTTCTTTCGCCACAGTTACTTGTATTATCTATGGCGTTTGTTTATTTGTTTAATAACAATTACATTTGCAACATTTTGTTGTTATACAATTTATGAATTTAAAAGCGAAAATTTAAAATTAATAAATATAACAAATGAGAAAATTTCATCGTCGAATATGTGCAGTTTTTTTCTATCAAATCTAAATTTATATTATAAAATTCCTGTTAATTACATATCATTTATTATTTTATCTATTTTAATATTAAGTTTAATTTTTTTTGAAAATTTTTCAAAAAAACATAAATTTAAATCGTGTTTGAAAAACTTTTCATTACCGATGGTATTCAATTCGCATTCAAATATATATCGATTTGAATCGGCAGCTGTTTTTGGCATAATATCATTGGAAATTTTACATATATTCGATGAATTCATTATTAATGGTGCAAAACATTTTCAATACGGACCATTAGTCGATCTACTTGTACAGTTTGGCATTGGTCTTATGTTAGGCTTAAGATATTTTCCCGTGCTAGCAATATTTGAACAGGAAAATAATTATGAAAATCGTCTAGCAAATATTATTTGTTATGCTTTGGCGTCGATATATCTTTATTGTGAAATTGTATTTAAATTACAATCGGACATTAATTGTATGATTGATAAAGATAAATTATCGATGATTAAACAGATATTTTCAAAATTTAATGGTATGGGAATTAATATTCAACAATATTTAATGATAAAATTAGGTAAGTTGTCGAATTTTAAGAAGAAAATTGATCGTGGTTGAAGAGAGTGTTTACTGATAAGTGCTATCCTATGGATGATAGTTGTATTCATACTGGTAGATTGCGAAACTGATTGATTTTTAGATTCCTCATGAGTCATGATTGAAAGCCGAGTCCGGAAATTTTTACTATGCAAAGGTGAAATATTACGACAGCTCGTCAGTCCAATATCTTGATGTAGAAAGCTCGAAAAGCTCTTCGCATCGATCTATTACATTCCCCTCTATATACTTTAAAGTTGAATGTCCATCGTAAACATTCCAATCTACACTCTTGTTTCGCATCGTATCCGAAAAAATTTAACTGAACAATCCACACTAAATAATCAGAAGAGTTTGAAACTTCTAAAAATTTTCCGTCGATTTCTTTTTGTATTTTTTGTTGAAAATTTCGTACAATAGAAACAACTTCAGATAGAATAGTTACGATAGTTAAATGTCTTTTTCTTTTATCTCAAGGTACTAATCGAACGGCTCAATTAAATCAAACCTCCGAAGGTGTTCAATCGTGGTTTGATGAACAGATTAAAAAACAACTAATTAATTCGACCTATGATGATTCTAGCGACGTAGAAAATGATTTAACCCGTTTGAATAATTCATTAGAACTGAATAAACAAAGTATTTTATACAATACATTAAGATACGCACCATTTTATTATTTCATGGTATTTTTGGCTGTTCGTTTGACAGTCATGTTTTTAAATACATTTCGAAAGACAATAAATAAAAAGCCATGCTCGTTCAAATCATCACCACGTTGGAAATATGTTAAATACAATTTATTAAAATCCGACAAAATTTTACATGAAAATATTCTACAAGAATATTCACGTTTATTTCGTTTTTTAAATTATATAATAATAACTTTTAAACAACATGTCTATTGCATACGTCCTTATTTTCGTTATTCAAAATTAATTGTCTGTATATATACAAGTGCATTCACCCTTATTTATTATTTTACATTTTGGATCCAAGATCATACATATATGTTAACAAAAAAATTATTATTATTTCTTAATTTAATCCTATGTGCTTTAGCTGATCTATCAAATGACTTGTGTTACAATTTAGATGTTAACAATATTCATCGTCATATTAAATATATTTGCTTATTTACAGCATTTATAATATGTTTGCAATTATTTTTCGGTTTAAAACATTATCAAATACAAATGTGTAATGCCTATAAAGGAATATTTAACGATATTCCAACGCCAAAACAAATCTCATCGATTACCATTGTTAGTAAATCAATGCATTATCCAGGACGTTTTATGGGTATGTATAAGGTTTAAATTATTCAAAAACTATTTTTTATCTACCCGAAGAAAAGCTCTAGACGAATCACTAATGACCATTAGTCTCGTATCAGCTATTCGATTGCATGACAATAACATCTTCTGTTTTAATTAGTGAGTGTGTATGGGATGTTCAGGCCATTGAACACACTAAGATTCGTCGTTAGGGTGAACTTTTGTTCCGAGATTGAATTAATCATTATCATAGGAATTAGTTGATAGACTCGTGTGTTCGTTCGTCAGCTTCTTCTTGCAATGAAACTCTACAAAGACAAGATGTTTCCCCTATACTTATATCTATAAGTAAGAATCCTGGTGTGTCATCACGTAAGGCTTCTTAAATCGGAAATATTCAAGGCCCTATATATTTATAGAACTAGTGTAGTCTATCTTACTGTTCTCGTTAGTTTTAATTGGATATTTTTATGTTTCAGGTTCATTGGTTTACAGTTATGGGTTTTTATTTTTATTTGTTTCAATGTTTTACATATTATCTCATTATATGCTGCATTCAATAATTATTCTTGAATTTGCAGCTAAACTTTTCTTACCAATGATAATATTTTTATTGTTTCAGTTATTATTTGTACGTCTTTTATGTAAATTATTGTTCGTAGAAAAATCCTATTTGCTTGCATTGCGTAATCTTCGTTTGTATTATACATTTTCGTATTTTTGCTTTTTCTTCGATTGTTTTTTGGGCTTTTTAATGTGTTTAACACGTATAACGAAAGCTTTTTTTTGTTCAGTCATCTTTTTTGCACGTCTGGATTATTCGCCGTATGGTCGCGGCTTAGAAATGTACGACTCATCGTATGCGTCTTATGTGAGCTTTTTTCATATAGAAAAAAGTCAACGGCATCCTGTTTTAAATGTATTTATTGATATTGTTCGGCAACGTCTTATTGACATAAGAAAATTAAAATATAAATTATCGATTGGTAAAAATCAAGAAAAATACGAACAAGATAAATTATCACAGATTAGACGTTTTCGTTGGGCATTAGCTTATACATTAATTAAAAACGAACAATTAAAACGTTACCGAAAACATCGATTATGCTCGAATAGAGTAACTCAATCGAAAACATTAGAAAGAATTTTCGATAAAATTGGTTTAACACAAACATTACCAAGAAAATTTTAGACTTTATTATATACAGTAGAAATGCAGTTTTTCGTTTTTTTTTTTTTGGTATAATTTTTTTAGTAATCCGGTGAAAGTGTTCTTGTTTTAGAAATAAATATGTAAGGTTCAAATAGTTGATAGTTACAACAAGTATTCATATCAGATTTCAACAATGTTCGATTGCCTTATGCAATTCATTGATATTCAAATCGTAGATGAAAGGAAATGATGACATCAATATTACCTACCATTATCATTTATTCAATCCTTGATAAACTATGATAATGAATAGTTCACCTTGTAACATACAATGAATACATTGTCCTCGTTCTATTGCCTTGATTGTTATTCTTACGTGAAGATAGCCTGCGGTCATCTTTCAATGACCTTTGTATAAAGAGAAGAACATTTATCCATAGTTAGAGCGAGAATGAAGTGTATTACTGCCGTAAAGATCATGTCTTCAGTATATGAACGTTTATTTGTTGAAGAGAAGTGTGTGAGCTTTCGATATCCGACTGGAATCATCATCAGACACAATATGACGCATTTTATTTCACAATTTTAGTATGATTCATTTTACTAATATGACATTTGCTCTTTCAAAAGAGACATCTGTTCGAAAGAGCAAATGTCATATTAGTAAAATGAATCATACTAAAATTGTGAAATAAAATGCGTCATATTGTGTCTGATGATGATTCCAGTAGGATATCGAAAGCTCACGCACTTTTCTTCAATAAATACGCTTTCATACTGGAGATACGATCTTTACGGCAGTGATACACTTCATTCTCGCTTTAATTATACCAACTGCCAAACATTCCCACATATCTATATATAGCTACGACACTGTATAAATTAATAGAAATCAGCACATCTGCATGTCCGAATCCGATAACGGTTTGTCTTTTCTTTTCTTTTCTTTTCTTAGTTCGAAATTGATGAGAACGCATTAATATAGGTCATGCTTGGTCGATCTGTCTTCCTTTATTATTGTTGAATATATGAACTTATGTTAGTTGATCATATATATGTGACTATTATGTAATGAAAATGACGAGTAAAATTTACCTAAGGGATTACATCACTGCACTTATTAATGACTTTAAATAGTTTTTTTTTCAACAGATCAACTTATTATGTGCTAATAAAATGGTAGATTTAATTCTCTTATACATCATCATGCAATCTGATCGAAACAAAAAGGCAATGTTTGTTTGGTAATGCTTGAATTTTAATAGTAGAACTTCGTGTTATGCAAAAACAACATTACAGTCGTCGTCGTCGTCATCGTCATAAAAGCAATAGTTTAGTCTTGCTGTAAGCAAGCATCATTTGATTTTCTATCTAGACGACTAGATGCCTACAGAAAGAAAAGCAAATGAAAATTTCTTTGCTAAACATGATTGCTGAATGTTCCATCAATAATTGAAAGCTTTCAGTGTAAAAAATGGATTTATTAACAATCCGATAATAACTATTTTAATATTTTTAACGAATCAAATAATTTCGTCCCAAAAACAAAAAAATCTTCATAGAAAAAAATATTTTCGGAAGTAAACGTTGTTTATTGCTGCATTTATGATAGTAAAATTCGCCGAATTCTATAAACTATGCTTCAAAATAGTCTTGCTTTTTAAACATGTCGGCATAAATGTATTACTTTTAACATGACATGTATTGACGCTGATAGAATTTCTTTTTTCTTATGGCAGTATAATCTTTTCGAAAATATTTTCTTAATAAAATTTTATTCTCGTAAAATCTCGTGGGGAATCTATTGTCGGTTTGTCGCTTATTAAATTATCCATAAGATTAATCTTCGTCCATTTTTTTTTCTTCTGTACAAAATCGATAAGAGTTGTATAAAAAAACAGAAAAAGGTAATTATAATATGAGTGCTTATATAAAAATTCTTTGAATGCCTATGTTGCGAATCGTTGAACATCGTGAAAGTACTTTCATAGAATCCCTAGAGAATTCATATGTGAAACACGATGTAATTGTTTTTTTCTCGTGTGTTCTATGAATAAAAGGGTTTCCGGAACATTGCTTAGAGTTTGTGAGATAAATGTCAGAAAACGTGAAGAAATATTACTGTCACTAAATAGAAACATACCGGAAACAGTCGACAAGGAACTATTTAAGTTGAAACTATCGTTTTTTAAAGTTTTTCATTTAATAATAATTTCGAAATGTTGTTGCTTCATAAAGCCAAACAGTCTATTGATTAATCCAAAAGCCATGTTCTAATAATAACTTCGTTCTCTTTTCATAGAATAGAACACGTGCTATAATGTAAATATTTGATATTAACTAAAATCTGATTATCATGACACTGACACTTCTGCGCGAGAGAAAAAAAGTGCTATAAATTGCATAATATTACATTGAATATTTTTAAGCAACTTTGAACAGTTTAATTAATAAATGAACTGATGATTAATATTGTTGAATGGGCATAATAGCAAAGAAATTGTAATTTTTCTACTGGCGTCATATTAATTAATTCTGTTTGTTCTGTAGAAGGTTTATTCGATGAAAAAAAAACACTTCTAATAAAAAAGCTTTTTTCAAATAAATGCGAAGAAGAAATTTTTTAATCAATTCGCAACTGAAGCATGAGAACTTCTATGATTCTTGTTTTGCTACATTGACATACGTGAATCCATAGTGCGATGAAAAAATACAAATAACGAAGCATGTTCAAGTCACTAAAAATCAGTGCATTTCTTAAAGATCGAATAAAATCCGATGTGACATTTTCATGGATGAGAAGTTTTTTTTATTTAAATAGAGACGTTGTTCTTTTTGTATGTGGTCATGATTGCATTCATTCAAGAATAAAAAAAAATAGACTACTAATTTCGTCTAATAATGGAAAAAACTTCCTAATCGAATTCCATTTGTCTTACCATCCGGGTTAATTATATGCAATTTATAATAAAATATTGAATGTGTTTCGTGTTTATTACGTGAATTCAGATTGCTCGATAGACGTAGTGTAGCCACAAAAGCAAATATGCGAAAAACAGTGAGACCAATGAAAAATACAATTACATAAATAACGATCGATGAAGACAAACAATAAAGTTTTTCTTATTCTCTCTTTCTTCTCAAGTCATACATCAGTTGCTGCTGCTGCTATACAAAGGAGGCCAGTTTTTTTTTCTGAATAGCGAAAAGACAGGTAGGAAGTAATGGAAATGTGACACACCAATGATTGGGCCTAAATAAAAGTGCAAGTGACCGCTACGTATTCATGTTTTCAAAGTTTTAAATTGCTTCATGTTTTTCATTATATTATATCAGATGAATATAAACACGGATAAGAGATTATGTAGATAGAAATATTACTAAAACAAAAGCAGGTCAACCATGTTAGTAGTATCAACCATAAAAGTTTCTGTATACGTTTCAATAAGCATACATTCTTTAGGTTGTCTTCTTGTCGAGTGAGCTTGACGCTATTTTCTCTTCGTCGCTTTCTTTCATCCAGACAATAGATTTAATCGTTCCCATCCAGGTGCAAAGAATAGCAAGAGCATATGCATAAACACGCATGCAGTGCATGCGATAGATGTTTCCTTGTTATACTCATCAGTATCCGTATCAGATTCATGTTTATGCATTTGTCGCTCTGTGGCTTCCGTCATTCTTTTTTTTTATAAGATCAAAAAGAGTTATTTTCATTATGTCTATGAAAGTTTTGCTTATGCAATCATTATCTCTCGTTCTCTTGATTGCGCATGGAATGGTTAATCTTAAGTCCACTTTTTCAATTTGTCGATTCACAAGAACAATCTTATTCAATGTATTGCAATTAAGTCGTGATCATCTGTCGACTGTAAAAAGATTCGTTTATAGCAACAATGCCAGTTCAACAAAAAACGCAGTGTTTATTTGTGTTACAGTTAATCATGACGGATTGTCTCACAGTTGCATACCAACATATAAGAAGAGAGAGAGAAAGAAGTGTTTGGTGAAAAGAGAAAGTTAGGAAAGGGAGAGAGGGGAGGAGAAAGCTCACCATTTGCCATCAGAATACAAAAGAAGTCGTGGGACGATAGAGAAGAAAAGAGAAAATCTACTACGACTGCTTTTTTTTGAAAAATAAGAGCAAGCAGAATGAAGAACAACATTTCTTTTTTGTGATGCTAACTTATACTGTGAAGAACACAAACGTGTTCAATTTCTTGGAGTATGTGACACTTTTGTTTATTCATTTTTTTCTATTTCTCTCTTGTGGCAGATTGGTAAAATGTAATACTATTAATAGACTGATAGTTGCTTTTTGTTTTTTTGTCTATCGATTATCGTTAAGGAAAAAAGACAGGTACATCATCTTATATTGATGCTAATTTAATTGAATTTTTCTTCACGTGCCGTTCGACTACTACTACAACAGTGGGAATACTTCGTCTGGTCCTTTCTGTCTTCTCTTAGCTCGCAATTTCATTTATAATTAATTGAAAATTTATTACTTCATTTAGTTATCATCTCACAAGACTAAATCCATCAAAAATCAACTGGAACAAAACGAGATTAAACGTGGGTCTATCCAATCAGTAGTTTGCTCTTGCCTAGACATAAGCTCTTATGAATTCGTAGTGCGCGGTGCCAATGTGTAATCGATAAAATGGCAAGAATATAGAAAAGAAAAGGACTCAAGACTACGCTGACGCCAAAGAAGATTACTACTAGATTACAGATAATATATTAATGGGTAATGTGGCATCTTACTCTATGGCTTGAGATAGATGGTTACTGGCAGAACGAACGCGATAGAAAAGCAGAGAATAGAGAACTATAGAGAGAGATAGACGACAGTAAACAGAAGAAAAACATAAAACTTCCTATAAAGTACGTAGAGAAAATAATATGCGTGTCTTCTTTTTTCTTCTTCGCCTTTGATTAATACTATAGAAGTATGACAATTAAGAGAAATTTCTTTCCTTCTATCTTCTTCTCGTTTAAGACAGATACTCAAATATATATATATATATAAATATATTGATATAATTAAAAAAGTAGAAACGTGCTTAGATCTTCTGCTTTAATTTCGACTCGTTTTTGATAAAAATCTATAAAAAAAATATATGATAATAATAATAATACTACGTTAATCTGTCTTCTATCTTCTAGAAATAATATATATATATATACAACAGGAAAATCCGTTTGCTATGGGTAATAATTCATCATCGACATCATCATCATCATCGAGCGGCGCAATGTCAAATGCGACTCAAGCTCATATAGACGCTCAAGTTAGTTCTTATCTTGAAAATGCTAAACAAGAATTCGACACGAAATATGCTCAACCGTCCAAGCAGACAGCTAAATTAGATGAATTTAACTTGCAACGTACTGTTGGCACAGGTTCGTTTGGTCGTGTTATGATTGTACAACACACCAATCAACCATTAGCATTAAAAATAATGGAGAAACAAACCATTGTTAAATTAAAACAAGTCGAACACACATTATCGGAAAAACGAATATTACAAGCAATCAAATTTCCGTTTCTTGTTAATTTAGTTTATACATTTAAAGATAATTCACACCTTTACTTAGCCTTAGAATTTGCCAATGGCGGTGAAATGTTTACACATCTCCGGTAAGATTATCAAGATTTGAAGAAGAAAAAAATATATAAAACTAGAATTTTATTATTATTATAATTATAGAACTGTGGGAAAATATCCTGAAGATCAAACACGCTTTTATGCTGCTCAAGTAACATTAGCATTTGAATATTTACATTATTTAAGTAGGTGACCTATATTCGTGTTTTCTTGTTGAAATTATTATTGAAAACCAAACTTCTAGGTATCATCTATCGTGACTTGAAACCTGAAAATATTCTATTTGCTTCTGATGGTTATTTAAAAATAACTGATTTTGGTTTTGCTAAACTTGTTCGTGATCGGACATATACTTTATGTGGAACACCTGAAGTAAATACTTTTTCTCAAGTCTAACGAAAATATGCATCTGTTCTCATTGTAGTATATTGCTCCGGAAATAATTCTATCTCGTGGTTATAATAAAAGTGTTGATTATTGGGCATTAGGAATATTGATTTTTGAAATGGCTGCTGTAAGAAGATTAAATATTTATTAAAGTTTTTTTTCTTCAAATGAATGGTTTTTTTTTTTGGTAAAGGGTTATCCGCCATTTTATGCTGATCAACCAATACAAATTTATGAAAAGATCGTTCAAGGAAAATTTAAATTTCCATCACATTTTTCGTCGGATCTTAAAGATTTAGTTCGTAATTTATTACAAGCTGATCTAACAAAACGTTATGGAAACTTGAAAAATGGAACCAGAGATATAAAATATCACAAATGGTTTACAGCTATCAATTGGATTGCTATATTTGAAAAGCGTGTCAAAGCACCACACATACCAAAATCAGATAAAGATCATTATGAAAAATACGAGGAGAAGCCAATGACACAATCAGCAACAGAACTCTATCCAGCTGAATTTGACAGTTTCTAATAAACAAAACAAATTTCCTTTTTTTTTGGTTTTTTTTGTGTAAATTATCAGTGTTGATACAGCGTCTTGAAAAACAAAATATCATATTTTTGATATTCAGATCGGAGATAATTAAATTAAATTTCATGTAAAATACTTATATAAAAGCTTTCAAATAGATCAATCTATTAATGTAGCGAAAAAAAAGAGTGTAACGATGTTTTTTTCTCTGTTTACCTGTCGAGTAACCTATGGAGTTGTTTTATTATTTACCGAATTGATAGAATGAAAAAGAGAACTTCTTAAAATAGAACCATAATTTTAATTAAATTTTCGGAGAATTCTATGAAGAATATTATCCAAATCATGAATAGGTCATTTAATTTATCTTCCAATAGAAAGCCATGATTGCAGAACAGAATGAGTTACACAAAAGAAAATGAGTATCCGTCGTATGCCTGGTTTTTTTTTCTTCAATAGATTTAATTATTCCATAATGCTTCGCTTGATATTCTGTAAAATAAAATAAATATGCGCCGCTACTCTCAATATACCCTAATTGTGTATAATGAAATTCTGTATAATTTTTTTTCTCCCCTTTATTATACAGTAATCCGATAGAAGCATGACCTTGGCATAAGGTGCATTTAATTCGAAGTGCATGCGAATTCATAGCAAATAATATTTATTTTAACAAAAAATGAAATACCGGATAAAAATATACACTTAAGGTCCCTATACGACATAAAACAATAACAAAATACTTCATTTAAATCGAGTATGTGACAAGTTCATATTTCGTTACTGAGCTAAAAAAGTACAAAACAGAACCCGAAATATTGTTGTAGAAACAAACTGATGATTCATTTCAATTATGCTTTGTTATTGCACGAAGAAGAAAAAAAACCAAATTCTCCTATTGAATCATTCTATTATTTTTGTGTCGAGAAGTACTTCAACTGTCAAAGGTGCAACTTTTATGGCAGAAGTGAAAATGATGATGCAAAACTGATGAAATTTTCTATTTTCAAGTGTCTTTTCTTTGTTAAATGGTATCAACCTGGTTGAATATGAGTTTATGTTGATTAATTTATTAAGAATTCATGATGTAATCTGTCTGTAGATGAGAAAAAAAAATCATTTTATGTCAACATGTTCATCTGGCGTTTATCAGAATAAAAATGACCCGTGTGATTAATAGTTAATGCATAAAAGTGATTGAATATTATTAAACGAGAAAAGAAAAAAATCGAATCATTATTTTGTTAAAGCACATTTAAATAATTTTTTGTTTGTTTGATTAAATTTCCAATATTTTTCAAATAATAATCTATAATAGTAAGGTATTGCTTCTTTTTCTTTCTCACTTTTACTTGTCGTAATTTTCTCCAGCATTGAACAAAAATACCCAAGTTCTTTCTTTTCTTGTGATTGTATGTAATCAATTAAATCCGCTTTGATAATGCGTTTTAGATGGCCTATTAAATTAATTGGCTGCTTAAGAAAATTACTTGTACTTGTAAAATGTTTTTGCTTATTAATAAATTGTGCGCCACCAAAATCAATCAAATTAACTTTATTATTGTTTTTACGATCGATTAATATATTCCGTTCGTGCATATCATCATGGGATACGCCGATTTGATCTAGATTACATACAATAGCGGCTGTTTGACATGATATAAACGTTAATTGTTTAGGCGATAATTTATCAATAATTTTTGACAGTTCTTCAAAGCCATTGAGTAATTCCATGGCAACAATTCTATAAGATGCTGTTTCAATATAGGCAATATATTTTGGTATCGAAGGGATTTCATATTCAGTTATAAGACGAAGTGCAACAGCTTCACGTAAACTTTTTTGATCGCCACGATTTTCAATAAGTGATGTACGATCAATACGATTATATCGGCCACCTGTATTGAACGAAACAATATCTAGTTTAGTTGGCAGTTTGATGAATTTAATTGCAATAGGAAAATCAAATGTTCTTGAACGAGCACGTACAACTAAGCCGAAACTGCCTGCACCAATCAACGATTGCCGATCGACACTGAGACATGTAAGCGATGGATTTGATGGGCAAGATTGAGTATTAACAACTAGATTATGTTGGTTCAAGAGACCAAGTTCTTCGGATGAAAAATGATATTCGAGATTTTTCTGAGGGCACGAGGACCCAACATCATTTTTTATCGTTTTGTCACACTGTGTACCGTCAGTTGCTAAACTAATTGAAATAATTAATGCAACGAAATGAAAGTTAACACTTACATGAACTTTTGCTTAAACTAACCAGTTTTTCGTTAGCACAAACTTGTACTAAGATAAAAATAATGTACGCAATAGAGAATAACATTCTTATTCTTATTAGATACAATGTGATTATTCTGGAATATAATAATTATTTGCTTCGTTCGTATGTCTTTATATGACTAGACAACTGACAGCTGTAACAAGAGAAAGGAAAACAAGAATAATGGTATTCGACTGTATCCCCTTGGTATGTTTTGGGTATTTTATTATCATGCAACATAGAGCTGAAGTTGTTAACTAGGGAAAACTATATTGATTTGTTTAGATGATTAGATAACCCTCCTTTTACGGTCAGAAAATATAATTCATAGAAGAAGAAAAACAAAATGCAGAGTTTGAGAATATAATTGCATAGAATATTAAAGATGAATGAACTTGATTATTATGGTGCTTAAGAAAGCGAAACAAATCAATCTAGTTTTTGTTTTGTTTTTATCTAATATAATTATGGGTACCATACATTGGCGAGATACTAGAGGAAAATGTCAAATGTCAAGGAGATATCTGATAATGTCCTTAATCCACATCAACAAGAATTATCTGTGTTTTGATTGATTCATTGTGTAAGAACTTTGGTATTTGAATGCAAAGCCATCATTAACTAACTACGCCTGTCGGAAATAGTCAACATATTTTCGGTATATACCTGATACAGACTTAAATTAAAAGTAGTTCAAATTTAGATTTAGTGAATCTTTCTTTTTTTTTTCTAGAAAGTTGCTCTAGCTGCTGGAGGTTAGAATAAAAATAGAAATCTAAAATTATCTTTAAAATAAAGCTATTTCAAGTTCATTAGTTGTATATGTCAATATTGGCTGTGACAAGGAATACCTTTTATTAGTTACGTGATTACCAAGATAATAAGTCCGACTACATGGAAAATAGCTATATATAGAATGTAAGACTTTCTAGTTTTGTCCTATTTGATCTTTCAGTTTAGTCACAATTTTCAACAGATACTTGAGTTATTTGATGAATAATGAATTCAAAGAAAGAATTTAGATAACTATACAATCGCTGTAGGTGTCGCATTGCCTTTGAGCTATAAATGCATCGGTTCAAAAAGCCGTTATAAATAACGATTGAATTTAGAACAGTTTGACTTTCCAAATCTAAAGTTTCGATATGTCCTTCTTTTTGTTATTGTGAATAGTTGAGTGTCAACAAACTTGCTGACTCTTGGATTTCCCTAAAAAAAATTCCGCTAGTTTGTTTTCAGAATTTAGGCATTTTTGCTGGCTTCTTCCTAGAGCTTAAGGAAAACAAATGTTTTGTACGTCAACGATACATTTCCATCAACTCATATATTGAGATAACAACAGTTAACAGACCTAATAAAGAATTCTCTTTGTATAAAACTTCAAATAAAGCTGAGAAACAACAAGGTATATTATTGAAAAAATTATAATAATTGAGAAATTCATGTTCGGAACACAATTTTGATTCAATAATTCTAGACATTTCCTTCTTAAACGCGAAATTTTCATTTTTCCAAGTAACATGCATCATCATAATTCAATTCATAATTTTCTTTCCTCTCTGGACTAGTCCAGCATGTAATGTGTTCTTCAACTATAAAAAAAAAAGAAATCCTTTCTCTTCCGTTTCCATCATTCATGTCATAACCATAGCGACGTTCCTCTCGTCATCGATAGAGCATTTTTCCTCGTCATCAATGCACTTCCTATTAATCTTATTCGCCAATGGTTGATAAACTTACAACGACTATGTGCAATGTTGCATTCGTTATAAAATCATCATTGTTATACGTTACTAATACTTTTTCTCATCACATTATATCTATTTCATTATGCAAAATAATCCAGTATCTTTTCAAGATGCAATCGCACGTGCTCAACAAGTGGCAGCAAAATTAGCTGCAGCAGCACCCAATTCCAATAGAAGTCCATCTTCAAAACGACCATATGGTGAAGAAGACAGTGTACAAAAACGCCCGGCGTTTGGTTCTCCAACACAATCAGGTTCTATTCCCGAGCCTGTTCTACGTGCGCAACAAATAGCACAACAAATTAATTCTCAATTAGGTGTCAAACCAATAAATGGTTCGCCAACAACACCACTTTCAAATCAATTGTCGTTTCAAGAAGATTATAAAATTCCTGATAAATTTGTCGGTCTTATTATTGGTAAAGGTGGTGAACAAATCGTTCGTCTTCAAGCTGAAAGTGGTTGTAAAGTACAAATATGTCAATTACGACCAGAACCTATACCGAACGGTCCTAATCCTCCTGATCGTTTAGCTAATTTATCTGGTTCAAGAGATTCTATTGAACGAGCTAAACGTATCATGGACGATATTATAACGCGAGGAAAGATGACTGATAGTGGCACAGGCAGTTTTAATCCCTATTCAATGGGAGGAACAACGGCGAAATCTATTGATGTTATGTTACCATCATCTAAATGTGGTTTAGTTATTGGTAAAGGTGGTGAAAATATTAAACGCGTATCGGTAAGAGACTTCTTTTGTTTTATTTCAGAAAAAATAATATGACCTTTTTTTTGTTCTTCAGGAAGAATTTGGTGTTAAAATGTATGTTGTTCAAGATTCGGCAGATGTCGATGGAATTGAACATAAACCATTAAGAATTTCGGGCGAATCTGATCGAGTAGAAGTAAGAAGACAATCAAGTGATAAATATTTTTATGATTTAATTTAATTTTAGCGTGCTAAGCAACACGTACTCGATTCATTAGCAAAATCAGGTGGTGTAACAACTCAAACAAATCGTCTTGGTGGAAATCAGAATAGCTCATCATCATATAATGATCCACATTCACGAGTAGATATTTAATTGTAAAATATGAGATTTTTTGTTTTTGTTAAACAAAATTTTTAGATGGGTAATACACCTTTAACTGGTCCATGTAATGAAGCAACTTATAGTGTACCTTATGAAAAAGCTGGTATTATCATAGGCAAAGGTTAGTATCAAGGCGTTTTTGTTTTTTTTCTTTGTTTTTTATTTTCCAATTGAATTTAGGCGGTGAAAGTATCAAAGAAATAAATCGAAAATCCGGAGCTTTTGTTGAACTCGATAAAAATCATTCTGCACTTATGGGACAATCAGCTAACCGTGTTTTTAAATTACGCGGTACGCCTGAACAAATACTTACAGCACAACAATTAATGTATGACAAAGTTGTCAATAGTCCGGGTGGTCCTGGGGATATGTTATCACCGTTCGAATTTCAACAACGTCATAATTTACCATTGGTTGGAGCAAATACAATAGACACATGGAGCAATAATAATGATGCATATGGAAATGGGAATAATAATAATGATCCTTATAGTCAATTGGCGAGTACTTATGGACAATGGCCACAGTGTAACAAAAAAAAAATTTTCTTTTCTAAAAAGTAAAATTCTGTTCTCTGTTTAGTTAATTCCTACGATCAAAGTTCATTACAAAATAATAATAATGCATCAGCATCCGCAGTTGCTGCAGCAGCAGCCGGTACTCCAGATATGGGACAAATGGATCCAGCTTGGTTAGCGTATTATCAATCAATGAATTATTATAGTATGATGCAAGCCGGTATGGCAGGAAGTACGTCATCCGGTACATCCACAAGTACAACTGCAACAAAGTCAACTGATTCAACAGCCAACGCAACGAATGCTACTTCAACTACGCCAGGTTTGTAAATTTTTAATATTGGTTTAGTTATGATTTTGTTATTTTATAGCTATAAATCCAACTACCGGTCAACCAGATTATAGTCAACAATGGATTGAATATTACCGATCAATTGGACAAGGAGAATACGCTGATGAAATCGCTCGGCAAATGAAAGCGGTAAGCATTTTATTGGCATATCAATAATTGTCAAAGCATGATAGTGAATTCTTCTCTCTATCGAATTAAGATTTAACGTAAATGATTTATCTCCATTGTGATTAAATTAAATTACAAAAATAGTACTGATTTATATATCATTCATATAAACTAGAGGATCTAAAAAAGTCTGAGATTTTCATAATAAACTATTCTCGTGTTGACTTGTCGCCATTAAAAAAACAAAATTTCCGACTCTATATTCTATTCATGGTCTCGATTTTATAATTACTATATAATTCTTTTATTTTAGTCCGGTTCAACTGCAACACCGACTAGTGCATCATCAGCTGCAAGTGCTGCACAAGCAACTGCTATGATGATGTCATCTGCAAACCCTTGGGCTGCCTATGCGCAACAATGTGCTAATGCAGCAACATCCAACACTACAAATGGTACTAATTCGTCAGCAACATCTTCCTAAGGTAAGCAGTTCAAGTAAAGTCGTTTCTTATTCTTAAAATATAACTTGAAAAGAATTATTTATGCACTATTCAATGATGCTTGTAAGTCATCGTTGTATTTAAAATGAGAGTTGGTTATTATTTTATTTTTTGTTTTGTTTTGTTTTTTGTTATTTCTATATCATTATTTGTAGGAATTCATTGATTTAATCTTGTCGTGTTTATCTTATTCAACAATATTGATATATTATATATATTTATGTGTTTTCCTTAGAAGACAATATGTTTTTTCTTTTTTTCAAATGCCGACGATTCAGAAGAAAAATCCAATGTGTTTCATCAACCAGTGTTATTTGTGTTTGTTTATTTGTTTTTCTTTCTTCTTATACATTATATTTGTATAATTTTCTGTCTTCATTCTATGATCATTCTGTTTTATTTCTAGCCAGATGTTATGAGTTAGTCTCATAATTATTAACCGATACAGAACAACATAAAAATATCTTTCTCTTTTCTTTTCTAGCATAAAAAATATTTCATTTTTCTAGTTAAAATAGGAGACAGAGTGATGTGGGTAAAAAAAAATAATATTTTTTTTATTCTATTCATGTTTTGTATAGCGATATCAAAAGCACAACAAAAAATGTTCGGTAAGTCTTTTTTTGTACACATAAATAAACATGATGAAGTTCGGCAGGGACCAAAATATAAACAATCGAGAATTTCATTTTGCTATGATATTTGTAATTTGTTTTAGTTCTAATTCTGATTTCTGGGCTGTGAAGCAAGTATTTTGCATTTCGAATCTTTTTTAGAGAAATATATCAACAAATAAAATCAAGTTTGAATGATATTTTTTCTTCATCTCTATTATGTTGAATTTGATTTAGACCGGAGAGAAAAAGTTGTTCGAACATGAACATTGAAAGTTCAATATTTTTATCATAAAATGTTGTTTAAAGATTATCTGAGATTTAAATAAATGTGAAGCATAAAAGAATAAGTATTAAATCAATTTTTAGGGCGATTCTATTGAGTAAAAAAAAACGGCCTTAAAGGTCAAATCTATCAGTGAAATATACAAGTGCTCTTTGAAATATGAAACTAATTTGCATGTTAATAATCAAGGAATGTCAATAAGAATAAGTTTCAATTGTAAATAATTCTCTATGCGAACAAAACAAGAAATCGTGACTACCGATTTCATGAGAGGCGGAACATTTTGACTTTAGGAAATTTACATTAGAGACGACCGACGAATTTTATGCTTTGCTAGAGTATTATTTTAAGTCGTCAGGATGCGAATCTTGTATTCATTTCAAGTTACTAATTCATTTTAATGGAATTCTTTTTCTGTATTTGTTAAAATAAAACACAATTGTTACTTGTACATCCTTTACAGATCACTTCGTACACAAAGCAATACCGACGAGAATCACTTTTAAAATTAAAATACAAAATGAATCATCGTACTCGTGTTCTATTAATTACACGTGATATCGTTCGTCGCAAGGTTTAATCATGCATGACTGCTTGTTTGTATGTTTAGTGGTAGATAGCAAAAATATTGGTTCTACCTGGTTGAAAATAAAAATCTGTACGAATGCGCACCGTTTTTTCTTAACTATTGAATAATTCATAATCGATCAGCATACGGTTTTATTTAAAACAGGAGGAAAAATAAAGATTATCCTATACATATAAACAGAACAAAACAGGAGAGCCGGGAGCAGTACTTGATTTATTTTCTTCAATAATCATTCAATGATACGATCATTTATTTGACTGGCTTCTGTTTGAGCGGTAATGGAATTTTTATTCAGATCAGCTATATCAATCGCTCCTTTTAAATGAATCGCTTCATCCAAGGAAATTCCTCGTTCAATTTCTTGTACTTGTTGATAAGTTGGTAAAGTAGTTGTCGAACGAATCTGTTGAGAATGAGTTGCTAATCGATGTCGCGAGAAATTTGTTGTAATTGATGGTCGAAGAATTGGCATCATCATAGTTGGTGACAGTACGGGCATCGTTGGGCGAGCAACTGGGAATGTAACCAGAGGACGATTATTAAATTTTGTACCTGGATGAGTCATATTTGATGATAGAATCGACTGCGTGGGTTGTTGAGGATTCGTTAATTGACCTTGCTGTTGTTGATAGACAAGTGCTTGAGCAGCTAATAATGTTGGCAAGACAGCTTGGATTTGTTGTGCTTGAGCTTGAAGTGCAGTTTCTTTAACACGTTGCTGAATCACTAGATTATCGAAAAAGAAACAAACTATTCCTTCTGTTTTTGTATCGTATTAAATTTCGAGTTACTTATTCCTAAAAGTGCATTGGTAAGTTGATATTGTAATTGTACCGTTGATTGTGCTGGTGTTGATGGTTGTTGTTGCTGTGACATAAGAGAATTCATTAAAGTTTGTACAGTACTCAGATTCGTTGGTGGTGTCGAGTTTTGTTGTCGAGCTGCAGTTAAATTTTTTGAATGTAAATCTTTTCCTTGAGTTGATCCGACATTATTTGACATATCAGAATTTGTACTACTTGATGAAGCTGATTTCGATGGTTTTGTTATTGAACTATTCGGAGGATTAATTTCGCCTGTTGTATTTAGTTTTGGCTCTTGTAAACGTGATGAACGCTGTTCACGCTTATTGCTTGGCTGTTGAAGACGATGACGTGGTGGTATATTATCATAATACGAATAATTGTTATTGTTGTTCGATGATGACGAAAAATCAGCTTTTGAATCGTACCGTTGTCCGCTTTTCGCCAGTCTTTCTTTTCGCATTGGCCGAGACGCCAATGGCTGATGATAGTTATAATAATAATAATAATCATCATCATCATTCATGTGAAAATCGCGATTCCAATAGTGCGTTTTATTCATTAACGATTGCCGATGATATTCTTCGCCATCAAAATAAGCATTTGCGTTTCGCGACTGTTGTGTACTATTATTGTTAATTCGATGACGCGGTTGTTTTTGTGTTGATGATGATAACATTTTGGAGAAAATAATCTAAGAGATAATAACACGTTGACACCTAGACTTGCTGAAAAATCCACACAATTGTTATATACAATTTGCCGCCATACTGTACCTAAGGCAAAAGAAAACTAATTATTTCGGACAAGCATTACACTTGATTCTATTCTATTTCATATATATATATATATACTCGTCGGATCTCGATATGTATGTAACAGAAACAATAAATACTAGGCATTGCAGGAATGAGGAGACTGGAGCGCAAAGTGCTTAGTGAAGTCTGCTGTCGATTAAGAATTTTTCTTTCCATCGCAGCATTTAGTTTGGCTACTGCTATTGTTGTTGTACCATTTTTTGTTTGTACGTTTCAATTGACATTTTAAAGCAAACGTTGTTTAATTGTATTTCAAAATTTTGTTTTTCCTATTTAGACAATTTCACACGTTCAATTACAAAAGTCTCAAATACATCAATCCACCGATTGTCAACAAATATTATTCCATCGCATTATCGATTGTATATTGATGCTAGTCAACTTGAAGAACTCGTTTTTCAAGGAACTTTAGATATTGATATTCAAGTAAAGGATAATAATTAAAATTTAATATTGAAAAAAACAAAATCAAAAATTGAAACTTTTAGATTAAAAAAATTACAGCCGAAATTATATTAAATAGTGTAAATTTAAATATAACAGAAGTAGGATTTCAAGATCATAAGTTTACATCTATTGTTTTAAATGGATCAGTGGAATTCAATCGAGAATATGAACAAGCGATCATTAAATTTCATCAACAATTAAATGTAATCTTTTATATTGATTAAAAAGTTTTTCCAGACATTTTCTGGTTTGTTTTAAGCCTGGAAATGGTCGTCTATATTTATCATTCAACGGTAAAATAAATGATCAACTGAATGGATTCTACCGAACACAATCTGATAATTTTCTAGGTGCTTGTACACAATTCGAAGTAAGTTTCGATTTTAGTAAGTTGAAAATTCTTAATTAAATTTCCCTAGCCTGGTTATGCTCGGCAAGCGTTTCCTTGTTTCGATGAGCCCTCGTTTAAAGCTAATTTTACAATCACGATTCGATCTCACAAAAATCTAACAACATTAAGTAATATGGTATTGGGAAAGAAAAGAAAAGACATTATTCATAGAAAAAAAAGGAAATGTTTTCTCTATTCCTAGCCAGTAAAATCAAAGTCTAATGGTGGAAATGATACGTATGTTTATGAATTCGAAACAACGCCGATCATGTCGACATATCTAGTAGCTTATGTCATTGGACACTATGATTACATTGAGGCACGCGACAGCAATAATGTACTTATACGTGTTTACACACCCATCGGGAAACAAAAACAAGGATCGTTTGCTTTGAAAGTTAGTATTAACTTACTTTTAAAGTGCACTAGTAAAATGATCTTTATAGACTGCTGCTAAAATGCTTCCATTTTATGCTGATTATTTCGGTATTAAATACCCGTTGAGTAAACTCGATATGGTTGCTGTTTCCGATTTTGGCTCTGGTGAATAAAGAATAGATCGTTTCCTATGAGGTTAAAATTCATTATCTTCTTTTCGTTTTTTTAATTGTAGGTGCCATGGAAAATTGGGGGTAAGCGATTAAGTTACTTAAGCAAACGTTCGACGGGAAAATCTTGGTTTCATTACATTTAGCCTAGTAACTTATCGTGAAACGTATTTACTTGTTAATGGACATACGTCGCCACAAAAAACAAAGCAAGACGTGTCGCTTGTTGTTGCTCATGAATTAGCACATCAATGGTTTGGAAATTTAGTTGTATGTCAAAATTGTTTGAATCACAAAGAAATTGTCTTGTTTTCTCTCTCTCTCTCTCTCTCTCTAGACAATGCAATGGTGGAACGACTTATGGCTCAACGAAGATAAGTATAGACCAAATACTCTTCTATGTATGTTTGTTTCTTCATCTTTTTTAAGTTTTGCAACATGGATTGAGTTTCTTGCTGTTGATTATGTCTATCCCGAATTTGATATTTGGACACAATTTGTATCGGATACATTAGCTACATGTATGGTTCCTGATGCCTTACATAATAGTCATCCAATCGAAATGCCTATTGAGAAACCAACTGAAATCGATGAAATATTCGATGAGATTACATATGGAAAAGGTATTTCAATAGAAAATTTTGGTTTTCTGTAGAGAAATTCTTTTCTAGGTTCAAGTGTGATCCGATTAATTCATGGCTATATTGGTAGTGAAGCATTTCGTCGTGGCCTTTCGAATTATCTTGCAGAATATTCATATAAGAATACTATTACCGATAATCTTTGGTCACATTTATCTAGAGCATCAAATAATTCTCATCTATCAAGTATACTTTCAACATGGACGAAACAAATGGGTTATCCTCTACTTACAGTATGTCGTTTTGTCTTTAGGTTGCTTTATTTTCATTGATTTTTATATTTAAATAAAGGTAAAAGAAAAACAAAGAGGAAATGAACGATTAATAACCATTGAACAAATCAGATTTCTAGCTGACGGAACAAAAGATGATAGTTTAAGATGGAAAATACCAATTGATATATGCACTAAATCCAGTCCTAATGAAAGCGTCTATCAACTGTATTTAAATGGAGAAAAGAAACAAGAATTTTTATTAGAAAAAATACCTTCAACTGATTGGATTAAATTAAATTTATTCAGGTAAATTTCTCTCAAAGAAGAAGTTTACGACAAAAGATTTAACCGCTTCTCTGAATATATCAAACGAAAGAGAAAACTATTCGCTAAAAGAAGGACATTTGAGGCATGCATTAATAATAATAAAATTGATACCGCGATTCAATATGCCTGAGTAACTTCAGAAAAAAAATCTTTACAGATTCGATGAAGGGCCCTAGTGCCTAGAAGAGCAGATGATGGTACTTCTATGAATAAATATTTTTGGTATTTTCACATTCTTCTGTTAAACTGTAATAACATATATTACCGTAGCTGCTTTTCCAAAAACATTATTTCAGTTCTTATTCTACCAGCAGAGTATAGCTATGTATATTATTTATATAGTGTTGGTATATATCGAGTTGATTATCCTCAATCGATGCTTGAAGCACTAACACCTGGTATCGATGATCAGACACTTTCGCCTCAAGATCGCTTTAATATTCAAGCAGATGTGTTTGCACTAGCACGTGCCGGTCAAAAGGGTTACGTTGACTATCTAAAATTACTTCGTCAAGCTTATAAACACGAGGAGAATTTAACTGTTTGGAAATCTATATTACGACAATTATCGGATCTTGGTTCAATATTTGAATATGCATATTTAAATAATACAAAATTACTTTATCGGTCCTATGTGTGTGACCTTCTGTTAAATATTTATAATAAATTAACATGGGATCCATTACCAAATGAAAGTTCTCAAGCAATAATACTTCGTAGTATTATATTATTACACATGGGTGTTAATGAACATGATAAAACACGTGACGAAGCAGCCGCTCGCTTTGAAAAAATATTTATTCACAGCAATGAAGACAATTTCATGGATCCAAATATTCGTGGGGCAGTTTATTTAACTGTAGCTAAAACAGGAAATCAACGTACATTTGATCAACTTAAATCGGTAATTTTTCTAGAACTCTTTCGGAGTTAGTCATGATTGGATCTAGTCGTCAAAGACTATCTTGCCTACATCTAAATTTCACGTTCAATCTTATGAATCTCGACAATATATTGCGTATTAAACTCGATCTAGAATTCTCCATCGACTCTTTCATCATTAGTTGTATAGAAACCTGCGATTCATTTAACGCACAAGACGTCTCGTAAGGTAGCTTTGCCTTCAAGTATTTTGTTGGAATTAACAACTTAGTGTCAGGCTTCATAATTTTAGCCGTTTAAGTCAAGTGCTAGAAACGAAATATATTTATTAAATGATCAAGAGACTGCTAAAATTAGGTGACATCAATATGAGTCTATTCAACCTATTGTCTTGTGTCTGTTCGCTTTGTTGATTCTGCCAGACTCCTTGAAAATGTCATGCGTGTGCGGTAATGCCATTCAAATCTATTTCGTTCTATTTATGAAATATTTTTTTCATCTTGAATTCTATAAGAAAGGAAACATATTTCGTGACCGGTCGTATTGTTTCCGTCATGACGTATCTGAATACTTTTGATGCATTCACATGAGAAGATTTATTAAGAGGGCCATATATTTTTTTAATTTTTAGCTTTACATGAAATCTGACGCACAAGAAGAGCGGCTCATTTTGTTAAATGCACTCAGCCATTTCGATGACGAATCACTTCAATACAAAGCCCTTGATTTTTTATGGAATACGGTATTTATATTTTAATTTCTATTCGAATTAAAGACACGAGAGGTTCTAATTAAGACTCTAGTTCGAAAACAAGATCATTTAAGTGCATTTTCTTCATTGGCCGCTCATAATCGCCGTGGTTCTGAAATCTGTTGGATGTATATGCAAGAAAATTGGAAGAAAATTGTACAACTTTATGGTGAACACGACTCGCATTTGATTCATTATATTGAAGTAAGAGGAAACAAATTCGCTAATTATTTTCCTAAAAGTTATTCTAAATTCGTCTAGAATATACCAGGATTGTTCGCTAGTGTAGAGCGAAGTGAAGAAGTTCGAGTAAGTTTTGCATAGCGATATTTAAATACTACAAAATAAAATTGAATTGTTTCAATTAGAAATTCTATATTGCTCATCCAAATCCGTTTTTGGATAGATCGATAAAAAAAGTACTGGAACAAATCAACATTCGACGTCTTGTACTGGAACGTCATGAACAAAGTATTAATCAGTTTCTAAGTGTGAGGTTAATAAAAAAACGTTTTTCACGATTGTGATAAAATGAAAACAAACGTGTTTTTATTTTTGTGTCTGATGAATCCAGCTTTTTTTTTTATCCTAATCAATATTTATTAGAAAGGGTTTGAAATTGTTAGCAGATATTTAGGGTTTTTTTCATGTTCGCTGATAGATCGGAAGAGGATCTTCGAAATGCCACAATGGCAGAGCGTAAGTAGAATGATACGTGATCTCTTCCATCGATTCATATCGGTGAAAGCGTACCGCGGAGACCAAGTCTAACACTATCTTACAAGATATAATATTATTGATGGCCGTGTAAAGTCTGGATCGAATGTCATCACTCATGTTTATGTATTCGCTATAGGAAGTGAGTTATGGTTTGAAAAATAAATTAAATTTTCCAAGAAGATAATCAATAATTCTATGGCGAATATTTACGTTGTCGGAAAGATCTAAATGCCACAATTTCGTTGTTCGATGAATAAGAGAAATTGAATTTTTCACTATCTATTTATCATTCTTCTTTAAATGCCAATAGATAATCCATATTCTACGACCAATTTCTTATTACATTTGCAAAACAAGTATCAGCCATGATCGATAATAGTTGATATATGGGTCATTCCACGAGAAGTCACCAAGTCCATCCGGCGACCAAGCCAGAATCCATTCAAAGTTACAGGATTTGTAGAGAATTTTTCGTTGATCATTTTAGTAATAAACTTTTCTGAAATAAATTCTATTTCCCCGAAGATGCAGGTCAATTAAAAACAAGCATTTTTCCAGAAAAAGTGATGAAAATCTCACTTTTTCACTCAGATTTTAAAGACAAACAAATATTCAGAATGCTTGTGAAAACTGGATCAAAATCTTCGTAAGAATTAAAATAATTTTGAAGAGTTCCTACGGACTGCTACGTCACTTTGTAATACACTAGCGGGGAACAGTGCTTAAAAAAATCTATGTGTGAACCAGAATATTGGCACTAGCAGTTCGTTTTCTTCGCGACTGCGATTTGAGGGTGTGGGAACCCCAAAACTGCTTTCTATGACAATTTTTCATGAATTTATTAGTCAAAACAGAGATTTCTGCTGAGTATTTTAGTATTAAATTATTTAATGTTCGCTTTTACTTTCATAAAGCTACGAGTCAAATAATATGAGGTTGACTTTTTGAGAATGTATCAGACTCTAGATTCACTTCACGAGAATGCACAGAAACTTTCAGAGTTTCTATGGCTTGTGTCTGCTAGCATAGTTGTGCGTTTAAAAAGTTTTGAAAATGATCCAAAGGAGTTTAAATGGGGAACACAATTTGTGATTTCCTAGTCAAAACGTCATGCCTGGAATATATCCATTTTAAATGATAGACATGTGAAACCTTCTGAGTATATACTTTTCAATGAGATGATCATTTTATTAAGCGGAAACATTTTTGTTCGACATTTCCTTTGTACTAAACTGGTTCCAACAAAAATGATCTATTTTCAGTTTTTGGTAGCTAAAGATTTCGAACAAGACTCAATATTCAATTAATGAATTTCTATGTGTTAGAATTGACTTTGAATGTACTATTAAGTTATCAGACTTGGATACGTTTCGAATCGAAACACCCCCATATAATGAAGGGTTTAGAGGGACGATTTTTACTTTTTTTGTCATTTCCGGGCTGTCTATAGAGGAAATGAAGGGTTTGGATTAGAAGAGTAATACATATTTATAATCTACTCAAAGCAAACTAACAGAAAAATAGTATTGCAAAATTACCATATATGTCAAGCTTGAAACTTGAATTCAATTTTCAACTTTTAAGCCAATAGCATTTTGAAGAATCGTGATCCACACATATATCGCTTGAGTTGAAAGTTGAAATTTTCTATTTTCAACTGAATTCAAGTTTCAAGTTTGACACTACTGTATCTTTATGAAAATAAAAGCGAACATTAAATAATTTAATACTAAAATACTCAGCAGAAATCTCTGTTTTGACCGATAAATTCATGAAAAATTGTCATAGAAAGCAGTTTTGGAGTTCCCACACCCTCAAATCGCAGTCGCGAAGAAAACGAACTGTTAGTGCCAATATTCTGGTTCACACATAGATTTTTTCAAGCACTGTTCCCCGCTAGTGTATTACAAAGTGACCTAGCAGTCCGTAGGAACTCTTCAAAATTATTTTAATTCTTACGAAGATTTTGATCCAGTTTTCACAAGCATTCTGAATATTTGGTTGTCTTTAAAATCTGAGTGAAAAAGTGAGATTTTCATCACTTTTTCGGGAAAAATGCTTGTTTTTAATTGACCTGCATCTTCGGGGAAATAGAATTTATTTCAGAAAAGTTTATTACTAAAATGATCAACGAAAAATTCTCTACAAATCCTGTAACTTTGAATGGATTCTGGCTTGGTCGCCGGATGGACTTGGTGACTTCTCGTGGAATGACCCATATATGATTTCCTTAGTACAAAAATAGTTTTTACGATGAAATAAACAGCTGCTATTTGTACGTTTTACAAATTCATACAATTGCGTAGTACTAGTAAACATAACATTGATACAAAAGTTCGCACAAATCATTTAACTATTCAACGCGAATGAGATTTTTTCCACTACGGAACATCTTCCATTATAATCACGTGGTGAACAAAAAGAAATCTATGTTTACAATGGCTTAAAAAATGTGATCAAGTGATTTCCTTCCAGTCTGTCGGATCACTTGTGTTTTCAATTTCCGAAATTCTAATCCGATTCGAAATTCTATTTCGAGAATGAACATATGCATGATTATTTGCATTAATAATGTATGAAACAAATAGCAAGAACGATATGGCTACAGCTGACGACTGTCTGCTGTTCTCATTAAAAATAAATAATATAAAATGATTGAAACGGAAGAAAAAGCTGGTACTTTATCATTTTAAATTAGCATCTGACAGGCACTGAATGCATATCAATCACTTGAAAGCACAGGAAATTGAATCTAAAAAGAATCTAAAGAATTGATGTTGTCATTTCAATCAACAATGTCAACTTCGACCTATTTCTTAAATGGTGGGCAATTGAAAGATATGATTAAACACATTTTAACATTTGCACAAATATATTTATTAATATATTAGCCGTCAAACAGCAACAAAATATTTTTTCAGTTCCAAAAACAAGCACGAACAAAAATACACTCTGATATTTATATACAAAATAATTAAAAAGTGCTTTTTGCTTCAAATCTTATCCAATACCTGTATTTAAATTTTCTACATCAATTGGTAATCTTGATGGTTTTTTACGAAAAACATTTAAAAATTTAATAAAAACATTTTTTGAACGTCTACTAGACATTTCTGACGGTTTCCTACGCGCTGATTTCGCTAATATAGGTGCTTCCGAATCATTCGTGTCAACACTCCCATTGACTACTGTTAAACGACGTTTTTGTTCGTTTCGAAATTGTTCGTTGATACGAATTTGTTTTAATGTACCAGCTAGTAAATCATCGACTTTGTCATTTATAGCAGCCGATGTTTCAATAAATTTACATTCATTTTTAAATGCAGCATGACGTGCAGCTAAACGAAAAAGATTTTCCATGTGATCGAGAATTTTTCTACGATAAATTTACCTTCTTTCGTTACAGAACGTTTTCGCACAAGATCTGATTTATTACCAACTAATATAATTGGTACATGACGTTTTATTGGAGATTGATTATAGACTAATTCATTATCACGGATACTTTTAATAAACTGTAATGCTGTTTGAAACGAATGACGATCAGTTATGGAATAAACCACAACATAAGCATCGCCGGCTACACTAGATTTGAGCTAGAGATTAACAAATGCTATAAATAAATAATTTCGATTGACTAGATTAATTTACATACATGATCAATATCCATATTTATAATATGTAAACGGGATTCTACGCCATCTAACATTATTGATACTGTATTATCAGGATCATCTTCTATAATAACAAAAAAAGTAACAACCAAAATTAAATATTTTTTGTTACACTTTATTTTTCTTCTCTTTATGAAAATACACATTTTAGAATAGACATTCGGTTTTTACAAATGGATTTCCGTTCGGAAGTCATATATATTATCGGGCGATGTATGAGAGAAATATATGACATGTTGTGCACATAACATGTTTTTTTCTTCGCTTCACATTTGACAATGATAGTTCTATAGGCATTTAACAGGATAGTGACTGTAAGGCTTTTCACTATTTATCTATATGATTTTCTCAGGAAATTTATTCAGTGATTAGTCTTCAGGTATAATGATGTCTTTTTTTCTTGAAAAACCAATGTAACGAAATCTAAACTTAGTGGTTCATAAAAAAAATGAATCAGTTTATAATAAAATATCATACATCTTTTATGCAAACATGACTTCATGTCAGATAGCTAAGAGTTGTTTTTTTGTTAAATTATAGTGTTCAAGAAATGCTTTGAACTATGCTCGACTTATTACATATAGTATCAATTTTTTTTCCATGCACAAGCTATCGGATGCAAAACATATCGCAGCCTATAATTTAGCCGTGTTTGTTGACTAGAACAGAATACTATCATCTTTCTTTCTTCTCTCCTAGACTCATGAAATTACATTTGATCTAATCGACGAACCTACAAAAAAATCGATATATATATACGTCAATACTCGTATTTTGTTTTCTTCACCATCTATATGCAAATGTCATTGCCGTCAGCTATCAACAATCGATTTTATTTTTCTTTGCTGATGTTTTTCTTTTTACTTAATCAGATATATACTTACCAACTGAACTCGAATAATCATATATTCCACGATACTCTGTTGTTTTAAATTGTCTTATAAGCGAACACTTTCCAGTTCCACTCATACCAAGCAAATAAACCTGATAAACATGTATATCGTGCACACGCCCATCCTCCGTTTGAATACGTTCAACGAGTGGATTATCATCATCATCTTCTTCTTCTTCATTTTCAATTTGATCTGGTAGAGGAATCGATGATAGGGAAGGATTAGTATCAACAAAATGAGTATCAAGTAATCCATTGAGATTTGCTCCGCAGGAATTATTTGTTAGAGAACTTATACTTGTATGTATATCTTTCGTAGATGACGGAGAATGATTAGTATCATGTTCTTGTGATGATGCACCATCATTTGATGTTATATTTGGATTTATTCGGCATGAACTACGACGACTTGTCGAACCACTACGTTTAAATGAGCGTTTAAATGAATCTCTATAAAAGAAAAAGTAAATGTCGATAAAAAAAAATCTTTTTCTTGCGGTGTACTGTTTACCCTCGATTAACAAATCCCTTTGATGTTGTGTGAAATTGTCGTACAAGATAAATTTCTTCACCACCGTCAGTTGGTAATTTTAACTGATCAAGTGTTAATGAACCTGTCGAAAATAATTTTAGGTTAGCTTTTATGGTTTTTTCGTTAATCATATAATATGTATATATATATATATATATATATATGTATGTATCAGTCAACCACTATATCATGACAGTTATGTTTATCCTTTTTTTCTCTTTGCTTAAATAAAATAGCAGCTGGTACGATAGATTTTGTATAATAAACAAAACAAATAAAAATGAAGAAACATGAGATTTGCATGCGATTCTTATGTGTACTGCAAAAAAATTGAGTCGATTTATATATGTTGTGAATAATTCTAAGAAAAATTTTGTTTTGAAAAAATCCCTGTGGGGGGCCGGCGGGGGGGGGGGGGGGGGGGGGGGGGGGGGGGGGGGGG